TTCCCCTGGGCGTAGCGGGAAATGGGCCGAGTATGTCCAGAGCGACGAGCTCGTTAACCCGGGAAACCTTTATGGACTGCAGCGGAGGGTTGGACCCCCTAGCAGGTGGCTTCCTTTGCGCGCATTGCGCGCACGACCCCAGGAGATCCCCCACGTCCTTTGCCATGCCCGGCCAGAAGAAATCTAGCTGGAGCGTGGCAAAGGTCTTGTGAATCCCCAAGTGCAGAAGCCGCTCATGAACAGCCCATACCACCTTACCCCTTAATGCTGCCGGCACCACGAGCCGCTGGCGGCGGGTTTTCCCATCCCAGTGCATTAAAAGACCCTGGAACAACCCCCACGAGTCAACGTTCGCCACCCCCTGACCAGCCCCCCCGACGCGACGGCGCAGAGCGAGGAGGGAGGTGTCCTCCATTTGGAGGCGTCCCCATTCCGCGACCGACAACCCCAGCAATGAATCTCTCCCTTCTTGCTCGATAGGACCCGAAGCTGAAGGCGCATCGGTAGCGGCCACGAGGACCGAATTGGTGGTGACGTTCGGGGGCCTACAACGCCCCGAACCCAAGAGGCACGCGCACTCCGAAGTGGGTGGCAATCGTGACAGGGCGTCAGCGTTCGTGTGGCGGACACCCTTACGATATGTGGTGACAAAGTCATAGTCTTGGAGGATCTCCAACCATCGAGACAACTGGCCCGATGGTTGTTGAACCCGCAGGGCGTACTGTAGTGCCGCATGATCTGTACGGACGGTGAATCGCCGACCGTACAGATACGGGCGGTACTGCTGAATAAAATAAACAATCGCCAATAATTCCCGACGGGTAACGCAGTACCGCTGTTCGGCTGGAGACAGTACCCGACTACCGTAAGCCACCACATGCTCTACGCCCCCAATGAGCTGGGACAGCACGCCCCCGATGCCCGTGTTACTCGCATCAGTATCGAGCAAGAAGGGTTGTGAAAAATCGGGGTAATTCAACGGCGGAGCCCCCACCAAAGCATTCCGGAGGGCGCGAAAAGCAGCCTCCTCCTCCGGCCCCCAATGAAACCTGACTCCCTTGGACGTCAAGGCATGTAATGGTTTCGCAATCGTAGCGAAGTCAGCCACAAATCGTCGATAATACGATGCGAACCCAATGAAACTCCTGACCTCTCCCACCGAGGTGGGAGTCGGCCAGGAGCTGACGCATTCCGTTTTGGCGGGATCAGTGGATATCCCCGAGCGCCCAACAATGTGACCCAAATATCGCACCGATTCGCGGAGTAAATGGCACTTCTGCGGTTTAAATTTCAAATTGGCAGCCCGCATTTTGAGAAAAACAGCACGCAACCTCTGGAGGTGTTCCTCGAAGGATTTGCTAAAGACGATGACATCGTCTAAGTAAATCAAACACGAATCCCATTGCAAACCTGCCAAGACCAATTCCATTAACCGCTGAAAAGTTGCCGGCGCAGAATGTAAACCCATCGGCAAGCGGTTAAATTGGAAGAGACCTTGCGGCGTACGAAAAGCAGTCTTAGGCTTTGATTCGTCATCCAGAGGAAGCTGCCAGAATCCAGATAGCAAATCGAGGGTGGAAAAGAATCGCGCCCCCGCCAAGGCATCGAGCGACTCATCCATTCGAGGAAGCGGGTACGCATCTGCCACAGAGATTTTGTTCAGACGGCGAAAGTCGACACAAAACCGCAGTGAGCCGTCGTGTTTTTTCACCAAAACGATCGGTGCGCCCCACGGACTGTTGGAAGGGGAAATGATATCGGCGGCTAGCATGTCATCAACAGCCGATTTGACATGATCCTTTTCGGCGGGACTCAACCGAAAGGGATTTTGGCGGATTGGCGCGCTGTCACCCGTGTCAATATGGTGTCGCAGCAATTTGGTACAACCAATATCAAATTTGTGTTGACTAAAAACGTCAGCAAATTCGCTCAGGAGAACTCGCAGCTGCGCGCGCTGCGAGTCGGACAGGTCCACTGAACCCGCGCAAAGCGCATCCAGCCATCCGTCATCACAGTCCGAATGCGGTCGCGACGGAGGATCGGTGGATACCTGACCCACGAGTGGTTCCTCATAGGGTACCGGCGTTGCGTGTGCAAGCACGGTCCCTTGAGGAACCACGGCCGTTCGCGATCCCACATTAAGGACTGCAATGAAGGGGTCCCCATCCCCTCTCACCATGGTCTGAGCCGCGAGCAAATCGGGTCCATTGACCCCGGCCCGAGATGGTCCCAACAAGACCCCCCTATCCGCAACCCCTTCATTAAACGGCCGACGCAACCTAAGAGGGACGAGCATCTGAGCCCCCGGAGGTACGCGCACAGTTTTTGTCACGAGCGCCTGCACGGTGGCAAACGCCCGACGCTCCGTGGTGGGGGAAGACAAAAAAGTAACGCGTCGGCCCGATGGGAGCTCAATGCACCCCTGGTCAATCAGGATACGGATGGGCATTTTGGCCAAGAAATCCGTCCCCAACAGGCACGGAACCGCGAGTGAGGAGGAAACCAAAACAGGGCCGGATAACTTAATGTCTCCGATGCAGATAGTGGCGCGGATTTGCCCAATAATGCCCAGCGAGCCCCTGTTAGCAGCATAGCATGGCACGTCAACAGGGAGCAAGGGACGACTTTGAACGGGAAGGATGTTATAAATCAAATCAGATATAATGGTCGCCGATGCCCCTGTGTCAATTAAAATCCGCACCTCTACCCCATCAATGTGACCGACCACAACCGATGATCCCGCCGACGCAGCAACAACACGATGGGCGAGCTCCGACCACTGACCTGGTTGGAGCGCTCGCCGCATTACCGAACAATCGCGCGCGACGGACGGGGAATTTGGAGCCCTGTTTAGTTGAGCGCGTGAGTGTGTGTCGGATGTGTGTGTGGGCCAAAGGTGTGAGGTGCCGCGACTCGCCGTATTTCTCTGCTGGAGCTTGGGAGGAGACGGCGTGGCGTCCTGGCGAGGTGTCGCCCCGCGCTGACGGGGAGCCCGGCATCCTGACGCAACGTGGCCTTGCAGGCCACAGTTGTAGCAGCGTGTGAGCGCCCCCGATGTCCTGGGCTGCTCCTGGCGACTCGGTCCATTCCGAGCCTGTGGCGCCGCCGATCTCCATTCCCCTCGCCGCTCCACCCCGCAGACCTCCTCCGACGGGAGGGCGGTGGCCGCCATGGCATGGCCGGCCGCTCCCTTTGCCGCCTTCCGACGTAGGGACCGCAAGCCCCCGTGTATGTGGCGCGCGATCAGCAGGGACGACATCTCCGCGTCGTCTTGAGCCAGGACGTTGACGTCCAGCTCATCAGCGAGTAGCAGCAGCTTCTCAGCTACCATGGCGTCCACTCCTTCCTCGTCCATCCTTGGAAAAGCAGCCTTTGCCAGGGCTAGGAGAGCCGTCCGGAAGGCCAGGGGCGATTCGTTAGCGCCCCGATGCCGATCGTGGAACAGCTGCCTGCAGTCCGAAGGCGGCCCATAGACGGCCGACAGCAGCTGCAACGCCAGGTGTAGAGTGGCGCGCTTTTCCCTAGGAGCCGAGGTGAGGGTAGCCAGAGCGTCGTTGTCCAGCATCGCCGGCAGCGCGCGTAGAGCCTCGGCGTCCGTCCAGTTCGCCATCTCCTGATGAGCGATGAACCGCCTCTTGAAGCCGCCCCAGTCTCCGTCTGCGCCTACGAATTCTTTCAGAGGCGGCAGACGCTGCTGCAAGGCGACGTCCGTGGCTGTAGATCGCTCTCCGTCGCTCCCCGCCGATGATACAGTGTGGGCGGGCTGTGCACATGGCATCGCCGGTCGCTCCGATGTTGACGCGCCGGCCGGTGTTGATGATGTCACGGCTTGTGCTTGGCGCTCAGCAGTCACGTGACGCGGGCCGGCCCCGCCGTCCGCTCGCACTGTAGAGATGGCGGGAAATTTAACCGCCAGCCGCGTCGGGGTGGCGGGAAACGTCGCCGCGCGCCGGCTGCTGTCGTCGACCCGCGCTGCCCCTCCAGCCCCCAGCCGCGTGATCTCCTCCAACGCAGCGGCGGTGGCGTAGAGCAGTTCCGCCAGGCGGGAGTGGGCCAGCCGGAGTCCTTCAGCCGACGCATCCCCCCCCTCTTGTCGTAGCGGCGCGGGCGTACTTGGCCCCGGCTGCTCCGATCCGACCCCGGCCATCTCTGGTGTTGAATCGGCCGCGGCGTCTTCCATCTCCGACTCCTTGGTACGTGTCGTCCCTCGTGTGTCCATCGTTTGGACGTTTTACTTCTGACACCAGATGTAGTAAATATATGGAGGCTTGACGACAGGATCGGAGGCACACTTATTTATTACACCAACACAGTTATTACAGGTCACTGGGCTACAGGGATTTCTCGACAGCTAACCCCTCTAACCTATACCAATTCCTCCACTACGGAACTAGGGGAGGCTATCTGTCCCAGCTTGGTTAAGCTGGGATCCCGGCTCCCTGAGTCACCAGACCAGCTTCGTCTGGGCTCTCGGGGCCACGCCACCGGCTTGCCCTGGTCGGCCCTTATAAGGACAGCGAGCCAGGGGAGCTCTGGGGCCTACACTAGCAGGTCTTCCGTCTTCTCTGGTTAAAGCTGAGTCCCGACCTCGAGCCCTCGAGCTCATCACCTTTTATAGGACTCCCCCCGAGGGGGGGCCCGTGGAGGACGCACATTCGGACGTCGGTGCGAGCGCCACCCTTGTGTACGGCCGTAACCCCGCCCCTTGTGTTTGTTGGCCATCCGTGGCCATGCATAATCACACCTCAACATTCGTAGCCGTGCGCAATTACACCTCTACATACGTACCCTATTATGCTTTCCAAAATTAAATGTAATGTCTTAAATAGTAGTGTAATATTCTTGGTTCTTTCGGTAAAGTCACGTAGAAGGGAAATAAAAAAAATATATAAAACAATAAAATTATCACGACGTTTCGACTGCAACACAAGCAATCATCATCAGGTGTGAAATCCACAGCAAGAAAATGTAAACTTTTCTTGCTGTGGATTTCACACCTGATGATTGCTTGTGTTGCAGTCGAAACGTCATGAGAAGTTTATTGTTTAATATTTTTATTATCTTATTCTTTCCCTTCTACGTGACTTTACTGAAAGAACCAAGAACATGAATCCCTGCAGTCACGAAAGCTTTAAATCAAAATTTAGTAGTGTAATGCCAATGTGAGTAGTCAAGCGTCAGAGTCAGAGGAGTTAAAATCAGGAAGAATTAAAAAACAACAAAGATTTAAGAAAGCAATGCAATTTTTATGCCCATTAGTACACAAGAGTTTCAGAACATTTGCTGTACACAAGTTTTTCATGGCACCCTGCATCTGGTATGGATTCCACATGCACAAGTACAGAAAACAAAAAGTGGATTTGGAAAGTGAATTGCGACCACCAAATCTGAGACAATTCAATGAATCTTTGAGGCAACAAATAATTACACCCCCTCACAGCCCGAATTCTTATAATACACTTGGTTGAAATTTGAGTGCAAAATTAGTCATACATTCCAAGTATCATACTTGTTTACATTTATAAATGTAAAAAAACCCTTTCAATTATTTACTTCTTAAAATCACATGTAGTTTGCATATGCACAGATACATACACAGTGTGTGAATATACAGTATCAGGTCAAACATATTGAGAATGTGATAATAAAGTTGTACAAACTCCTAAGCTTATCTTGAATTCACAGTTTTATGTATTAATCACATACTATTCTATAGTAACATGAGCTGATGTGTACAGTGACAAATGCAATAATTGTTAAATGTGAAGAGTATAGTAATACACGTTTTTATTGTCACGTTCTCAATGATGTTTGACTGTCCATTCCAGCCAATACTGCTCGAGTAACTACTGTGCATCTGTGCCATTTCAAAATTATAACCAACGATCATTTGCCACAAGCGATGCGTTTGCAGAAGCCGCCTTGCAGAAGCTCACAGTTTCCTTCAAATCACGATGCCTTGCTCAGTAATCCAAACAATCCCTCTTTCGTTTCATTTCATTCTACAAAATTAGACACTCTCATCACCAATGTCAGAATCAATTTGGGCTACAAATCTAAATTACATTCAGTTGCGAGACGAGTACCCTCAGAGTACAGAATAGGTTTAACCTCCATAGAGGCAATGCCGCCTATTTGTTTTGGCATTTGGTTTCAAAGGTGGAGGAAACAATGTTAGGAGAGGGTGACAAGGAAGAGTCTCATTTTATTTGGATTTGTGTGTCTCGATGGACAGGCCATTGTCAGTTCCCCCGGCGAGAGGCTTGAGTCGCCTGTGGCTGTAACGCTGGATGAGAGCTCCGGGCATCAGAGATGCAAGCGCAATGGCCAGCAGCTGCAGCATGGTCGCCCAGGAGAAGACGTCATCCAGGGAAGACACCTCGGACAGGATGCAACCCGCCTGCACGCAGATAAAGTTGTATGGCAGCAGGCCTGCGGAACAATTAGGGAGAATTGTATCCACTCGTTAAAATCCGTTTGGGATGGATGGTATGGTGTACATCAAAGTGCCAGACCCAATGCTTTGTAGACGTTGATGTAAAACATTTCTTCCGTGAAGATCTAACAGAAATATTCAGATGGATCGAAGCAGCAATACCAGCTAAATAAAAAGAACCACGGTGGAAATTTGTTCAGCCACGTCGTCATTAATGAGCTGATAAAACAGACATAAGATGATGGTTCCTTCCTTTATGCCCCTCCCTATACATTACTGCAAAGGTTTACATAACAATAAGGAATGACAAATGATGACCTATAGCGAATGCATGCTTCCGATGATTATAATTAATGATATTGACTAAAACTGTGGACTTGTTTGTTTTTATACATTGCTGATCAATCTCAACAGTGACGGAGAGATAAAATCCTGAAAAACACCGAAAACCTGTGTGCTAACGATGATGAATATAACAGCTAAAGTCGAACAAATAACAACGTAAAAATAACAAGCATAGAATAAAAAATAGGGTAAAGATTAAAATCGTTGTACTAAATGATGACACTAATGTTGAATGAAAGAAAGAAACCACCCAAAACAGAAACTGGTGATATATTATTCAAAATATTAAAGGAACAAAGTTGCATGGCAACGTAGCAGTTCAAAACTGCTGCAAAAAATTACTTCAGGTGGCTGGAGCTAACACGGCTGAAAACCTGAGTTTGAATCCAGGTTTCAGTCAACTGTGATTAAACCGGGTTCTCAAGTGAAGCAAAGTGGTAGTCTTAGTTAAGTCACCAACAATTACAAAAATAAATTCTCATTGTATTTGTTTTTTCACTTAATTAGCCTTATTCAAGCTCTAAAACTGAACATTCTCAATGTTATTGACATGCGATGAACAATATTTAGAGAGCGTTAAAAGATGTGTCCTACGTACGGATAAAAAGGTCTAAATTTATTTTGACGTAACTTCAGAATTAGTTATTTGAAGTAATCTTCAAGGTCAGTCCTCTCACACAAGACAAATGCACTCCTAGCTGCAGAATTCCGAGGATCGGACAATCGAAATATAATTGGTGGGAATGTCTTTTCAGAAAACGATTGTTTTCTGAAACCCTGTCTAACTGCCTCCATAAAATAGCACCGGGATTGAAGTTCACGATCTCGTGCTGACCTACGTTGGCCTGACCTGGCCAAGCCCTCGAGATGTATTGGCTGTCATGGTGCGTAGACGCCACAAGAGCGGCGCTCCTGAATTTGCCTTTCAGTTATTTATTTCTAAGCTTACTCGTAGAGAACATGTTGCCGCGCAATGGAAAATAATTATCATACTCTGCTCACAATCCTGTACTCGGAACACCAAAATAAATATTTTTTTTTACGTAATAAAATGCACAAATGTTAAAGTTATACTGGTAGGAACCACCTGGTTCCACCAGCCCACAGGGGATTATTGTGTCCGTCCATCTGTCATGCATACAAAAATGGGAGGGGTGGGGCTGGGTGGAGAGGGGAGGGTGGGGAGGGGCTAGGTGGAGAGGGTGGGGAGGTACTGGGTGGGGAGGGGCTGGGTGGGCAGGGGCTGGGTGGGGAGGGTGGGGAGGGGCTGGGCCGGGGGGTGGGGAGGGGCTGGTCACCCCGTGGTGCCCTTATAAAACTCAACGTTTAACCTACTCACGCCGGCTTGTGCCCGCCCTCACAGTCGCTGTGCAACGGAAAATAATTATCGTACATATATCGTACTTATATTTGCGGAATACACCACGCCGCCGTTGACCCTGGCCATTGACCGAGCAACCCAACGTTCCTACCAGCTCCCTCCGCAGGAATGAGTTAGCCATTGTAAAAGGAATCGTGTCAGTCTTTTCTATTCGTTACTCCCACCTCTTCCGTGTCGCGATCTATTATAACGATTTGCCTTCCAAACGTCTTCTGCCGTTGAAATTCAACTCAATGGCTTTTTTTGTTGCGCAGAAAATCCCATTCAGCCAGTTACGCAGCGAGTTGCTGTTGTAACGCCCGCAGAAGCCACTCGGAGCAGAGTTATTGTTGGGGTGAAGAGGGAGCCAGCCAGGAAACTCGAGGCACATATTTTTTTTAATGTTTCGAATGGACATATGCATTGTTTCATTAACATATGGACACTCAAGAGCATCAAATTGTGCATTTGAAAATGTATTATTTTATTTAATGTATATGCAATTGATATTCTTGTGCTACCTTTATGCTCGTGAAGTATACATAACTGTACGAGACGTAAAAATAGAAATATGTACAAGACAGTAAAAATAACGCAAAAAATAATCCACTCTTTGATCGATTTATGACCAAAACATTCTGATTATTTGTGGAACCAATGAGGAATGAAACCTTACAGTTGTAATATTTTTGTATTTGTATGTATTGTGTCTTATTTTAAGCTTAGTCATCGGCCTTGCTTACCTATTAGCACCGAGCAGAAGAAATGCTTGATGGGAATGTTAATGATGGGAGCTGTGATGTTCAAAAACCAGTTTGGGGACATTGGGAAGAACCTCAGGAAGAGCAGAAAGAAGAACAAGCTCTCACGGTTTTCTTCCACCTTGAAATATACACAATTACAAACACACAATTAGCATCTATATAAGACAAACGTACAAGTGTGAAACCACATGCTAATTATTCTGTGTTGTTTTAACGAATGCATTTCATGGACTCAATTAATTAGTCAGTTGCAGCAATGGAGACTTGCATATATGCATGAATTATGTACAATTCATTTTAGTGACAGCTACACATTTATAATCAAGGCCGTTTAATGGTGGGCTATAATCAAGGCCTTTTAGTGGTGGGCAGCTGTGCAAATTTAGCAAAATACCAGAGTACTGGCAAAGTAAGAGTGCTTCACTGGGTTTTTCTATGTCAATAATTGATTTGTATCCATTTGCCTAAGGCATAATCTTCATGGCTCAGCAAATGAAGATCCTTCTTCACTGATCATGAGGGTTGGACCATTGCTATCCAAATACAGGCGGTCTCCTGTTTACGACGGTCCGATTTACGAAGAACCACATTTTGACGTTTATCCTCGCAGAGGCTTGTCATCCTTGCAGTGCTTTTAGCTAACCATTGCACAAAGACAGTCACTACAACGCACGCTTTCAGATGCGCTTCTGTGGTCATCTGGAATGCTCTTCCTTCTGATATTAGGAAGCTACTGGAGCGATGCCTTTTAAATCTGCATTGAGAACTCATTGGTTAAGAACTGCTTTTTGTGTTTAGTTTGTTGTCTTTCTCCCGCACCTCCGAGTAGTACGGTTGGCTACGTACCGTGAAAAAGAAGTACATACAAACATAATGCCACCATGAATTTACGACGCAGAAACTTGATTTACGACACATCTTCTGACATGACTCCCAACACATTTGAACAGTCAGTCTGGCTTCTGATGTGACTTCGCGTGGAACTTTTGTTATTTTTGAGTGTTTTTGTAGAAAATGTATATATTAAACCCTAATAAATATGACTGATAAAAGGAGAAAAACAAGTGACGTGTCTACTGTTTATATTATGGGAAACAGTCAGATTTACAACAATCCAATTTATGACAGGGTTTCCAGGAAAGCATTGTGTCCCAAAAGCGAGGGGTGCCTGCAATGATTTTAAACGAAATAGTTGTTTGTAGTAACATGATGGTTAAGACAACACAGTCCAACAACAAGAGCCATGGATATTTTAAGAACAATTATAAAAAAACGCAAACAATGTTTATGCTGACATACTTTATAAAAGAATATCACACATGGCTCCAAAGAAGTTGGCTCAATTTAAAAGCATTTTTAATAATAATAAAAAATAGACAGTAATGTTACATGTTACATTTTCTCGTCAAGTTTTATCATGCAGCTCAATTGGCTACAGTCTGGTGTAGTGATCAGTTGTCAACAAAAAAACACGTTTTCATGTAACGTTACATAACAGAAAATGTTGCAAAGTGTCATGTCTCATTACACTTCAGTGATTGACTGGCTTTAGTTGTGCTCACCTTTTTCTGCAAGGCCTCGACTTTGCTTGGGAATTTGCTGATGATGATTTGTTTACCGAATAAGCGGGACAGTAAGTAGCAGCAGGTAGCTCCACAGGCTGTGAGCAAACAGCAGAGGGGCAGACCTCGCCAAAAGCCAAAGAGCGCGCCTCCCAGGACGTTCTTGCCACACACACACACACCGCCCGCACCAGTGTTACATTAATATGAGTAGATTTGATCCAAACAGACTCAAGAGTTGCACAAGGCTTTCATTAATAAAAATACAGCCAGTGTGCCTAAGGGGCAGATAACATTTGATGCTGAATCATTCCAGCAGAAGGAATGAGATGTACAGTTTGTCTGAATTATGAATCTTCCAAATGTACAATGTGGACAAATGCATGTGACATGTTTACTAACCTCGTTAAGAATTACACATTTAATTTAAAAGGTATACTAAGCCCTGTCTACATAACGAAAGGAGCTATCAGTAGTAGTGGGCTAAAATGAGATTGACACTTGGAGGCATAAGTGCATGCATGTATGTGTACCCGTGTGTGCCTGTATGACCAATAGGGAGCCATCTCTTGACCACACATGGGCATTGATCAGCCTCCAATTGTATCTATACTAGATGGAAATTCCCCCGGCACAGCCATGGAAATATTCTTGAACTATGTGGTTTAAAAATATATAAAATAATGTAGGAGCCAGAGGACATCCTTGTTGCACCAAAAGGTAAACAGGGAATGGCTCTGACCCCTGGCCACATATCTTTACCTGAGCCTGCCCACCATCATGAAGGTCCTTAATGATTATGGCCAGAGAGTCAGACACTACAAAAGCACACAGAACAACCCAGAGCCCTGACCTATTGATGATATTATAGGCCTTGACCAGATCAATAAAGCAAGATGTAATTCATATTGGAATTCCCTACACCTCTGCTGTAGCAGATGTACAGAGAATATGGCATCTGTGCAGCACCGCCCCAGCCTGAAACCACATTGGGGCTCCGCAAGCCTCTCCTCAGCCTATCTGACAAGGTGATGTTGATTCATCTTTTCCAGGACCTCTCCTGTCCAGTGGTCCAGACTGTTGTAATAATGTCATATAGGGCAGTCTGCACACAAACACCACCCTCCCTCAGCAGCTTTCCTGGTCTCAGACTATGGATTGCCATCCGTACATCAACAGATGGCACCTCAGCCAGCCACTCACAGGGGTGACTACTTCTTCTTCCAATATTTGAGGCACTGCAGTTCCAGCAGGGTCATCCCCACCTTGCCCCATAATGAGTTTAACCAGGCTGGATTTTGCGAGGGGCTCACAACTCATTGAAAGACCTGGACAGTCCCATTATTGAGCTCCTCTGGCCGGCAAGGCTGCATTGGCTGGGGCATATAGCCTGCATGCCGAGCCACCACATATCCAAACAGCTTTTGTTTGGCCGGATAGAGGATGCAAAATGGCGTGGCATGGGCTAAAGAAGAAGTGGACTGATATGCTACAGGAATATACGCCTTTTGGCGTCCTCTGGTCTAACACCGTTTGAGACTAGGCTCGAAAGAAAGCTGTCTCTGGTGTGGACCAATCAGTTTCAAAGACAATGCATATATTATCAGAGTATGTTTTTTGTTTGCATTCTGACCACAAGTATTGTGGTTAATGCAGACATGATTCCTTGTAAAAGGTTTCAGTTTGGTGTTTTAACATCGTAACACCTGTTTTGTTGCCAGAAAAAATAGGAAAACCTATTCTCAGGAAGATATGGAGTTGAGTGGACTTGCCGATGACTGGTACCAGTGGTGTCAAGATCGGCCTCTGTGGAGGAGGCTCGTGAAGGAGGCTACTGGGCAGTTGGAGGCAGTCGCCCTCCAACAATAGCGGAGGGCCAGTCATCTCGGTCTGTCAATCCATGGCACCTGGCTCTGTCTTGTGACCGCCTGTCAGCGGGCCTTCAACACTTCACATGGCCTCAAAGTGCACTTAGCCTGGCACAAGCGTCGTGGTGATGTCACCACCACTTAGTGGCGAATGGCGGTTGTTGTTGTTGTGCCTGTGTGCTGGCAGTGGTGGTGCAGGGGTTGCCGTGGCATGCGTACATCAGCATTGCGGATAGAAGTCCGGCCAAGTACAGTACTGGCCTCACCACTCCTGAATTACGAGCAATAGTGTCGTGATTAGCGTGCTGCAATACGAACCCAGCCACCGAGTTCAATTCCCGCTCATGGCCAACACCAGTGAAAATCATGTAAACCAGTCCTGGGCATCCCCTAAGTCGACTCAGCCTTAAATGAGTACCTTGTTGCAATGTGTAAACATTGCCACTGGGGAGAAAAAGGCAGCCAGGCATGATGCTGGTCACTCACCCCCCCACCCCATTCTCTGCACTTGCCTTCAAAAGTGCTCGCTAACGACACTTGTCCCAAAAGTCTGTTAAGGCTATACAGGAAATCTTTGTCTTTGTTTGTGCCTGTGTGCTGGCAGTGTTGGTGCAGTGGTTGCAGTGGCATGCATACATCAGCATTGGGGATACAAGTTCAGCCAGGTATGGTACTGGCCTCATCGCTCCCTTGTGTTTTACCAGCCTTAACAGGTTCCTGTTAGCAGCATTTGCCCAAACAATCTGTGTGGCTATATAAAGACATTCATGTGTGTCTGTGGGGTACAGTGGTGTAGCAGTTCATCCACTGCACTACGATCATGACAACCCAAGCTTGAATTAATGAGACACTGGGTATTAACTAATCCCTGGCTTCTTCTAGGTCAACTAAGACTTAAAATGAATATCTAGTGGATTGTGAGAACATTTATCTTGGGAACACAAAGGCAGGCATTGACCACACCACCACATTGTTAACACCAACCCCAATAGATGTGCACTAACAGCACTTGCCATGTTCTTTTAATGCTAATTGTGAGATGTTAATATTTTTAAAGCATGTGTTGATGGGGCATTGGGGCTATATGGGAGCATTTGTTAAAAAATATAAGCCAACTCACCAGAAATACGGAGCCAGGGATGGCGAAGGTCTGCTTGTACAAATAAGCAGAGCAGAAGAGCAGCAACACATAGCCTGTCTGCTCGGCCTTGTAAGAGTTGAGCACCTTCGCCAGCTGCTGCAGCTCCTCCAAGTTTGATGGGAAGCTTATGGCACTGCCATAGGGCATAATACAATAAAGGTTCATGTACTACACAGGGTTACGTGGTCATACTTCAATATGCTATTGCGTGCGGGTTAGTAAAGGTGGTGAGCATAGATGGCGAAAAACTGTAGCGTGAGGAGACACTCATTTGAGAGAGGATTAACATAAGGACAAAACATGTGCATAGTACCATGCAGGATTGGTTAGAAATCTCAATATCAATTTTACATGAATCTACTGGACATATAAAGGGGACTTTTTACCCACCCTGTACATGATATTAAACATTCAGAGCGTTCTTCTTGGTTCTTTCGGTAAAGTCACGTAGAATGGAAACAATAAAAATAATAAAATAAAACATAATAAAATAATTCTCACGACGTTTTGGCCACAACGCAAGCAGCCGTCTCCCCGACAGACCTGGTCTTCACCTGATGACGGCTGCTTGCGTTGTGGCCGAAACGTCGTGAGAATTCTTTTATTGTTTTATTTTATTATTTTTATTGTTTCCATTCTACATGACTTTACCGAAGGAACCAAGCAGATGAATCCCTGCAGTCATGAAAGCTTTAAATCGAAATTCAGAGCGTTGTTGTGGAAATGTGTATTTTTAACTAACTTGCAAGAACCATACAATTCACTAGTGCCCTGCAGAATGAATTGACTTGTTTTAAAGCGGAATATATTATTTCAAGAAGTTTATTGCAAAATTAGCACTCTGCTTCAGAACAAGCCTACTAATGTGGAATTTTTTGTTGGTACCTTGTTCTCAAAAAACATGCAGAGGTGCAACATTTTAAATGAATTTGGGAGCTCCCTTTTCAGGGGCTTTGTACTACCAAGAGCCTCAATATTATTTTAATTTACATATCTTTTTTGATTAGGCGCAATTCACAATTTGTATCGGGACTGAACAAAGATCATGTAGCAAAATATTGTCAATGCAAATTCGTACAAGTGACATTTCTTATTTTCATAAAATGAGAACTAATCTATTTAGGACAGTGATTCGCAGCCTTCTTTGGCCACTGTTGTACTCCTTGTTGAATTGTTTCAACCAAGTAACCCCCTTGCCTGACCCAAAATGGTTCTGAGGAATAAACGTATGAATAAGGAACATCAATATTTTAACTAATTGTCAATTTTGTGAAGTATCCTAACTAGTTAGTAACGATCAGCGAATAAAAAACATATCAACGGATGCTCTGCATGCATGACGTAATTTGTCCACACTCACTGGTTACTCTTAGAAACCACATTGTTTACGGGCAATGAATTTAGAATGGCCTTTTATATCGCTCTCGGTTACCATATGGATCCATATTGGCATTGTGTGCATAAGTTGAAATATATATATTTTAAAGCACAAAAATTCTGCATTAACACATTATACAAGAACAACATATTAAAGGCGAATGCTTTGGGCACTGTCTCCAGTGTGATTATGAATTACAAAAATATGAGCCTGGGTTCCACACTGACTCGGTCGTGTTGGAGAAGCCGGGCGGCTTGGAGGACAGGTGGTAGAGAGCACCGCTTGCCAGGGCAAACATGAGCAGGGGACCCAAGTAGTATCCCAGTGACATCCTCCTCCCCCTTCTCTTCCTTCTGCCGGACTTCTTGAGACCCTGCTGCTGCTGCTGCATCGACAACAGACACCGTGACTGTTAATGTCACGCCAATAATGACAGCAGACAATGCTGACATGCATTAAAGGAAATAACTACTGCCAGAGAATATATTTTAATCACATCATATTACTGTATGGCACAGTGCATTTGCCATACACTTACGCATGTAACCACACACGCATATGCAGGTATGGCGAATGTATACTGCACACTGCATACTCTGTATGTGTGTAGTTGAGTGCTATATATTATCAGGCCACAATCTGCTGAATGTGACCTTGATAAATAATGTGTTCAAATGAATGCCGGTGAGCAGTTTCAAAATCATCCTAATAATACAGTATATGACATGGGATATTGAATAATTAAATTATTGTACAATATTGATGGTTTTAGAACGTATGGATTTCTTATGGAATACAGTAAGTCATTGTATCACACACACAAATAGGAATGCTGTGGACTGAAGTTAGTAAGAGTATGTCCTCCACCCCAAGTTACTCTGATAATTTCCCCATAATTATAATAAACGAGGACACATTTTTTATCTGCATTATAGTCCTAAGTGTTGGATGTCCCTGCCGAAGTAAAAAAAGCCATCTCATGATTAGACTACCATGATTACCCACGTCTTTAAAGTGTAATAATTGAAATGTATGTCCCAAATCGTGGAACTGCCTTGCTGGGAAATATTGTTGCAGAAGGCTCACACAGGCTGGTGAACGAAACATTTTACAACATTTTAATTTACGTTGTAAAACAAACTCGTTCACGTTTGTAAAAGTTGGAAGTGTTGTGGCTTGGCTCTCCAACACACCGGTTAGTGCTGTACGAGTGACGAATTGTCACGTTCTATTTACATGACAACCCTTACTAGTTGGCTGTGTCAGGTGGTGGCGGGTTTTAACGACACATTTATATATTTACACGATCTAACCCAAAACACCTCTATTATGGACCGTTTATGTTGATTTACCTACAGTAGATCCAGAGCCGGCCCAGCCACTAAGCGACCCTTGCAATTGCAAAGGGCCCCGTGGCCAGCAGAGGGCCCCCTAGAGTCACTGCTAGCTGGTAGGTGAAAAAAAAGCATACATCAAAGGGGCCTCCAACCAAATTTTGCTTAGGGCCCCCAAAGGTCTAGGGCCGGCTCTGAGTAGATCTTTTCTACCTGCTTTCCACACCAGTCCTGTGTAGGGTAGTTTATATATATGTATGCACAGATGTGGTGTATCTGGAAATACTATACACTGCAGTTTAATTTAAGTTATTTAAAACAACTTAAACCGCACTGCAGTGATAACAATAATCTTGATTTGAAGCTTCCGTGACTGCAGGAATCCATACTCTTTGGTTCTTTCGGTAAAGTCACGTTAGGTATAAGTTAAAATAAATCACGACGTTTGGATCGCAACACAAGCGGTCGTCTTCAGGCGGACAAAAATATAATCCAGCAGTGGAACTGCTGAACCATACCTACGTGACTTTACTGAAAGAACCAAAGAGTATGATAACAATAAGTTGTGTCATTCAATTGGGATTATATTCAGCAGCAATTGCCCCAATCCCCCATTGGCCAACTCATGCCCCAGTGTCACTCTTGTGAATGAGACTCATTCTGGTCCTGGTCTCTTTAAGATTTCTCCCATACCTGTCAACCCATACAGTTTACCCGTATTCTTGTACAGGGAAATAGAGTTTTCAGGTCCATATGCCGTGCAGCCGTTTCAATACGGGCAAAATTTGTTTTGTCTATTTGTGTTTCTCCCTTGTGATGGGACTTTGTAGGATGAACGTTGAGATTTATAAGGGACACGGGGTGACCAATAAGGTCGGAATTGGTCTGTAATAAGGTCGGCACTGATAAGAGGTTGAAAGATATGGACTTCTCACCTGGTGAAATAAAATACACTTGAAACGTGTCGTTGTACACCGACTCTCATTGTATGCATGACGCCATTAATGTATGAAAAAACAAGAACACAAACATGCTCTGATAATTATATATGCATTGTCTTTGAAACTGCCTGGTCTACACCAGCGACAGTCTTCTTTAGAGCTTAGTCTCACCAGTGTCATACCAGAGAACGCAAAAAGGTGGACAGTACAAGGGCAATGCACTATCAGGACATTTATAGCTCGTCTTTTGGCATTGTTCTCTGCTCTGACACTGGTGAGACTTTGGTCCTAAAGAAGGCTGCCTGTCTCTGGTGTAGGCCAATCAGTTTATAACATAATGTCATATATTACCAGAGCATGTCTGTTTATAACCACAAGTACGTGTGGGTAATGCAAACGTGATTCCTTGCAAAGGGGATTTATATTTGGTGTTTGAACACCGAAACACCTGCTTTATTGCCAGAAAGGTAAAACCTATTTCTTTAATACTTTGATACTGGCAAAAAAAAATTGGTTCAAAATTAATCTGATTTTTTTCATACTTTGACACCGTAGTCAGTCACGTTACGGCGAGCTAAGAGCCCTGATGTCAATCTCATGCGGACTCGCGGGCTGATTGTAGAGGGTGCTTCAACAAAACGTGTGAACACTTCTGAGAAATTTGCAACAATACTACAAACACATTCCTGCGGCGGGAGCTGGTAGGAACGTTGGGTTGCTCGGTCAATGGCCAGGGTCAACGGCGGCGTGGTGTATTCCGCAAATATGCCCGACTGTGAGGGCGGGCCCAAGCCGGCGTGAGTAGGTTAAACGTTGAGTTTTATAAGGGCACCACGGGGTGACCAGCCCCTCCTCACCCTCCCCACCCAGCCCCTCCCCACCCAGCCTCACCCCCCCCCAGCCCCTCCCCACCCAGCCTCACCCTCCCCACCCAGCCTCACCCTCCCCACCCAGCCTCACCCTCCCCACCCAGCCTCACCCTCCCCACCCAGCCCCTCCCCACCCTCCCCACCCAGCCCTTCCCCACCCTCCCCACCCAGCCCCTCCCCACCCTCGACTCCCCACCCAGCCCCTCCCTGCACGTGTCTGTTGTTGTCGTATCTTCAAATCTTGTAACTAAATTTTAACCCACTTCCCAATGTGGTATCGACTGCAAACTTCGTATACTTATGTCTTACTGATGACAATACTATATTCCATCATTAAAAATAAATAAAAATATTTTTTAACCATCATTTGTATATGTTATGTTTCGGCTTGGCTCTAATTGTTGGCTGTAAATCATTGAAGCGTGTTTACATTTTTATTACTCATTTCCGTTAAAAACGATAGTTCCGTATAAGTGTTGATGTCTTGTTGAAGCACCCTGCACTTTGACCACACGTCGCCACGACGAGCAGTGTCGGGCTTGGTGAACGTGCGGGGGCGCATAGAAGTCCCGTACAACCACGCGCGCCGCTGCACTGACCTCTGCTGTCCGGTACGTCCACGTGACCTGCACGGTTCGAAGCCCAGCAAACGATAATTCTGATACAATTGTGCACAGTATTGTATCGATGCAACGTTTACATATATATACACACACACACATACTTTACTGTACATCATAACATTATCCACGTTGTGTGCTGTAGTCGGCGTGAAGCGTTAACCCTTCACTTAATGTGAACTCGTGTGCCCTGGCCACCGTGTGGTTCGATATGGGTTTCAAAAGGGGGTGGGCAAAGAACACAGACTAACCGTGTTACCACACACACACAGCTTGAAACAATACACGCAAAACCAGCATCCGAGGTACGCGGATGCTGGTTTGCCATCGCCACTGTGTGGTGGTCAAACCGAGCAGCGAATGACTTACCTCTGTGTGTGTGTGAGAATAGTGGTCCGTCTCACTGCGCTGGGGTTAAGAATCGATGTCTCGTCTCTCCGTTTACGTTAAGGTCTCTCGATCTTCTCTTAGAACATGACACCGGCATGGGGCGGAAGCGCTCGGGTTAAAGTGCAGCGACGAGTGATAATGCACGAACGTGGGTGAGAAGGCTCGAGAGCTTCCCCTTGTGGTTCGTTGTGTGAACTGCAAGGGGCAAGTTGATGCCACGTGTGTTGAATTTTACTGGTAGGAACCACCTGGTTCAACCAGCCCACAGGGGATTATTGTGTTCGTCCGTCGTGAATCAAAAAATGGGAGGGTGGGGATCGGCTGGGTGGGGAAGGAGGGGTGGGGAGGGGCTGGGTGGGGAGCGTGAGGCTGGGTGGAGAGGGTGGGGCTGGGTGGAGAGGGGCTGGGTGGGGGGTGGGAGGGGAGGGGCTGGGTGGGGGGTGGGGCTGGGAGGGTGGGGCTGGGTGGGGAGGGACTGGTCACCCCGTGGTGCCCTTATAAAACTCAACGTTTAACCTACTCACGCCGGCTTGTGCCCGCCCTCACAGTCGGGCATATTTGCGGAATACACCACGCCGCCGTTGACCCTGGCCATTGACCGAGCAACCCAACGTTCCTACCAGCTCCCTCCGCAGGAATGTGTTAACTATTTAAAGTAAAAAAAAACACTTCGTGAGATTAATTGTTGTTTTACAGCTGTCGCATATCTGTCAACCCCTTATCAGTGCCCTACCTTATTACAGACCAATTCAGACTTTATTGGTCACCCCGTGGCCTTCTAAATCTCAACGTTCATCCTGCAAAGTCCCATCACAAGGGAGAAACACAAATCCAAAAACATGTGCTCGTATTGAAACGGCTGTACGCCGTACGGACTTCAAAATTAAATTCCCCTGTACACGAATACGTGTAAACCGTATAGGTTGACAGGTATGGCTGTCGTGAAAATGCAATAAAGTTGTTTTGAAATATTTTATGCTCTATGAAAATATGAACAAAACTGAGTGTTTTCAACTTCCCACATTTAGCCAATTTTTGCATATTATTTGTCTACAAGATAAACCAAAATGCGGTATTTACCACTTGGCATACAGTTTTTTTTTTCTCATAAGAAAATAACCTTGTTATTTTTTTAAACATTACAATAGCTGGAAATAAAAAAAAACGACAAATGACCACATAGCTGTTGAACTTAGAATTGTCAATGTTGCATTTTAATTCTGGAATAGCAATGAAAGAACATCAGTACAACTTAAAAAAAATACCTCTATTACATCAAGTTAGTTTAAACCACCATATGGCACGAAGTCAATTTTCATCCAGAAGAATTTCAGAAATACAGCAAATTGCTAAAATGTACAACTTTAATCAAAGGGACCATTGCAGCAAAATGTACATGGAAATATACACAATGAGAACAGTACTTCATAGGGATTTTCACGTGCGATTTTATGACAACACGAAGTAAAGGTTTAACCATTTTAAATAAAAAATTACCAAGCGACCTTTGAGGCACGGCATTGGTGAGATGTTACCTGCCTTGCCTGGTATACAGGAAGTCGCGGATTCTATCCCAAACCTAACACCTGTATATTCGGAGTTTGCATGTTCTCCCCGTGGTTGCGTGGAATTTTCTTCAGACCCTCCGTTTTTTTCCTCCACATTTAGAAACATGCGTTTGGCTGCGATACATTTCCACATAAGCCACTTCGTTGGGCTATCATTTGTGGCCAGGTCACTTCTGAAAAATAGCTATCTAGCTCAGTGGGCCTTACCTGGTAAAATAAAAAAAATTGTTTAGTTTAACCTGGTAAGTAACTGTGAAAACAACGAAGTGCAAAATGCTAAATCTGGAGATCACCTGACTCAGTCCTTTGGTGGGGGTGCATCCAACCGCAACTGAAAATGTTCGTTCTGAAAGACACTCTCATGGCCAACTGGAGACGACACCATGGAGAGGGGACGGTACGATGCACCTTCTGAGTCCGAGTGGCTCTTGGACAACTCGGCCAAGATGGCGATCTGCACATTGGAGACAGAAACCATTTCTTAAAATACTATTCTAAATGTGTGCATCTGTCTTCTAAATGTCTGGCTACAGACTATGGCATTTTAATTCTTAAATTGTGCATGAACTTCCGAAAAATCAACGTTTCCTTGCTCATCATTCACTGCCAAACACAGTGGTACACCCTTGTAATCTAGAATGTTTGAGGCAAAGTTTGGTGGATCATACAGATGTGAAATTCCAAACACTGCTGGGCTGACACGATTAGGAGATGGCAATACAAAAACATATGCTAGAATTCATATATACAGAACCTTCAGTGGTACAGTATTCCCTCGAATGCATGGATTTTCTCTGGTTGCCGTTGCCTCCCACATGGAAAACCCTCAGAAATATGTTTGCAAACACACACACATGAGAAGACTCACCCGAGAACGCCCCTTGTTAATCTTCTGTAGCTCGTCAAAACATTTGAACTGCTCAGGATCAATGACCACTTCAGGCACCTTAAAATAAAAACGTAACCCTCATCAACCATTCTAAAAGCATTACTAGATTAATGAAAGACCACTTTACATATTGTATTGGCTTATACCAGAAGACATTAAAACTCAAGTTCTCATTCCACTCTATAGTGCTAATTTATGTCCATCAATTGATGGATGGGTGGATGCATGCAATGCAATGTGAATAACATGGCTAAATGTGAAATGTGGGAAATATAATTATCATAATGCTATGATGGTAAACATCCATTTATAGTTATTAAAAAAGCTGAAATTGGATGTACAATTGCATGTGACTACAGTCTTTTATAAAGATTTGTTCAAAAAGCTGACAATTATTAATGACAAAACACATTACATTTTTTGACAAAAGCTGACCTTTTTGCTTCCCTTTGTTGTGGCTTTTTTCTCCTCTTTTGCAGATGCAACTCTTATCTGCAATGACACATTTAAGTGTGCAATAAAACATCACCGTATAATACGCTGTAAAAAAATGTTCTACTTAAAGTGATCTGCTATTAACATTAATATGCACATTTTATATTTTATAGTTCTCAATAAATATATTGTAACGCATGCATACATAATTTTACGAGGATATTTTGAAAGTCTTGTTGGTTACAGCAATTGCCACTAAAGCAATATATTGCATGGGTTTAGAAATTGAAATCCCATCTCTACTCAAAATTCCTCATTTGACAAAAAGTACTGCAAACTAATTATACGAAAACAGTTCACACATATCTATGGACAAAATGATGAAAAAATGATGAAAAAATGAGGAGAAAATGAATAGGCTGTACCCTTTCTGGTAAGAATACAGGTGTTAAGATGTTCAAAACACCAAGTAGACACCTATTGCAAGGCATCAAATCTGCATTGACCAAACATGATCGTGGTAAAACATGCATTACAAACATGATTTAACGTGTGATTGGCCTACACCAGAGACCGCCTGCTTTATGGCATTGTCTCGACAGTGTTAAACCAAAGAATGCCAAAAGGCGAACACAAGCACCTGTTCATCTTTTGGCGTAAGACCATACAGTGTGGGGGAGATCTCGACAATACAAATCCATGGACTGACCTGCGCGAGAGAGGTGGTACGTGCGTGCGCCTGGTTTGCGATCACTCCTCCATCCCGGTTGCTTGCATGGCACAGGTAGCAACTCCAGTTGCTCTGGCCCTCAACGGCATTGTGGCAACCAGTGCCTCGCAAGCAGTCCTCGTGGTAGACGTGTCCACAACTGAACCGGCCATGGAAAAAAAACCCCAGAGAAATCCGATGAGCTATGAAGCTCTTCTTCGCAGATGTCCAGTACATGAATACATCAAAGCTGCTCTCCATCCAAAATACAGCTGAACATTTGCTGCTGGTACTGAATGTTCAAGGAAACTAGTGCCTATAAAAAATATAACTGTCAAAAGAAAATTGCATTTAACAATTAAACTGCACAAAAATTAACTACGAAAGGCAGGGAGTCTCCCTCACCCACACACGCACGCTCCGTATTTTCATGATGCGCAGTTGCGCCTCACCATGAACACGCAAACTAAATCATTGCCATGTCACCTTAAGAGTGAAATAACCCTTAGCAAGGGGCAATACACACCCAAAGATGATGATGCGCTGACCAGGGCTCTGCCGGCGGCCATAGTGCTGGGTGCACACCCCGCAGGCATCTTGCCGTGGGTGCAGGCCACGGCACACGGCCTTGCGGAGTTGTGACAGCGACCAGTGCAGGTCCTGGTTGAGCAACCCTGTAGTCGTCTCCAGAAGTGTCTGCCAGTCAAACACCATGGCAAGATGCGGCACAAAGCATTGAACTGTGGTGCAAGGGTATTATTTGCCTTTAATAGGACCTATATTGAAGAAATTGTATGTGATATTGCCTTCATACAATACGTCATAATCCAGCGAGGCTGGGGAAGTGAGAGAGAAGTGGATAGAGGTGGTACACGCCAACCCTCAAATGAATAGACAACAAATGAGACGAATGAGTAACATACAAAAACATCCCCTTGTTGGGGTTAATCCTAAAGTCCGACAACACCAAATGAGCAAATCGAGTGTACTTTGGAGGGATGGGTTATATTCTCATTCAATAAGTTTGGGGTCCCTTGCACCTGCTCGTAGCTGAATGTGTCCAACATCCCAAGCACCAGCTCCTTGATCTCTCCAAATCGGCCAGAGCCGTAAATCGGGTCCTACAGCAATCAAGAAACATCAGGTCACATGATAATTGGTCACATATATAGTTCAACTGTAGCTTTGACATAAATATATCTTAAATGGCCCATAGAGAGACCCAAATGTTTTACAGTAAAAAGATGCCTTTCAATTGTGAGCCTAAAGCATGTGGAGACAGAAGTAGGTATCACACCTGGATGATCCTCTGCAGGATCGCGGGCAAGGTCAGGAACCCCGTCATGCTGTTCAGTAACTGCTTGGTGAGGTTCTTCAGTTCTATAGCACAAGTAGTGGGGGAAACACTGGTGTACAAACTGGTGTGGACACCTCTACTCCTGCACATGTTATGTCTGTGCTTTTGTTGGTGTGCAGTGGCACTCAGATGGAGATATGTTATCAGTGTACAGAACTGCAAGTCCAACAATCTAGGTTCAACTTGTTGCCATGTAAATAAAATGCAAATTATGTCAATAATCGGGTTTTCTGCAACATTCACCTTCGGCAATGACAGACGACGTCATCTTTTTAATTTCCCTCTGCGGTGACATCATCACCTCCAGAAGGGGAAACCAAAGCCCCTGCGAACATCAAGCATAAGTTAAAGTATACATTTTTTTATGGGAGACTGAAGAAAGGCCAGTAGATTAAAAATGTCATTAGTTTTTAAAATCAGAAATGTAAAAAATATTACATTTAAAGTTAAATACATAGCGTATCCACAAGTATGCACACACACAGCATACACATTCTGTACAAGGTTCGAGGACTGATTTAGAAAGAGTGCAGGCATATCTGCGGTTGCCAGCAGCACACACCTCCCTTTCCTCCGCGCCCAGGTGCCCTGAGTTGCGCTGACACAGTTGGGTGACGTCCTCCAGTGCTGTCTGTACCCCTTCAAGGAGGCGCTGGTCCACTGCTGCACTCACAGAGAAGGTACCCAACTAAGCACGAGACAGAACCCTTCTTATTCCCATTACAACTCCAATTCTTAAATATTAAAGGAACAAGTGTGATTGAGAGGTGACTGAGTGGGTCAGAGGTCAGTGGGCTGAGCTGGCACCACAGAGATCATGGGTTAGAATCGAGGCAGCCGCCTGTGATTTAAGTATGTGCGTTCATGGTCTCAGCCCAATCAACGGCTGCACATTGCAAAACCATTACATTTATTTGGTTCTGCACTTAATTTTTGCGACATTTTAAGCTCTGGACAATCATGCAATGAATAGTACTCTTTATCGCAGGGTGGGAGCAAATGTACTGCCCCCTATTGTGTCTAGCAGAGGTCACTTGTATGATTCTCAGAGGTAACTCTGTGATAACTGCTTCCATGGGCCGTTCTATAACACAAAGGGTAAACACTGCTTTTGCAATAAATCAAAATAAACTTTGTCTTAATACATGACACGCACAGTGCAATCAGGATAGAATTTGGTGGTGGGGGATGGCTAGAAAAAAAAATGGTGTGATTAAAATGTGATTAGGTCGCCTCTATAAAAACACCTACCCTATTTCTTATCATATACACTGCTGATATGCACTCAAATATATTTTGGATGCAAATGAATGCATTCTTTCAGTCAAAGTGGAGGTCACAACCTTTTACAAGAATGCCAATAGCAGTAATGGTTTCATCAGACAAAGTCATTCATGTGTTACCCCCATGACACAGTGCACTTACACTGATTCATAGTTTCATTTAAATACTCATTTATAGCTATAATTTAAATGTCACTTCATACATTACTCCATTTTCAATTTAGTAACCAACCTTAGATGTTGATATACCACAAAAGTAGTTACACTGAATTCTAGATTTGAAGCTTTCGTGACTGCAAGGATTCATACTCTTAGGTTTTTTCGGTAAAGTCATGTAGGTAAAAAAAAAAATTTAAATTAATAAAAGTAAAATATTTAACTTTTATTAATTTTTTTTTTTTTATATTTTACTTTTATTAATTTTAATTGTAATTTTTTACCTGAGTGACTTTACCGAAAAAACCTAAGAGTATAGTCACACTGAACATTTTTATCTGTGTATGAATATTTGATGTTGTAAAGAAACGCATACCTTTCTGATTGCTTGCTGTACCCAAGCTTTGCATAAGAACATCAAGCTTTTCCTTCAAAATCTGCAATAACAAAACAATATTTCGATTTAAAGCTTTCGTGACTGCAGGGATTCATCTTCTTGGTTCTTTCGGTAAAGTCACGGCTGCTTGCGTTGTGGCCGAAACGTCGTGAGAATTATTTTATTATTTTTATTTTTATTATTTTATTATTTCCCTTCTACGTGACTTTACCGAAAGAACCAAGAAAACAAAACAATAGTTTTAAATCTCAATCAATTAGTCAGGGGAATGCTCACTCGTGAATAAAACTAGGATATATTACAAAAATTATTACAATTACAATCCAACATCAATACTGGAATGTTATTATATTACAGGCTTTCTTTACACCCTAATCAATGACAACGGATGAACATAATCATTCTTATCCAATTCACCAGTGAGCACAGATTAGATATTGAGGAATTATGGAACATAGCCCAATGCGCATCCAGTACACAATTATTGCATGGTAAAATGTCCATAATGAAAAAAACACTTTCTAAACAAATACATCTTAAGTGGTGGCAAGACAGGGGAAGGGATCGGATGCGCATGTGAGTGACTTGCTTACCTGCAGCATGATGGAGAATGCTCTTTGGACATCATTGCTCTTCTCCAGGAGGTAAGCCAAGGCATTGCTCACCCCATGTTCCTCCACAAGCTATCACATTCCCACAAACACATGGCAACATATGGCACAGTGGCATTCTTCATTATTCAAAATGCATGATTATCTTGATCAATGCTATCTTCATACTGAGACTCAAGAGATTTGTTTTAGCTCAACACAGCAATACACATAAGCCTTTAGAGACCCAAACATCAATCAGAAAGGGATGTGTTCAGGGTGTACATTTCTTAGGAGTACTGAAGAATTCATACTGTTCTTAATATTATCAGAGCAAAGATGGCCTTACCTTGATGGCTTGGTCGATGCGGTACTGCTCAGAAGTTCTCAGAAAAGGGAGGACCTTCTCAGGACTGAATTGGCACAGCAGGTCTATGTAGCGCTCATTCACGTCCGAGCTGGCAGATAGGGCATCTCGGCTAAGCGGAGAGGTCTCCCTACCATGTACACAATCCAACGCACGCACGCAAACACACAGACACATGTAAAAACACAATAGTAAGTCATATTTACATATAAGTGCTGTGTGTTGAATTTTCAGTACAGAAAACTAATTTAACTAATATTAAACAATTACCATTCATGTCAAACTCTCACTTTAAGTTTGTATTCGCTTGCAGTTTTTCTGCAAGTGTACATATTGCAATTCAACACACATATATCAAATAATATATCAGCGATGTTAGCAAAAAATGCAATGTGCAGTTCAATAACTCACCCTGTTTCTAGAATGCACTGTAAAAATCCAAACAGCAAGCGAGGATGGCCCTGAAATTACATAAATATATTATTATACCTACAATAATTGCCACTGTGTGTCTATTTGCTTGTGTTTTTTTTTTTATCATTAGATTACACATGTAACAAAATGCAAATTGCACGTTTAGCATAAATAGTATCAGTCAAGTGCTATTGGAGGAAATTGCATATAGAGAGAATTTATGGGTTGAGGTCAGGAGTGTGTAAACGAAGGCTCCTGCATGCTTGTGCGCATGTATAATGATGTGTTTGACACCACTTACTTCTAGAAGAGCCAAGATGCCAATGAGGCTTTCGGAGAGATCTGAGATCACCAGGTCGGCTGTCTTTTGTGGGCTGATGGACACCAGCTCCTGTTCAGCGGGCGCCCAGGACATTCATGAATTACAAACGTACAGATTTAGGCACCACAATGTAATCACTTTTTGGCATCATATTCTTGGTGGCAATACAGACCGTGCGGAGAGATTTCACATTTTATATTTATTTCATTTATAGGTGCAGGTGGGAGTGAAGCCTGCGGGTGCAACGTCTCTGTATGGCGATAGTTATTTCCATCGGTGGTGCCAGGTCATACAAATATAACCAACAAATAAATATATCAGGTGTAAAATAGAAGCAATGTGAGCTTAATAGATGTAGTATTAGCTGTAACAGCAGTAACGGAAGCAGTCACTATAACATTAGTATGTGCATCGTCAGTCAACAGATTTATTAGAAGTGTTAGCAGCTGCAATACAAGCAGCGGTAGCACAATTAGCGAAACTGTGCTATGGAATAGTGGCTGAGGTATTGTGAGCATTATTCTCCTGGTGAGAAGGGTGCACTTGTTAAGCGAGGTCACCTGTATATTCGCCATAACCTTCTGATGTACGAGAGCTTTCTCTTGCTCACTGTAGCCCGGAATGGACAGGATGTTGTGGACAAAGTTAAAAACGTCCTCCTGCAGCGAGGACACACAACATTCTGAGTTAGATCCTCGTACAGAAAAAAAAGAAAACCGAGTTATCTCCTCTTTATCAGGATGTTGATCTTCCAGAATGTCTGAATTCATTGATATACATGGATATTTCTACACATTTAAAATAACCCCGAAATATATATCTTGCCTCTAAAACTATCGTAAAAAACATTTTCCAAAAGTCAATTAACTGCAATGTTAGAAGCAGATGGCATTTAAAATATATAGTTTGGATGATAGGCACAAAAGAGACATGCACCTCATCTGCTATACAAGATCTAACAATAAGACTGCATTGTGCGGAATACAACAAACTGATATTTGGGGCATATAAATGTGTTGGGTATGAAACGGAGGTACTCGGAGACGGAGGTTGAGTTAGGGGCTTCCGCCAGGGTTTATTAACACTTATCACTATCCCTGGTTCCCTCTTTACCCCTTCCACTATCCCCGTTCCTCCAGTGACCCCGCTTACGTTACGAGGTCTCCCTTAAATACCCTAGGAGGGGTGACGTCACATGCACTGCCCAGTGCGTGCGACCCCACGTCTCGTGAGGTCACCGCACCGGACAGCGCACACGACGCCACCACTCTCCTCTACTCCTCTACAAATGTATGCATATTTCAATGTTTGCACTTAGTCACATATTCACTTTAAGATGTTTTTTGTTCATGTTTTTGTTTGTTACGGTTGCACCCGATTCAAGAGCCGAATGGCTCACAGGGCTATACCTAATAAATTAACTTGAAATTGATGTACAGGCTTGGGTGGAAATTTGTTTCGGAAAGGTGTGTTTTGCTACATGTCTTCCCATGGAAAGTTACGCAACCCTCAGCTGTACAAGCAAACGTGTGTTGGTGTTAGCAACCGTAACGAACCCTCCGGGCCTCATCCTTCAGGTAGCACATCACGATTTGGTCGTACATCTGTTTCTTCTCAAACATGAACTCGCACACGAGGTAGCTGTGCATAGACACGAACAAAGGATGAGCACGCTTTAAATGCTCGCAGTAGCTCACGTTACGCGAGGAAACATTAAAATGATTTCCAATTCATCTAAGCAATGAATACACATCAGCAGCAAACACTTTACATTCTGGTCTTGATAAAACAATACAAAACTGTATACTTCAAATTACTGCTCTACATAGTTTGTATCATTTTATTATGAATATGACAACATGTTAAGTACCATGGATACACATTTGAATATATTTTGAAACAGTAAATCCTTATAATAACCGCTGAGAGTTTTGGGGGAAAAAACGACAGATGTGTGCCACTTAAACACAACATTGATAGCCAGTGCATAGAGAAAGAGCATCAATTATAAAGCCATGCAGACATCTACACACAGGTAGGATACTAATTGAATGAAACATGTGAGGAAGCCCTGTGTGTGGCATCATTCCTCGGCAGGCCGTGTCATTCAGCTGGCGGTTATAAGTTTCTGGTGGTTTAATGGCAAGAGCTCTGCTCTGAAAATAGGCACCAGTGTTAAAGCTGACAAAGTAAATGCAAGCGCAGCGACGTAAATGCAACGTTTGTGCTGCACGCTCACAATTTGGCTTTCTCCTGCCAGTGCCAGCAGCTTGCTCTCATCGAAGTGGACCGTGCCCCCTGCCTGCAGCAGCTCCAGCAGGGCCTGTTGGCGCTCAGCGTGCCGTGAGTCATCGTCCGCGCCGCACAGGAACTCCAGCACCTGCGCCCCGAGTAAGTGTGGTTTGGGGGATGGGGATGAGAGGTCACAGGCTGCAGGGTAACACGAGGATACACAGCATGGGTCGACCGCTGCTAGACTATCTTACATTTATTGTTTAAAATGACAATCCATTGGGAATTGTATGATCAAATATGGAAAAAGATGGGATATGTGTATAATTGTTTTGATAAGTGTTGCTGTTGCCTGTGAAATACCAGAGTATTCTTTGTTTCCTCACCTTTATGCCTTACCGTATTCTCCAGATAATAAAACACACTCTTTGTCCCTGTATTTTAGAGCAAAGATTTGGGAGGATGTCTTATAATCCGGTAGGTGTGTGGGCGTGTATTACCAAATTAGTATACTGTATTTACACCGGCCACAGGTTTGTAGTGCATCTCACTTTCCGGAGCATCTTATAATACGGAGAATACGGTAATTATAATGTCTAATATGATATACATTCTGTGTGAGCTTCGCATACATTTGCAATTTTTCGGTATGCACAGCATTTTAACCCTCACCCATACCTTTTGACATCAAATTGAGAATGCTAGTGAATTTATTTTCTACAAAAGCTCTAGTTGTGTTCTCCCTGTCAGTCAATGCATTTTTTGACAAGTGCTCTTTTCTCATATCTCTCTGCTTCTCACGATTTCACGGTGACTAAAAATAGGAAATTAGTGTGTATCAACACAAGCCTCCTATGCCGGGGTTACTGAAGGCTCACGCTTGCCTGGTCAAAGAGGTGGCGGTTGACGAACAGCGTGTTCTCTGGTTTTGCCAGCTGCCGCGCCAGGAAGGTGAAGAGGGACCCTACCTGTGATGGGGAAAAGCCTTTCCCTTCCACCATCACCTGAGAACCCACGCGTACACACACACACACATAGAAATCCACAAATGCATGCGCATGCACACACGGGTGGAAAATACATCCACAACAACCGCCATTCACCACTAAGTGGCGGTGACTTCACACGGCGCTTGTGCCACACACACACAAAAGCAAACACATACCTACTCGCAAAAACATCAATCACCTATATGTACCGACTGTTTGGCAATTGATGTGAATTAGCATCTCTTCGGACCAGACCGCCGTTTGAGGGGTAGTTTGGCCAAAGCCATGCCGAGCTATCTTTATCTCCCCAGTACGAATGTTAACTACATACAACACTTGTTAATCTACACATAGTCACTGCTGAAGGTTTTCCTTATCTTAACATTACTGCCAAACGGGGTCTGATTGCTCGTGTCCCAGTAAGTTAGAGCTGCTACCAGCTTCTCTTTGAATTAGTTAGCAGGGCAGTGGACACGCACGCCTGTAATCCAACACTCTGGAGGGGAGGGTTGATGGATCGCATAAACGTCGCGAAACTGCCTTCCCATGGGCATTGAGGTACCATACCCTGATATGGCAGAAGGTGGTACAGCAAATGTGGACTCCGCCTGTTCTCTTCGTATGAGATAGAGTATTGTCTCTTCGCATGAGTGGGTTTTCTCCGGGTGCTCCGGTTTCCTCCCACATGTACATACTGAATTGGACAATAACACCTTCATATATAGGGAACCGCAGAGCTTGCGGGGGAGAATGTGGTACTGGCTCACTACCTGGCTGCCCTTCCCACTCGTCTAGTTCCTCATGCTCGCTGTCTTTGAGAGTTAGAGAATACTATGTGACACATTACAAGTCGAAATTATTATTCTTCCATGCGTTATCTTCCTATGGGCAGAAGTGAATGATTGTCCGGTCAAGTGAATGATTGTAAATTTGGTCATTTGCTTAGTGTAGCTGAGCTGAATTCAGATGAAGATTGGTGTTTGTGTCTGTACGAAGGTATCCACCTGTAACAAGACATCCACAATGCGCTGCTGGTACTCCACCACCTGCTTGTCATTTCTGAAGTCTTCAAACGTCTGTGGGAACCAAATCAAGAACCATTTCAACATACAGAATGCATAGCAGCAGTAGCGCTACTTGGTAACATTCCCTTATCAATCCCATATTTATTGGTTGGATGTTTAGCCACTTCTTTAAAGAGTGGTGAGAACTGGAGGGAATATGATGAGATAACACAAACATTTATACAAATAGATCACCACCCTAATTGCTGTACTGCTGGCCATGTCGTACTGATGGCCCCGCTTGATTATCAAAGCTACGTCCAAAGTGCTGGATTAAAGGCGACTGCCACCATATAAGAGCTATATAACTCAGTGGGCCATTCCTGGTAAAATAAAAAAAATGTGTTTAATATGGATATCAGGCTAAGCAGACCATTAGTGTAGGTGTTGATGTCATAGGTTAACTCTCTTGGAGAGGCTGTAGCCTCTGATCATCTACCTCCAACTGTCTCTCATCAAGTGTTGGTGCCTTGCCATACTATTGTTTCATCTCCCAGGTACATGTCTATGCAGGAGGCTGCAGGGCAGCTGTCACACGTGTTTCAGATGCCAGTGCAGACGGGGAGGGGGGGGGGGATATGGAAATATGTGGTTGAGATATGACAGCAGTGGACGTGACTCTAGGAGCACAGAATAAAACCACATCGGGAAAGGAAATATGGGTAGCTGATCCTATGCAATGATGGGCATTCACGCTTAGAAGAAGACATTCAATGTACTGTGTTACATTTAGATAATGCAACAAACAAAACTCTACAAAGCGGAAGAAAATACAAAAGATGTGGTCAAAACCAAATACAAAAGAGCAAATTCTTAAATCGAATAACAAGCCCAGAATCTTAACATAATTTTAAATTATTTGGGGGAAGAGATAAATGTATATTTCTGCCCTTTCGGTACCTCATCTTCTACCCATTCCCACTCCCTGCACATCCTACTGGTACAGCACACAGGGATGCTGTCACATGAAGCCACTTTAAAAATTAAAAAGTTATTGTAAATCATAGCATACTATTACTGTATAGCAACTCCACAGACAGCAGATAATTACGGGGTTCTCGCCACAGGTCGGTAGGCATTGCCTAGCCACTCACCAGGGTGAGCACATTGAGGAACTCCCGTGTGTCAAAGTGCAGCAGCGTGCGGACGCACGGATAGACCTCCTCCTGCACCTCCGCCTCATCCGAGTGCAGCTTGATCACAAACTCAAACACCTGGCCACATGCCCTCCACCAGTCAGCAGACTCAACATCGAACCGAGACTGTTCTGTAAAGGCTGCTCTGTTGTTATTCGACAGTACAGCTATCAGTCTCTGATACTGAATATCCATACTCTTTGGTTCTTTCGGTAAAGTCACATAGGTATAAAAATAATAGATCACGACGTTTCGATCACAACACAAGCAATCGTCATCAGGTGGGACAACCACAGCAAGAAAAAACTGAATATCCATTTGAAAAACCCCAACCTGAATAACTACGTAGTTAATTACTGTGAACTCCAAAAATTCAATGGACATTGACGCTTATCCACTGCGCATCAACACATCAAAGATCTAATATGGACAAATACTAACAAAGCTTTGACATTTACAACATTCTTAGCCATTGACTGCACAATACCCGATTTGAATGCACATTGCTGCCTTCACCTTATCGCAGTATTTTCTTCTTTTATACATCCCTCGTTAAAGGTGCAGAACAATGAGCTGGTCTGCATTCATTTGTCATTAGGACATTTAATTTCCATTTCTGATAATAAGAATAATAATACTAACACATGTGACTGGCATGGGTGAAATTCGTGATCTACAACAACCGGTCACACGTAGTGTCCCGGTCGACCAGAGGCTCAAGGCCTGAGTGAGTGTTGAAGTGCTATAGCCAGGCGTGCCTCCAATGACGACAGAGCATTTGTTATCTCAGTTACACCTCATATTTACATTTACATCATCAGCCAGTCAAACCACTGCTGGGTAAAGGCATCCCCAAGCTTCAGCTATTTCTAACGTACTTGCAAAGTAATAATCCACCTAGCACGTGTACACAAACTCATTTCATGGCTCCATCTCCACGATCGTTATAGTCTCGAATGCATTCAATTAATTGACTGCCACTAGTGACGTGTATTGCCAAAGTCCTTTAACGCCATGCACATTTACATCTCATTTACATTTCTGATCTCACCTGCTTTTTGACGGTGGGTGCCAGGTTCTTGGGAATGTCACCCATTGGGTAAGCTCTGCCAACCAGGCAGCAGCTGCACAATGAAGATGGTAGAGCAGTGTCTTTGCTTAGATATACTTATTTAGGGTGTAACCATAAGCACACAGTAGAGTTCATGCATTGTAGATACCTTATTTATTTGTATTAAGATGTCTTAGATGGTGTCCTACATGACTCTGAATAATATCACTGGTTTTAATCGGCATGATTGTGTAGAATTGCACAATAAAACGTGTGTCGGCTCACCTTAAGTAGACCAGGAGCTTATTGCCTGCAGTCACCTTGTCACCTAAGCAACAATGGTTGTGAGATTAATCAGATTTAACATGCATATGATCCTTATGGCGGTACCCCAGGGTACAAAATAATACAAAATGGCCGAGCCAATTAAATATTTTATTTCTGGGACACAATTTTTTCCAGGGGTGTACTTAACTCCGCGACTGGGGCACCAATCAATCCGAAATCAGTGCTACTCCGTGATGTTGAAACGCCAAACATTAGCATAAAAAATCCGTTATCGAAAAATTCAACTCTGAATAGAGCACCGTGTACAGCTCGCCGAGATGAGTCGATTGTCGCATCGCCAACCATCAAAAGACTAAAAATGACTGCATCACAGATATTATGTGAGAGCCGGGGTACTATGGTACATCGGGGTACCGCCATAAGGTTCATATCATTATCATAAGCTATGCTCGATAATACAGTGTATTCATTAAGCAGTCAGAAAATATTCGCGCTTTTAATAATTTTGGTGAAAGTGTGTCTCCTTGTCTGACGCCCTTACGATATGTATTTTGGCACATTCTGTGCACACTTTAAGCGTAGCTGTTGCAACTCACACTCGACAGTGTTACCTCGGTTAACAAAGTAGATGCGTTCCATGAAGTCACTTCGTTATCAGAAACTTCGTTACCAAAGTTAGATATAAGATGGGAGGCATAGGGATGCATTCCAGGACTTCAGAGAAGGGGGTACACAATAGGAAAAACGTTGCTGCACAGTAGCCTTCACTTTGTCTGCTTGGTTTAAAATGGTCTTTAAGGTGGATTGCAATAACCCTAACAAACCCACCACTTCACTTTTCATCTCTCCCGTCTCCACCCTCATTATTCTTACGATCTGCATTTTTGTTTCGCAAGAGATTTACGCTGCATTTCTAGTCCACTAGCACTAGCTGGGCGTTTGGATGATACAATGGGGATATTAAAATCACTTCATCACTGCAAAAAATTAAAGAACTTTTTTACCAACACGAGGAGCTCGAGCAATGGTGGGCGGGAAAGGAAAGACTGGCGAAGCGTGCCGCTGATTGTGCCGAGTGAGGGAGACTCAGGAAGAAGCCCTTTGCCGATTGGCTGCTGAGAATGCTCATGAATGAAACCCAACTTTGTCGTGTTTACAGGACCTGCGCAGCGCTTAAAACTTGACTCTTTTGAATGGTTTCGATTTAAAGCTTTCGTGACTGCAGGGATTCATCTTCTTGGTTCTTTCGGTAAAGTCACGTAGAAGTTAAATAATAAAATAATAAAAATAAAACATAATAAAATGAACGGATTTGCATAATTTCTGAAAAAAAAATTCATGTTTTTTCAAAAATAGGAAGGCGACGGGACCCCTCCACGGCCGACTTTGTTATAAAGGAGCTTCGTTCCTGGAGGATTCATTCACCGAGGTATTACTGTACATCGGTATATACCATGTTATATACACCCTGATAATATAGTACATTGAGAATCTTCGCAAAACATACCAAAAAGGCTCATACTAAGAAACCTATAATATTGACGTGAAACTGAAATACGATATTCTAATGTAAATGCGCCACGCAATAATATAACATACCAGGCAGCTGACGACCAGTGCTCAGTGCAGTCTGTAGGACCTTTAAGATCTCCTATTAAAAACAAATGACGATATCATTGTCAAAAATATCTGAAACATACACTAATTATGCTGGATAACTGCACTTTAAATTTTTTTATTGATATAGGTCCCATTTACAGGCACTTTCCCAAGTCAAAATAATTTTGTCAAATCAAAATTGCCAGTGACGCCATAACATTTTTCAAAAACACTCTACACTGGTACTAGTATAATATGCAGGATAGTTCTGGCATGAAACTAGTAAGACATGACGCAGGGAATCATTTCTGCATCACGTTCAATTAAGACTACAAATATAGCATATCTTAACATAACAATGAAATTATATTTTCACGAATGAAGCATTAAAGATGTCACACACATACCTTGATGGGCGTGACGTAATCATTCATTCCCGTGTTGTAGATGTAGATTACAGCATCGTACAGGCCATGAGACCAGCAAAGGTTAATCACCTTCAGAAAAATAAAACAAACTAAGACTGGTGAAGTCTAAAAACGAATCTGACAAACAAGACCTATGTATATTCTCCATTTTGAATTAATTTCAATGTGGTTTCACTTGCATATAAAGTTCATAAATGTGAAGTACCGGTGAGGACACTTGACGCCGAGGTTGAGGCACACGTATATTTATTTCACAATACGACAGTGGGCATATACACACTCGAGGGGGTATCGGCCCCCTCACCCGTATAACTCGGGATACACCCCTAGCTAACTCTGTCCTAGCCCCGAATCCTCCACTAATGGGCTAGGGGAGGCTAACTGGCCCGACACTGGTAAGTCGGGCCCGGTACCCGGAGTTCCAGACCAGCTCTTACAAGAGCACCGGCTCTGGCTTTCGGGACCACGCCGCTGGCTCAGTCCTGTCCGGCCCTGAAAAGGACATCGAACTAGGGGAGTCCAGAGCTCTATCTAAGACGTCTTCAGTCTTCTTCCCTTAGCTTAAACATAACTGACTCGAGCCCTTTGAACATCCCCTTTTATACCCAACCCCTCCCTGAGGGGTGGGGCCCCGGGGGATCATAACGTTCGAACCAGCCCCCCCCCCAGGGTGTCTGGCTCGGACGTCGTAGAGGGCACCTCCTCGTGCACTTACGTAGCCCCGCCCACTGTGTTTGTTTTCCATAGGCTGCCATGCATAACGGGCCCTCTCTTTAACACCCCTACAAATGTATGAACGTGAATATCAGCACAGTTGTTGTTGGTGGGAGTTTAATACTGCCAATGTCAATGGGTAAACAAACGATAAATAGATATAATCTATGAAGGCCAAGGCAGAATGGTATTCTTTAATGGTTAACATGAGTATGTGAATGTAGTTAATTGGTTGAGCCCTTGCTATTAATAATGAAGGTCAGTATTGAGAACCTCTATTCATGAGGATGGACTCCCAATTACTACAGACCAATCCTGACAGTGCCAACAGCCACGGATTAATTCTAGATTTGAAGCTTTCGTGACTGCAAGGATTCTCCTCCCCCCCTTAACTTGTATTTAAGAACTTGTATCTTGGAATTTTTGCCTCACTTGATACAGTAAATCTAGCTGTGACGGTCCCACCTGATGACGGAGACTTGTGTTGCCTCCGAAACGTCGTGATTTATCATTTTATTTCTATTATTATTTCTATTATTTTTATTTTTATATTTATTTTTACCTACGTGACTTTACCGAAAAAAACCTAAGCGTATATAGCCACAGATTAAGTCATAGCTGTACCTGCTGGAGGTCGAGGCTGGTGATGTCCATGTGGAGGATGCACGCCTCCACCGTGGCCATGCGTGCCTGGCCCTGGTAATGCAAGATGAGGTCGCGCATGGCCTGCGGGGTGATGCTGGTGAGACGGTCCCCCAAGACGTGGGGCTCCAGGCTCTCAAGGAACACGCCCCGCGCCACTGAGCTCTCCCCAAGCTGCTCATACATCTGGGTGAAGAGCAATTCCCTGCAAGCAAGGTTCAAGGGAACACATTTTGAGTCTTTCCTCCTTCGCTGTCCTGAACCTAAATGTAAGGGGAATTCTAAAGCAATATACAAAGCAATTATAATTAAGTAATTACAATTAAGTGAAAGGGGCACAACCAACAGTGGAACAGCTGTCCAATGTGCATACGGGGCAACTGCACCAGGGCACACAGGCCAGGGGGGGACCAGGTACCAGGCTATGAAGAGGTGTGAAATTGGACAGGGGGTTTCCATACCATTCCTTGCAGCAGGGCCCATGCCAACCATGCTACGCCAACCAACAATAATTGTGTAGAGTAGGGAATAACGTCTGCATCACGTTCATGTAAATATATAAATTCATGATAAATTTTTTTTTTACCCTTCTATCTGGCAACAAAACTGACACCTTTTTTACGAGGAGTCATGTTTGCATAGACCACAATACCTGCAGTCATAATGCAAACTAAAAAACATAACTCTGATAATGTGCACTGTCCTTGAAGTTGATTGGCCACATCCGAGACAGCTTTCCTTAGAGCCTAGTCTCACATGGGTTGGACCAGATGACGCCAAAAGGCGCACTGTCTCGGGTGTGGACCAATCAACTTCAAGGACAGTGCACATTATCAGAGTTATGTTTTTTGTTTGCATTATGACTGCAGGTATTGTGGTCTATGCAAACATGACTCCTTGTAAAAAAAAGGTGTCAGTTTTGTTGCCAGATAGAAGGGTAAAAAAAAACAATTCTATTTTTTACTGGCAAATGAGGTTCCAATGATATAAATTCATTTTTATGTTTTACATAGATCAGGTGAAATGCTAATATGCTAATGTTGACAAAATCTTACAGTGATATAGAAGTAACAGCATTAATATCTAAGTAAAACCATGACGTTGGCACTTTTTAATACGATCTTTGCAAATGCATATTCAGTAAACAGTGCATAAACTTACGTCTTGCCCAGCAGAAGGCAGTATTCGATGCACATAGGAACCACCTCCTGCAAAGAACAGAGCAAACACAATTCAATCAATGCTGCAGTAACATTCCCAGCAGCAATACGTATTCTAGTATTCATTTCCATAGTTAGTTCTAACAAAATACAAATGTGCACATGAGAAAGGTTATTGTCTCCCAGAGGTTGTATTCTCAGTACAGAGGACACAGTGTACCTCCTTTGAAAAGTTAGCTGAATGTGATTCTGCGATGCTGTTTGAAGAAAATATAAAAAGTACCAGAGAGCACTTTGTATACATCCAGAGGAAGAAAGATCAGCACGCAGTTATTGCCATGCTGCAAGAAGTAATATTTTATCTGAAGGACAATCAATCAAATGGCATTTTCATTCAATAAACTACATAGGTGGTACACAATGTGATAGTGGTATTCGAATGTAATTTAAGCTAATAACAATAGGGAAGGATGAAATGTACCTGGAAATGTTTTTCCAGAGCTTGTGTCTTGCCTGGCTCAGGGCATTTTTTCATGGAGATCATCACATACTGCATGAGGATATCTGTCATCTGTAGCCGGGAATAAAACAAGTCAGCTTCTACAACAACAGCAATTCTAACAGTGAAAGGATGGACAGAACACATGCGTTGCAAAACACCATGCACAATACAGTTTACGTATACCAAAATTTAAATCCGCTCACCTTATCTGCAACCAATGATTTTCTCTTGGCAATGTTCACTGGCAAACCTGAACAGAGCAGACCACAGTGTTACACAAGATACCCAGCTGGTATCAGCCACTGCTATACTGAATACAGTATTGTAACGTATAAAATGTGATTTCGTTAGTCATGCTTTTAGCCTAGGAAAGTGTTCCATTTCTTGTTTTAAACCGAAGTAGTTTGATGAGCTCTTGGACTACAAAACGAAGTAGCAACCCACTGAGTAATTAAAATCATCATTGTGATCTTAATGTAAATATATTCCAGCCTTGTTGCGTGTACTATGCAATTTAACTTTCCAGTCCTGGGAAGCAAATGTGAAGCTCATATATTACATTTCCACACTCGCTCACTCGCTCACTCACCCAGAACGGCCTTTGCAGAGCCTTGGTGGAAGGACCAGGCCAGATTCAAGGCGTCTGGAAACCTCTCCTGCCGCACAAGCAGGTCCACCCTCTGCGGAAAGTCACACATACACACAGGCGCACATACACAATGCTCCATCTGGCACATTTCATAATATACACCTTGTCTACTGTAAGGTGGGCTCCACATCACCGGAGTCAGTTTGCAAAACACTGGATTGCCCCCATGTGCAGATATAGATGTGACGGATTTAGTTTAATTATGCTACACAGTGGCATAATGATTTAACATTAATTTCCAGGATTTGAAAAAACGTTTATACAATTAACCAAAATAAATGTAAAAAAAACACTTTGAACATCAACATAAGAAATATATGACAGTGAACGTGGCAAATAAAAATATGTTGATAACAGTTATTAGTGTGGTAGTGGTTGAATGATGATGATGATATTGATCGGGCTAATAACAATTCATCCCCTCAGAATTATATCAATTGTCCCAATTCTGCATCTTGATTTGATTAGAGAATCAATCATGTTTTGCCACCATGATGAATGTAGAGCCTAATGGTTGCTGCAACATTCATCTCAACCAATGAAGTGCTGATTTGAAAATAATCTATTCTTACATGCCAAATTCCATTTGTTTATCATGAGCCAAATAATCCATCTTAATCATTGAATCCTAACATACTCAATGATGATGATTAGGGTGATGTGCAATCTACAATAGTCATGACAGTCCTTTATAAACCCACTAATGAATGAATGCCTCCTCACACTGTGTTGGTCATAGGGACTATTTCATCAGACCTCACCACACTGGTTAGTGTGCCTTTGGTAAAAGTGGGGCCCAGGACTGGTTCAGATATCACTCACTACCGATGTCGATAATGGCCAGGAATACAACTCAGGTTGCGGGGTCCATAGTGCAGTGCGCAAAGGACTGTACTACCACTCTCTCTGACATAAATGATACAGTGAAATACATCCGACTCACCTCTCGCCAAGTTCGCAACGACATCACATGAACTGACTGCGGGGGGGAAAAGAACACGTGTAGACATGAATATTGTTTAGTCTTAACCAGAAATTTGGAAGGAAAAAAAATTGCATAACTGTATAACATACTTTGAGAGGAAGAACTTACTTTTATTCCCAGGTAAAGCACTTGCCCTCCAAAGCTGCAGATGGATTGGTAGCATGCCTTCTCTCCCACAAGTGCCTGTAAAGCAAAGTATTCACATCGAATGATCTGAAAAACTCCAAGAAGAGGGTGGCTGGAGATCCACCAAATCTCTAGACATTCTTTATCAGCATTCACTTATTTTGTAATTGTTTCAATGACGCAAATAATATTGCGTGCACGATAATACAAAACTGTACAATGTGTCAGACTTACAAATTAACCTTATTTAGTTAAACAAATATGGAGCTTCTATGCCTTAAAAAGGATACAGTTTAGGGTAAACGGTTAAACCATTATCATTTGAGGTAAAAACTGCATGAAATGCATATGATATGTACATGTGTTTAATAATAATTTACATGCATTTGTATGGTGCCTTCCATGAATGTCTCAAGGCGCCTTGTAAGAAGAACGAAAAGTCAAGAGAGACGGAGAAGCTAAACAGAATAAACCGACTGAAGAAGATGTGTTTTAAGACGAGACTTAAAAGTATCCACATAATCGGATAAACTAATTTCCAATGGATAGGGAATTCCACAACCGTGGTGCAGGCAAAGCAAATGTCCGCTCACCTCAGGAACGCAGCCAGGATCGAGGTACGCACAGGGATGATTTAACTCATAAATATATGGTGGTGCCAGCCCATGCAAGGCTTCAAAAATTAGTAGAAGGTTCTTAAACTTTACTCGTTTCAATACCGGAAGCCAGTGTAATAGAACTGGAGAAATGTGCTCACGTAATGGAGCTCCCGAACTGCCCCATTTCTGAACAATTTGTAGTCTACGAAGGAACGCATTTATAACACCAATCAGCAAGGCATTGCAGTAACCGATTCGCAAGAGAACAAGTGCATGGACCAGCCTCTCAGAATCAGCCGGTGTAAGGAAGTTGCGCACTTGAGTAATATTTCTGAGGTGATAAAAACTAGGTTTTCACATTATTAACGAACATGAGCTTCGAAGAAAGGATAGAATATCACCCCAAGATTACTAATATCTTGCTTCGGGCAGACGTTCTGGCCATCAATAACGAGTTTTTCAATTTTTGGGGATAGCCGACGAAGAGGAGTTCAGTCTTATTTTCATTTAGTTGGAGAAAAATGTAATAGAAAAATCTTCTCAAAGCTCAAGATGTTTTATACAAAACTAATGACAAATTCCCAACATTTAATACAATAAATGCCCCGAAAGGTCCATCGATCGTGTACATGATGATTTCGTCAGAGCTGTGGGCTGGTTACCAGGGCCTGGCTAACGTTGCCGCCTGTGGCCAGCGACTTGAAGTGGCTGGAGTTGTAGACGAGCTGGAGGCTAGCTATGTCCAGAGCCTCCAGCTGCTCCTGGTTCGCCCGTTCCACCACGTGCAACGTCTCCGTGTCGTCCAGTAAGGCCAGCACGCGCGAGTTCATCCACTGTAGGGTGGGTGCATACACCAGCAGCACTTGTTAAAACAATTTTTTTTTACAATGCCGTCTTGCAGATGGTCAGGTGACACAGGCAGCAGCATTATAATACCCGTGGAACCACCACGGCTGAGCCACGGGTTTGAATCCAGTGACTTGTGAATAAACCAGGATCTCAAGTGTAGGGAGTTAGATGAGGTCACATTACAAGAGAGGTCGCAACCGGATACCCGATACCCGTACCCTACCCGATACCCGGCTACCCGTACCTGGCCGGGTACGGGTACGGGTACCCGTTTGCGACCCTGGTGCGGCCGGTACGGTACGGGTAGGACGTGAGTCACTGGTGAGTAACCGTTTGTCACTCATTTCCCAACGTCTTGTCTCTTCTCACAATTCAAGTTCCTAGAATCAACCGAACCGCGCCTGCAACATGGCTTCATCCCAGAGGTCGCAATCGGGTACCTGACACGACCCTGGTGAGGCCGGGTACGGGAAAGGAATCAAAACCCGTTCGCGACCTCTGCATTGCAATCATGTCTAATTATTAAACAAACATAACGAATATAAAACCAATTCATATCCAGTACTTTCTGTAAATAATGAGAACATCCATCATAACAGGAAGAAGTGTACAGGCGGGATATAAATATATGTAACAACACACAAAGATGTGTTCATCAACAGCAGGAAGGTGCGACTCCCATCATTTTTGACATGCATGCTATGTGACCACCAAATTGCGTGTACAATGTCCTCATAGCCTTGTCCTTTGGAATGGCCACATTTTCTACTCTTGTTCAGTGTGGCTTAAATAAAGGCCACATCGTCAGCTTTTTTTGAGCTTGTGCCTTAGATAGGTCTGAGAGTATCGTGCATGCTATGTGGTGGTCACGTGACATGCATGCAAAGTATGATGGGAGTTGCACAGTCCCGCTATTTGCCAGCAAACCTCTGTACAATACAGAATTAATTCAAAATTAAATCTACGTGAAACATATTCCACATTAAATCTACATAAAACATAAACATTTGTAATGATTACCACCTCAATAATGGGAAAATATATAATATACAACTATTTTGCACAATGACCCTTTTTCATACTCTGCAAATCTATAGGTTCGTGCTTGTATACTAGTGCTAACCCCATACCTTCCATTTCATGTAAAACAATATGAATCACAAATGAACACTAGAATGTGTGCGACCATTCAATCCCCTAGCTTATTCATCCATCATTGTTGTGGAAGTGCTCCACTTGTTAACGCCACGTGTATGCGTGCGCTGCCCTCACCGTGAGGTTGATGGGCTCATAATTCAGGTGCAGCTCCCTCTGCTTGCTGAAGTGGATGTTGTCAGAGTCTCGGCAGCTGGCCTGCAGGAGAGAGAGAGCATGTCAGAAAAAATGAAAGAGCAAGGAGAGATGTAAAAAAACATAAAACAGAGAGAGGCAAAGACATGATGGGCAACAAAGAAAATGACAAGTCGCCAAGAAAAAACTCACACATTTTAGAAACCTATAGAATCAATCATTTGTATTGTAAAATAGCTATTTATAGTACTATTTTTATCAGGCTTAATGGACCATTCCATTTGGCAAAATTGGTCAGTAATAACACATAATGCTCAAAATGGATTGCCGACTCAGCTTCTGAATTGCCTGTTGCATCGATTCAAGTGGGAAAACATTCCATTCTTTGAGTCAACCGAGGCCAAAGAAAAAGAGAAACCGCGATCTCAGGCCTGGGCGGGAGGCATAAGGACCCGGGTACCCACTAGGATGAAGTGGACGACGGAGCCCCTGCAGAACGCGAGCACAGGGTCTGCCGAGCCATTCACCAAGGTGAAGTGCCATGCCATGAGCGGCACGCTCGCCGGGTTCGTCTAAGGTGAAGGGTTGCAACATGTCCACAACATTACTCACACCACCAGCACGAGAGCAAATGTGCGTTGCAACTCATGTAAATCAGCAGCGAGACCCTCATCCGTTCCTTCATCGCATCCTAACTTGATGTGCGCAACTCTCTTCTCTGCGGCCTCCCCAAATCCCTTATCACCAAGTCCGGATCATCCAAAATGCCACTGCCGGACTTTGCAGTCGCACCTTTAAACAAGACGACGTCACCCCATGATTCCAATCCCTTCACTGACTCTTAATCAAATTCTGGATCAACTTCAGGATCGCACTCACTAGTCTTCTAAGCTCATCCATGAGCGCATATCACTCTACCTCTTAAGCATTCTCCGCTCCAGCAACCAAGATTGTTTATCAAAGACACCGGTCAAACTTCCCTGAGTGGGAGCTCACTCTTGTTCCTCTGCTGCCTCCTGGAGCCTCCCAGTCGCCAGTGCTGTCAACTCTATGCCACTGTTCAAGTCAAGGCTCAAGACTCTTTGGTTTTTGCGGTAAAGTCACGTAGGTAAAACATTAAAATAAATTAAATCATGACGTTTCGGAGGCAACACAAGCGTCCGTCTTCAGGTGGAACCGTCACAGCAAAATTACTGTATCAAGTGAAGTTCACTTTATACAGTAAACCTTTAAGTGAAGTTCACTTGCTGCAGTAATTTTGCTGTGACGGTTCCACCTGAAGACGGAAGCTTGTGTTGCCTCCGAAACGTCGTGATTTAATTTATTTAAATTTTTTACCTACGCGACTTTACCGCAAAAAACCAAAGAGTATAAATCCTTGCAGTCATGAAAACTTCAAATCTAGCTCAAGACCTTCCACATGAACGTAGCCTACAAATGTTTTTGTTCGCTTTATAATATAAATACTCATTCTTTCCACGGGATGCCATGTCTCATTGTTTCTTACATTGGCTTGACATGTGTTTGCATTTAGATGCTATAGAATCCAAATTGTACATTTCAATCTTATTAAAAATGCACATACAACTTACCTTTCCATAGGACACAGACAGCATCACTTTGAGGGATGGCTTCAGTCCAACTATTAATATCTGCAAGAATATTAAATATTTCAATTTGAAATATATCATGAAAATGCTTCAATGTGCGTACACATTGCTTCAACATGCATACATATTTGATACCAAGCAAATCCCCTCTGTAATAATTACTCGGATGTAGCAATTCAGTGATGACAACTAATTCTTATACGGACAATACATGCATCCATCGTGCATGTAAGAATTGATGATATACGATTTCTACAAATTAAACTCAACATTATATTTGATCCGATGGAACATACAAGATAAGACATCCAAGCCAGAACATATTAGACCACACAAAAAAACAGCAGAAGATGGTACAAAATGAAAAATATTTTTTAAAACGAATCATGACCCAAAACTGTGACAATTCACAGAATAGGATGGCGTTACATGCATTTTAATCGACACATCTTGCCCGATATTACATATAAAACACCAGGCATGTGTGATTATCACTAACGGTGAATGGACAGATTGCATGTCCTCTCTGCACACAGACACACGTGCACACACCTTCGTGAGAGAGGCCATGGCGAGAAGAAAGTGCTGTGACATGGGGTGTTCTTTGAGGTTGGTGGGAAACCACAGCGGCTGGATGCAGCACACCTCCCCCTTCGCGCCACTGAACAAACAGCGTGACTCGCACGTCCGCACACCCATCACCCTCCTGCAGAGGCGAGGACAGTAACTCAGAACTCGTTGTGTGCATCTCCTTGGCTCTGTATTCCTCTTCGTTCAACGTGACATCACAGGGTGTTTTGCAATAGTGAATGATTGTATTGCATTCTGGGGTGCAATGGTGTGCGAACTGTGCAATGAACTTAGAAACTGAGTTCGACCCTAGACATGGCTAACGTTAGGGGCCATCCATTTAGTACGTAAGCATGGAGGGGGGGGGGGGTTAACCCACTGACAATGTATGTACGCATAGGAAACGGAGGGGGGGGGGGGGGGTGAAGCCTCGATAATAATTTGTCTACATTGGCCTTCAAATGAGTTAGATAGTCCGGTGGTGGACTATCTGTTTGCTTAAACACGTTAATATTATTAATCCTTGATCGTTTCTGCATGGATTAAATATCGGCCGTTCTATGGGATTGGGGGGGGGGGGGTGCATCAAGCTTAAGTACGCAGGTGGGGGGGGGGTGTTAAAAGTTCGCGTGCGTACAGGGAGGGGGGGAGGGGTCAAGTTTTGATAGATTTTTGCGTACGTACTAAATGGATGGCCCCTTAGTGGCGATTGACATCTGAACTGGTCCTGGGACCCCCCTTCACTAACCCACACTGGTCAGCATAGCGAAGTATGGAAAAATAAACCCCTGTGACTGACAAGGAGTAGAAATGCCTTCATCCAGCAGTGTAGATATTAGTACTATTATTTCATTCAGTTCAAAAGAGTATGACATTTAATATAAAGAAGTATGATAATGTGCATGTGTGTAAGGAACCCACTTGAAAGCAAGCTCAAAGACGGAGCCCCCACTGTCATTGCAGATTGCTAAAGTGGGATCATCTGTGAACTGAGAACATTTCCACTTTAAAAAATCTAAAAACTGTACAACTTATCATACCAAACCAAAAAGAACAATTTACAAAAAAAAGGTATCAAGATACATATGATATCAGAATTTCACAAAGAAAAATTTAGATCATGGCAGAAAGTTGTTGCATCACATGCATCAAAACTGAATTCATACATCTTAGCCTCTTCAATGCAATCAATATACAATCCTAAGAGCTCAAACCTTCAAACAATACTTTTGGCTGGAGGCGAGAAGCTGTTTTCGGTACACGTTAATCTCTCAAATTTTTACCCAAATAATGCTGCCAGTCGCTTAATTGTTAGTCATGATGACCCGGGGTTACATGTAGGCTGGCAAGACTACTAACCTTAATGTGCAAACAGCTGTGCCAGGAGGATGTGCATCCATTATTGTTCGCAGAAGCTTTCCATTGGTCAGATCCCACATGGTGATCTGTGGGTTATCATAATATCCACACATCCACATCAACACACTCCAGCAACCATGTAAAGAAAGACACAATAAAAAACAGCTTTGATCTTGTATACACATTAAGAGGCTATATGTCCAGAACTGTTTGACGCAAATGAAGAGACAAACAAAAACACATCTCATCCAGATATACAGATCCACAATATTATAATGAAATTATAATTACAAATGTTGTCAAAAACATAATTTTGGCACACTCGTTATGTCACTACAATTCAGTTTAAAATAATATAGTTACCTAACTAGGGTGCTATGGTGGTGATCATGACTGGTTTGAAAGCCTTTAATTGGACATGTGGCTAAGATACAACGCACTTGGGTGTTTTCACTTGATTATACAATGTGCATATGAAATTTAAAATTATGAAGACATACGATGGGTGGCATATAGAAGTGGCACCACCAACATGCAGGCACTGCATGAGCTAATATAAATCACCTGCCCCTTGGCAAAGCCACAAAGAAGGCGGGTGCAGTCGCGGTTGATACCGAGGGCAGACACGGCACCATACTGCGCTCCGATAGCCGTGCTGCCCAGACACAGCCTCAGTGCCTGGTTAGGGTCTGACATAGAGCCCAGGCCAACACAGCAAACAGACAACAGGTGGTTAGAGATTTGTGTATACAACACCCAGCCTGACACAAGGACATTTAACGCCTGATAAAGATCTAACGTACAGCAACCCAACAAGCTAACTCGTAGCACCTGGCCATGATATCATATAGGCATGTAACGATGCATCCTGCAAGAAAATTAATGCATTTTCAATATTTGGGGTTGCAATTGCATTCAACAATATTTGTTCTTGTTTTTATTATCTCATTTGGAGTGTTCCTTAAATGTCCTGTCTCGTTTGAAGAATTGTGTTCACTAGTTTAGCCAAAAATAAAAAAAAAAACATCAAATGTACATTAAATTTGAATAACTTGTGAGTTATCAATTCTTACACACGAAAAATAGTATGAATTGTGAGTGTAAGATTCGGATTTAACCAAATTTATGCAATGTTACATGCCTAGAATGATGCAGGCAGCACTTATTCCAACATGCCAGCCTGTAATTATACCTTGTTAGCATCTGATGCACGCAATACCAAGGCCAAAAGAGCAATAAATAACACCTGGTTAAGGCCGAAATAAACCGTATTCAAGTCCTCGTGTTAACAATTACTACAAATCAGGCAAACAAATTCAACATGCCAAGGGTATGATGCTCGTGACCATATGCTTATCAGCAAAGTCAGTAACCCAGAAGTAAGCTAAGTTGTATCAAGCACTCAAACTACTGGAGCAGCAAGCAGAGGCAAGGCATGGTTTTTAATTAATCTGTAATGCTCGCCTAACTCAGTCCAGCTTCCCACATCCACCAATCCTTTACAGATGCAAATTATGTTATAAACAAAGTATGCATCTGAAGATTGGTAAAGTTGAAAAGTTGACCCAGAAGAGCGGGCACGATGAGCAGTCTGGGCTGCAGCTAAAATTGATCAATGTTAGGCTGTGAGCATTCCGTGAGCTTACCTCTTCCTACTCATCGTTCCGACAAAAAAGGGAAGCACACAAAAGGGTAGAGCATTGATCAACATTGCGAGGCTTACACTGCAAAAGTGCTGCAATGCCAAAGCACGTTTTAGACAATTGTTGGAGTCTATGGCAGCAGATCTTGAAAGTGCAAGCCACTACCGCTAGTTTTTGACACATTATGAGTTGCTGTTTTTACGTTTTATAACTTGCATTAACAATGTTAATAGGATTAACAGCAAATGAAAGTGAATTAAATGAACACTTAACTTACCGTACACTAGCACTAACCCATGAGCTGTGCCCACTGCGATTACATTGGAGACAGCCTAGGGTAAAATGAAAACACACACACACAAATATTTTCTGGAGATGCTTCAACAAACTTTTTCGGGAAATGCCTTTAGTGAGCATCTAATAAGACCGGTACAGGTGAACGAAGAGCTTGCATGTCCATCACTACGCCTGGCACCCTTTGTTATCCAAGTACTGACGTTTAGAGACCACTCCAGGCACTCATTCAAGGTTGAGTCGACCTAGGAGAGACCCAGGATCAATTCAGATATTTGCCACTGATGATAGCTATGGCTTTGAATCAAACCAACGTCCCAAGGTGCAAGTGACCTAAGCAGTTGGCACACAAGGGATGCATGGGTACCTTTCCCTCTCTGCTGTTACATCTCAACTGGTACTTAATATTTATGGCCAAGTCAACTTTAAGGAGAGGCCCAAGGCAGTAAGGTCTGTACCATGGAAATGCATGAGACATGGAGAAAACCTGTTTTCATTAAACCATAGTGCAGCATTGCTAAACCAACTCACTGCATTGTTTCAACCACGTTCAAACTTAAAAAGTAATGTCGGAGAAAAAATAAACGAGTTCTTCTTGTAACAAAATGTTCCATTTGGATTTGTTGAATTAAATCATGTACAAAATGTTTTGTTGGGTGTGAAAATGAATAAACATTATACAATCCATTTAAATCATTAACGTGAAAATATATTTAAAATAAATCTTGACTTAGAGCTTTCGTGACTGCAGCAATTAATATTCTTTGTTATTTTTGTTATTTTCTTTGAACCTATCTACGTGACTTTACCGAAAGACATAAAGAATATATATTTAAATTATTTAAATTTGTGACTATTTTAAGCTAAACACCTTACATACCATAGCAGTTGGCAGTCCAGCTTCAACTCGATCCTAGAATAAAACATATAGCACACAATGGATCAAATATAAAAAGTAATAACTATTAAAGAGTAGCACATGTTAATCTTGGTACTGTTTAAACATTTCATATGATCGGACCTTGTAGTTGTAATAGGCATGTTTTATAAAATAAAAGAATATACAATTCGCACCTCTTTATACTTAAATTATAGAAATACTATTGATTTAACAAAGTAAGCAGGCATGGGTACGATACACCAATTAAATAGATAAAATCCAATGGATACGAGCAGTAACGGAATTGTATTGAAAAGAAGAAAATAGTCCAATGAGACAACTACCGTGGAGAGTGAGCAATGAGATTAGTGCACGTGCAGCAAAAGCGTTCACATGAAATAACCAAGAGAGATGGCAAAGACACGAGGAGCCCTTTATTCAGGAGTGAACTGGTTGATTGTAATGGTGACTATTTACCCTACTTAATGTTGTTAGTGGGCGGGGGAGCACAAATCAAGCTAGATTAGCTAACTTCAGTATCGAGGTACAAACAGGCTCAGTATTACAGGTAGGAACAACTGGTTCCGCACTGCCCACCAGGGATTATTTGTCTGTCGTGCATATGGGGAGGGGTGGGGCTGGGTAGAGAGGGGAGGGTGGGGAGGGGCTGGGTGGGGAGGGAGAGGCTGGTTGGGGAGGGGCTGGGAGGGGAGGGAGAGGCTGGTGGGGAGGGGCTGGGTGGGGAGGGAGAGGCTGGGTGGGGAGGGGAGGGTGGGGAGGGGCTGGGTGGGAAGGGTGGGGAGGGGCTGGGTGGAGAGGGTGGGAAGGGGCTGGGTGGGGAGGGTGGGGAGGGGCTGGGTGGGGAGGGTGGGGAGGGGCTGGGTGGGGAGGGTGGGGCTGGGTGGGGGGTGGGAGAGGTGGGGCTGGGTGGGGGGTAGGAGGGGTGGGGCTGGGTGGGGAGGGGCTGGTCACCCCGTGGTGCCCTTATAACAAGTCAACGTTTAACCCACACACTACACTATACACGACACGATAGACTACACTTATACAGGTAGAAACAACAAGTTCCTACCTGATAATTGGTTCTTTACCCTTCTATCTGGCAACAAAACTGACACCTTTTTAGGTATTGCGGTCTATGCAAACATGACTCCTTGTAAAAAGGTGTCAGTTTTGTTGCCAGATAGAAGGGTAAAGAACCATTTATCATATTTTTACTGGCAAATGAGGTCCCCATAGTGTAAGTTCCTACCTGCCCACTCCGAAGAAACGTGTTTATATGGAACATAACCCCCGAGCCAACCAGCCACTGGACTCACTGCTGCAGATACAATCTGGGAAGACACGCCCTTGAGGATGACATGTTTCAGCACCGAGCCATGGAAAGGTTTCTTCTGCTCTGCCTTCTTTTTTTTCCTGGGGAACACAAATACACACGCACATACACAGGATTCCAGTCAAACACAACCAAGCAGTCACTGGATTGCCTGGTTTCACTTTTTACCAATATTGTGAGTCCTGAAGGCAATGTTTCAATTCATGATAACATTTCAGATCCTAATAAAATTCTGCAAATGTATATGTTTCATTAAACATTATAAATGAGTGTCAATATAACCAATGGGTTACCATACTTTTCACAAGTTGCCATGTGTATACGATGACCAAGATTCTTGAACAAAAATTTAGTTTGGAAATTATATAAAGTTTAAAGTGGAAGCTTGGAAAAGTTGGAGGAAATTGGCCTTGATGTATCTTGCTCCTCCAAAAGCCGACGCTCAGAAAAAAAATCACTCATATGTACAGTCCTGCATCAATTATAAGACCGATATCATCATCTTCATGGACCGGCAACCTCTCTCATTTCATATCAATCTCCTCGTGCTAGGTGCTGTCTGCTCAAACAAATCAAGCATTCCGTTAATATCTTCAGTCCATCTTGGTTCAATGTGTGATTGGTAGTTACTTCTCTACTGCTGCTCATGTATGGAATTCAATTCCTCTGCCTGTTTGCACTGCTGTATCCATTCCCTTGTTTAAATCCTCTACTCCTCTTCCTATGTAAATCAATTAGTCATTTAAGAAACGCAAAATCATGCTAATATCATCTCTTATGCGCATTGCTATCTCGTCACGCTGTATTCATTAAATACATTTTAACGTCTTAGGACACAAGATATATGATTATCCCATGTGTGTTCTTCTGCATGTATTGCACAATATTATTGCAATTCCTCCTCTGGCCTGTCCCATTCTATCATCGATATACTGCCCTCAAAAAGACCCCTCTTCTACAACCCTATATATATATGTGGATATCCCTATGTACTACATCTTGATACGTGGTCACATGTTAGATTTGATATATTTAAAAAAAATATTCCACATTGTATAGTACAAGCGATGCGCGTGCCTGGAGTCGGGCCGGTCGCCACTGTCTGTGCTGGCCAGTGAGGACGTCTCCACGGAACAAGCGTCCGAGCCGTCGGCCAAGAAGAGCGCTGGGTCATCCAGCTGGAAAGGATTCTCCTCCTCGTCATCCTGCACAACAATGTGGCACTGCCGTACTTAAAAAACACTCCACGTATACCTCGAACATAACAGAACAGAATTCACAACACGGGCCCACAGTCTGTTTCTATATTTGAAGCTTTCGTGACTGCAAGGATTCATATTCTTAGTTCTTTCGGTAAAGTCACGTAGGTAAAAAATGAAATTAAAAATTAATAAAAATTAAATAAAAATCACGTTTGTGTTGATGTGCGCTTTACGACAAACCTCGTTGAGAATGCTTTCCAATGTGGGCGGTGTGTCCACTTGAGGAAGGTCAAACTCTTTGTCATCCAACTGTATTACAAAGAAAACACGGAGCTTGCGCGTGTGCAATTGCAATTCGAGTGCATTCGACCTGCATGCAAATAGGACTGCTCAGATACTTCTAATAACCGATTCCACAGCCTGAATGCTTCGGGGTCCAGGAGATACCTAGCACTTAGAAAAGGCAGATTAATGATTCATCTCAATAAGCTTTCACCTGACAAATAAATACATCGTTCAGAGATACAGTCAATGAACCTCACCTGCTTAAATACGGGACGTTAATCACAAGAGACGACTCATCGCAATGGGCTCTTGACGAGGCTAAATAAAGGACGTCGATCACGAGACAATTCACCGCAACGGGCTCTCACCTGGTTAAATAAAAGACGTCAGTGTCGACATATTTAGAACGAACGCAACATCAATCATTGGTAATGACAATTGGTTTTTTACCCTTTTATCTGGCAACAAAACTGACACCTTTTTTACAAGGAGTCATGTTTGCATTGACCACAATACCTGCAGTCGTAATACAAACAAAAAACACAACTCTGATAATGTACGCACTGTCCTTGAAATGGATTGGTCCACACCCGAGACAGCTTTCTTTAGAGCCCAGTCTCACATGGTGTTGGACCAGATGACGCAAAAAAAGGTGTCAGTTTTGTTGCCACATAAAAGGGTAAAAAAACCAATCATCATATTTTGCTACTGGCAAAGGAGGTTCCAATGGTGTAAATCCCTCATTGGGTTTGTGAGTTCCCTACCTCCTCAATGTCGTCCGTCAGATCAGCCATAGACGCACAGCGGCTGGGGCTGGACTCTGCGGAGGACATGTCGCGCCTCGTGCTGGTTGTTGCTGCTGGTTGTTGCTGGTTGTTGCTGTTGCTGCTGGTTGTTGCTGCTGGTTGTTGCTGCTGGTTAGTGTTGTTGTGGTGCTGCTGCTGTACGCGAGTTCGATATTGACACGGGAGTCAACGCCTGACCCCTGACCCCAAGCAGCTGATCGCTGCCGCTTCCTTGAACATTGCCCGGACCGGAAACAGTGAGTTGAAACGATTTCAAGTTCCGCACCGAAGTTCTCCCAATAATTTTTGTTCTTCATTAAATAAAAGCAAACGTGTTATACAAAAAATGGAGAGTTCAAATGTTGCGTCTGCCGTTGCGACTCGCGAAAGATTACATTTTAAAGGAACGAAACGTCATACGAGACGGCAATGTGTTGATAAATCCGCGAGCGGAACCATTGTGCCGACCGCGTTTCCCCCACGATGGGGGATCATTTTACGGACAGCACACAGCGTGGACCAATCGAATTCGTTGATGCGTTGTCACGTGACGCGGTTGCCAAGCGACAGCGACGCCGAGTCAAAGTTTTTTTTTTATTTCGCAGCGATAATCTTTTTCTCTCGTAACAACAACAATTATTGTTACTTACACTCATAACAAACAGATATAACGTCAGCAATCGAATAGGAAGTAAGTTAACGTCGTGCTGCCTTTGCCGTGATGAATATAGTTTGTGTTGCACGCTTGTTTAATGTCCAACGTCGTTATCGTTTCACCGCTCGCGAAGTTAATAAACTATTGGCACATTTCGAATACATTTAAAACATTTACATTTGAAGTTCGCCGTTGCTACTGGGCTGTGTTGAACTTTGTGCACATTTCGAGTTAAATAAAGTATTATTGGTTCTTTCGGTAAAGTCACGTAGAAGGGAAATAGTAAAATTATTAAAATTAAACAATAAAATTCTCACGACGTTTAGATTGCAACACAAGCAATCATCATCAGGTGCGAAAACCACAGCAAGAAATCTTCTTGGTTCTTTCGGTAAAGTCACGTAGAAGGGAAATAATAAAATCATAAAAATAAAACATAATAAAAAAAGTTTATGTTTTATTTTATATTTTATATTACGTGACTTTTCCGAAAGAACCAAGAAGATGAATCCCTGCAATCACGAAAGCTTTAAATCGAAAATTAAATAAAGTAGTTTCAACCCAGGTCTATACGGCGTATAGCCGTTTCGATACGGGCAAAAAAAATAGAATTGTGTTTATTTGTGTTTCTCCCTTGTGATGGGACTTTGTAGAATGAACGTTGAAATGTATAAGGGCATGGGGTGATCAATGAGGTCTGAATTGGTCTGTAATAAGATAGGGCACTGGTAAGTGGTTGACAGGTATGAGTTTTTGTTAAACTCATAATTTGTTTAAATATTCAGTTGTATTCAGGTCGCCATGTGTCTCAACGAGCCCGTATTTCATCACCTGGTTACATAAATAATAACGTTACTACTTGTAGATACTTAGCCAAGCTGTACGTTTGAAGTTACATTCATGAGAAAGTAATACTGGTAGGAACCCACTGGTTCCACCAGCCCACAGGGGATTATTGTGTCCGTCCGTTCGTCGTGCAAGGAGGGGCTGGGTGGGGAGGTTGGGGCTGGGTGGGGAGGGAGGGGAGGGTGGGGAGGGGAGGGAGGGGCTGGGTGGGGAGGGGAGGGGCTGGATGGGGCTGGGTGGGGGGTGGGGCTGGGTGGGGAGGGGCTGGTCACCCTGTGGTTGCCCTTATAAAACTCAACGTTTAACCTACTCACGCCGGCTTGTGCCCGCCCTCACAGTCGGGCATATTTGCGGAATACACCACGCCGCCGTTGACCCTGGCCATTGACCGAGCAACCCAACGTTCCTACCAGCTCCCTCTGCAGGAATGTGTTATTGTAATGTACTTTAAAGATGCGGTCGAGCGTGTCTTTCTGACGCCCTTCGTAAGTTGCAATGCGTCCGTGTAGCGGTGTCAGCTCAGGACGTTCTGTATCTGCAAGAGCTGCTTGTTTTTTGGGGGTTGTCTCTTGAATATTTTTTTTATTTCAATGGTTGTGCATAATTGCTATTGTATAACTTGTATATAAAACGTGACCTCCGTAAACCACACTTACGGGCGTGTATAATACGTTTGCATTTTACAACAGCAACTTGGAATGGCAGCCAAAAAGAAGGAAATACAACTGCAGGTAAAAATAAACATTTTGGCAATTTCTTTGATTAATTTTGTTGGACCTGAATTTATTTTGAAAAGCCAGTACACAATTTGTATTCTTGTACAATTTCATAAAGTATTTGAGTGTTATGTATGTTAACAGTACAGGATTTATCTTATGAAACAATAAACATTTTCACCCGTATGTTCAGTTGACCACATATAAACATTGTATCTAAATTCGCTAATTCTACTTTAAGAGCAGATTTTCAAGAAGCTAACCCTCGCAGAAACTGAGGTCTATCCGCGAAACAAATCAGTAAATATAAACTCAATGTGTGATTTCGGACTTCCTCAGGTGCTCATCTCCAACCAGGAGCAGTGGGATGAGTTGATGGCATTGAGAGGATTAATAGGTGACAACTCCATGACCTTTCTGCAATCTCATGATTCACACATGCAAACAGGACAATGTCTTTTCATATACATTGTATACTATGTCATGAGTTAATTTACAAACATTTCAAAGTAGGTCAAGTCCGTACTCCATTTGTCATCAGGTGAACAGTTCTATTAAATACAGTAAGTCCTCATTTAACTGCGGTAGATGCGTTCCTGAATAGGGCCACGTTAAGCGAAAACAATTTCCCCATATATAACGTAAGGAGAAAGTTTGGCAGGATACAGTGTACACATACAGTAAGATGCCGGGATAAATAACTGAGGTACCGCTCAGCCACGCTTCTCAAAAAAGTACCTTGTCGACCATTCAAAAACCGCGTTATAATGGGCGCATTATACACGGACGCGTTTATGTTGTGCGAAAAGTTACAGCGAAAACGCGTGTGAACATGCGTTAAGCGAGGACTTACCATACTATATAATAATTCTGCTATAATCTAAAGCAACTTGCACTATATGTATAATGTTCTACGAAAAAAGATGTGTTGTTTTGCACATTGCAGTCATTTTGAGATTAAGTCACTTGTTCATGTCTTCTGACTATGCAGTGCTGTTCTGTTTGCCACTACAGTGACAGACGTGTATCCAGCATGGTGTGGACCCTGCAAAGCTGTGATGAGTCTGTTCCGGAAAATAAAAAATGAGCTGGGAGATGACTTACTGCACTTCGCAGCGGTATGCCGTTGTGTGTGTCCCTGAAATGAAGCTGTTTTAGAAAACATCTCCGAAATATATTTGGAGAATATCATGTACTTTATAGAATTATTTCCAGCAGTATCAGTTTGTCATACTGTGTATGCAACTGAAACATCACTTTGTGTATTGTATCTTTTGTTCATTAAAAGTGCTTTACTCAAATATTAAAAAGACACGTTTGTGGACATGATACAGCACTGTTGATATTACAGTACGGTTTCACTCCTATCATGGTATGATTTAAGTGGCATCCGATTTACAGGCAGAAGCTGACGGTGTGGAGGCATTAGAGAAGTACAGGGGGAAATGTGAGCCAACGTTCCTCTTTTATGCGGTAAGTTATTTTATGGATTGAGTCTAATTTGTGTTTAATAGTTTAAAAGTATAACATTTCTAGGTCCATATAAATATTATACAACCATATATTCCAGAGCACATTTGAATTTGGATGCTTCGAATTTTCAGCTCGGAGGTACATTTTCACACCCATTTGACCCATGTGTCACGTAGGGCGGGGAGCTCGTGGATGTAGTGCGTGGCGCCAACGCTCCCGTTCTACAGCGGAAAATCCTGGCACAACTGCAGGCTGAAAAGCGAGTTCTGGATGAAGGAGGCGAGCGTCTGGTGGTGAGCAGCAGCTGAGATGTTCCCGTTATACTGGTAGGAACGACGTGAACCAGCCTACAATAGATTATATCGTCCGTCCGTCCGATGTCCGATTAGGTGTAGCAACATCGCCCCCTACTGCAAACACTTGGCAGGACCCTACAAAAACCTTTAGACTCAGTGAGGCTTTCCTGGCTAAACAAGTGTAACATTCCCTTATAATTCCCTGAGATAGTTTTTTAATTCCCTGAGATAGTTTTTAATTAAAACATTTAAATTAAAAATTAACTCATTCCCTGAGATAGTTTTTAATTAAAACATTTAAATTAAAAATTAACTCACAGCGGCCTAAAGCCTACAGCTAGGCCTAAAGCCTAGAACTAGGCCTCAAACTCTCCCTTCGTATCGTATTTGTTCGTTCCTACCAGCCCACCCCGCAGGGACCTGTTACTTAATGGAGTAGCGTTGTGGGTTTGTGTCCAGGTAGAATGTGTTTCCACTTGACAATTTGGCTAAAGTTCGATAAACTTTCTCAATAACTAATTTTTATATGAAAGTAGGACTGATAATTACCAAACGAGCCCTCGAGAGGTAATGGATTGCTCTCATTTGCTCAGGTTTAGGGACGCTTCCATAGAGATACCATGGCCCAGTTGCAGTTGCATTCCAGGACAGAATCAGTAATGTGCACTCAAGAGAACAGAGCTTGAGTAAAACAAATTAGATGAATAATCAAAACTTAAATAAAATGTCGATTTAAAGCTTTCGTGACTGCAGGGATTCATCTTCTTGGTTCTTTCGGTAAAGTCACATAGAATGGAAACAATAAAAATAATAAAATAAAACATAATAAAATAATTCTCACGACGTTTCGGCCACAACGCAAGCAGCCGTCATCAGGTGAGGACCAGGTCTGTCGGGGAGACAGCTGTCTTGTTTCCATTCTACGTGACTTTACCGAAAGAACCAAGAAGATAAATAAAATGTGTTAGGAGTGTACAATGAAAATCAAAAGGATAGCTGCTGTTATCATTGACAGTCTTAGAAACATATATCAGAATAATCTTTGAGGTGATGCCTTCTTGAGAGCAGAGTACAGCCATATTGACTGACAGTTGGAAACTACACTATAGTTGGACATGAAGTGAATATCCTATTTCCATCCTTATAATTACTGTCAGATCACAGATCAAGTTCAAGTTCAATTATTAGGTATAGCCCTGTGAGCCATTCGGCTCTTGAATCGGGTGCAACCGCAACAAACAAAAAACTAAAACATGAACAAAAAACATCTTAAAGTGAATATGTGACTAAGTGCAAACAGAAAATCCAAGAAAAAACAGCAAAATATTGCATAAAAAACACCGAACACCAACGCTGTGTGCAAAAATCCCAGTGGGATGCAAGTCAAACAACAACAAGACAACTTAGATTAAGGCCATCAGTCTAACTCTAAATAAATTTTAATCAATTGTGCATGTACGGTTTAAGTGAGAGTTGTATCAATGGGCAATTGGGGTTGCAGGTGCAAGACACTGCCCTGCAGAGCATGGAGGACAATGACTCGGATATGAAGACCCCTCGGGGGCAGCAAGATCAAGAAGAGGAAGAAGGGGAAGAAGGTGAGGGTGCATATATTACACAAGAAGTGCAAAACATTCTTTTAAAAATGAATTGGCCAAGATACATTGCAGAACTCTAATGAAAAATATGACTACTATTTTTATTTTACAAGGTAAGGCCCACTGAGATATATAGCTCTTTTTAAGAAACGACCTGGCCACAAATGATAGCTCAACGAAGTGGCTTATGTGGAAATGTATAGCAGCCAAATACTCTAAACGCATGTTTCTAAATGTGGAGGAAAAAAACGGAGGGTCTGAAGACAATTCCACGCAACCACGGGGAGAACATGCAAACTCCGAATATACAGGTGTTAGGTTTGGGATAGAATCCGCGACTTCCTGTATACCAGGCAAGGCAGGTAACATCTCACCAATGCCGTGCCTCAAAGGCACGGCCCCCATTATGTGGAAATGTATCGCAGCCATATACTTTAAATGCATGTTTCTAAATGTGGAGGGAAAATGATCGCTCAACGAGGTGGCTTATCATGTGTAAATTTGTAGCAGACAAATACTCTAAACGCATGTTTCTAAATGTGGAGGGAATAACTGGAGGACCCGGAGAAAAATCCACACGACCACGAGGAGAACATGCAAACTCCAAATATCCAGCCGCCAGGGTCGGTATTGAACCGACGATCTCCTGTATACCAGGCGAGGTTGTTAACATCTCGCCACCGTGAGGCTTCCCAGTTAAATAAATGTGCATTTATTTTACAATTAATCCAAATCCAGTTGAACAAATTGCAGTAAATGTACATGGTACATTTTTTCAGGCAATCATCTTTCAATTTTTTGTTAGAAACAAATTACTTCACTGGCAATTCTCTTTGATTTTAGACCTAAGATATGTTTGCTTAGCATTATTTTTAATTCTTCAATAAAATTGATTTATATGAGATTGGATCGAAGCAGAAGGCTACGTATGGATGTGGTCACATTGTTCCAGGGCACTGAGTATGTTGTTGATGCTCATTCCTGTTTGCAGCTCTCACGAGCCACCCATACACTGTGGCCCTCATCAAGCCAGACGTGGTCGCTAAGGGGAAAGTGGAGGAAATCATCATGAAGGTAACAATGCATGTGCCCATCTTCACTCTTAAAGCAGCCAATGTGAGCCTCTGAGACACTCTAAATTTTCACGTTGAATTCATGTCCATTGTTTCCCCCATCGATATAGATGCTGTGTGGGTTCCTTTTGCCCCCTTAAACAGGACCCTGCGGGGTGGGCTGGTAGGAATAATACTTAGTACCGGTACAGGGATATCGACCGGGTATAGAGGAGTTAAAGAAAAAATTACTGTATTCTAGTGTAACGTTAATTAAAAGTGTTTGTTTTGACAAGAAACGCTGTGAGATTTAAAGACCCCCCAACACCACCCCTCCCACCACCCCCCACCACCACCCCCCACCACCACCCCACCACCACCCCCCACCACCACCTTCTGCACTAGGCCTCGCGAAGCCTGCCGCACTAGGCCTCGCGAAACCTGCCGCACTAGGCCTCGCGAAGCCTGCCGCACTAGGCCTCGCGAAGCCTGTCGCACTAGGCCACGCGCCGTGCTTTTCGTGAACAATTAAGGCGATTAAATGTATCTCGTCTCTGTGTTAATAAATGTTTCTTGTCTCTGTGTTAAAAAAACGTGCGCGTTTCAGGAAAGAATTTTTTTTTTTTAATAAACGTGCTGCGTTTCATCTCTGTGTTAATAAGCCTGCCGCACTAGGCCTCGCGAAGCCTGCAGCACTAGGCCTCGCGCCGTGCTTTTCGTGCAAAAAAATAAGGCGATTAAATGTATCTCGTCTCTGTGTTAATAAATGTTTCTTGTCTCTGTGTTAAAAAAACGTGCTGCGTTTCAGTAAAGTAAATTTGAAGCGAAGTTTATTATTACACTTGTTAAGCCAGGAAAGCCCCACTGAGTCAAAAGGTTTTTGTAGGGTCCTGCCAAGTGTTTGCAGTAGGGGGCGATGTTGCTACAGCTGTAGGCTTTAGGGCGCTGTGAGTTTTTTTTTAAATTTAATTTCAAAGTTTTAATTAAAAGTTTTAATTAAAAGCTATCTCAGGGAATAAGGGAATGTTACACGTGTCATGCCAAGTGTTTGCAGTAGGGGGCGATGTTGCTACCAGGATAGCGTCACTGAGTCTAAAGGTTTTTGTAGGGTCATGCCAAGTGTTTGCAGTAGGGGGCGATGTTGATATAGGGACGGACGGACAGTCGGACGGACGGACGGACACATTAATCTATTGGTGGTCTGGTCCACTTCGTTCCTACCAGTATAATTGCTCAATCTCAGAACCACTTACAAATACAGATGACATGCACACCTAGCCCTACTACCAAATTAACAATTGATGGGGAAATGTGGTGTTACTTAATTCACACCATCAGGGATAACTCCTGATTTCTGTGAAAATACAAACAACTAATGTTTAATTTATTAAACGTGTTGTGGACAGTAACCTGGAATAATTGACTGGGTTTTTCCAAAGAGCCTGTCTTCATGATTTCTGTGTTTCCGATGTTGGCTCTGATGATGCTTTCAATGGCAATGTCTGGGATAGGTGCAAGAAGCTGGGTTTGAGATTGTGGCTCATGAAGAGAGGACACTGCTGCCCGAGGAAGCACGTGACTTCTACCAGCATCGCTCAGGAGAGGTATCCCATGCACACACCCTTGGACACACAATTTACACGTAATTGCATTGTAAAGAAGGTCGGGACATTGTTGGGGATGCTAATACTATTTCAGAGAACTGAGTTGGCTATGTTCATAATCTGGGTTTGAATCCAGACAGTTACCCTCAATTAAAACAGGTTATCGTGCTAACCACGTAAAAACTGTCAAGTTCTTCTTTCAAAATTAAACAATGAATACCTCAAAACAAATTAAACAGGTTATCATGCCTTGTGATTTCATCAATTCAGTATGGTCACCAATAACATGCACAACAAATAAATAAATGTGTGGAGTTTTCACTTAATTATGCATATTCCAGCTCTGAGGACAAAAAAAATAGGTACAATAAATGTACTTAGACAATCACTCTTTACAGGACATATTAAAGGTTTGCCCATAGTGTTTAAAAAAAAACCTTGAATTCATGTGACTTAAGAAGTCGTTAAGTAACGTAATATTCTGCAGCTGTACTCTGGCACAGGGCGGTGAACTTGTCACTGTGCGAACTGAATGAAAACGTGTTATGGCAACACCATGATTGGAATATAAATTGGGAGAAAACAATTTTTTAACTGCATGTTTCTTTGCACAATCTGCACGTTTGTTTTACCACATGTCTGCTGTGAATGAAGGAGTGGTATTGCCCAAAGTGTTTGCTTAACATATGTTTGACTGTGTTGTGTTGGCAGCCCAACTTTGCAGAGCTGGTGCAATTCATGTCCAGTGGCCCGTGCCACGTGTTGATGCTGTCTCGGCCCGACGGGGCCGACTGACGTCATTCCCGCATGGAGAGAGCTCATCGGCCCCACGGACCTGGAGGTGGCAAAGGCTGAGAAACCAGATTGGTGGGAAACACACATTCATCACAGACTAGGGAGTCCAGCCCTTAAAGGCTTGGTCACAGACAAGCAGCATTCATTCTTCACTTGTAAACTGTCTAACACCTCTTACATGCACATTTTGATTGCTCTACTTGCAATGATGCACTGTGTCTCAAGCTATTCTTGCCTGTTGAATAAAGCACTTAAAAATATAATGGTAAAACTTCATCTCAAAGGCACTTCAAAATATACTGTACTTTTGCAAGCACAATCCAATGTTTCTTTAAGAGCGTACGTTTACTTTAAGTGAAAATTTGGTTGTGTAAGCTCTAAAAATATTTCATAATAATTGTCAGAGATATCTGGTTAGTATGCTTATAATATATATCGGTACAGTAGGTCAACCTTGCCCAGAGCATGATCATGTCGTAAAATGTCAAATATTTTTCCCAGAAAAGCCTCGGCAAGTTTCAAGACTCTTTATCACTAGGGTTCTGTCTCTGATTTTTCACCAATTAAATTGAATGGTGTTTTGAATGTGGGAAGAAACTAGATTATCCAGTGAAGCTCATGTATACTTTTTCATTATTATTTCTTAAAAATTGCACTTGGAAAATCCCGTGAGATACATCTCATTTACCAGGGTGTTAAGGCTGTACATACGGGGGGATAACACAAAAAGTTTTGTACCGAAAAGTTCACAACCCACGTTTGTTTCCAGCTACCTCTTGACTACCTCAGCTGAGTCGGTTTATAAGTTTCACAAGTCTGCAAGATCTGCCAATCCTTGCCTTCATATGTCACTACCCATGCAAATGACAAAATTTAAATCAGTAAAGAGAAACCAAATGGAAGATGCTACTTATTGTTTTTTGCTGACCCAGCTTGCGGGCGCAGTACGGCACGGACACCACACTCAACGCGTTGCACGGCAGCAGCAGCCAGGAGCAGGCGAGCCGCGAGCTGGCCTTCTTTTTCCCAAACCTCCGAGGCTCTTTGGGCGAGCGGGCAGAGCCTGAAGATGGGCGGCGCTCATGGGGAGACAGGGCAGCCTCAGGAACACCACGTGGTGACAGCCGCCAGGGTAGCAGGGTGGAGAGGACTCTCGCACTCATCCGCCCAGACCTGCTTAAGGAGAAGAAAGGTAACTGCGACGTATTCATTCATTGAGAAGCAGGGCATTGAGAAAGATAGGCAAAGGTAGAGGTTTCAAATTTGAAACTTTATTGTGAATAATCTGTGGGTATTTTTTTATTAGAAGAGGACTATTGTCATTGGGACTACAGGTGACCCTTGACATTAATAGAAATATGGCAGTGGTTTGTTTAGATTTGAGGTATGCGCAGCCTTGATTTAAAAATAATACTTTATTTGGGTGTGACTGCATGTGTTCACACACGTGGTAATTGTTTGGTTTAGGTGATTTAAATACAATATTTAAATTATGCATCGCATTGGTGGTTAACAGATAACTCTGCATGCTGGTACACTAATGTTAAATGTAAAAGAGGAAAGACATTGCTTTTTTTTAGGTTGGATGAACTAATCAATTATAAAAAAACAATGCTCCACAAGAGGGAATTTGAAAGGTAATGCCTTAAATATTGCAGCTGAATGCAAAATATAAAGTACATTAATTGTATGTTTCTGCATATCCTGTCCTTCCAAACAATGATGCTCTTAATTTGAATCTCAGAAGTTTTGCACATCCCTATCAAAGGATAGCAACCAGGCAGCAAATCGGTTCAAACAAAGCGAGCCCAGCAGCAACAGCACTCCTGTTTTTAATACAATTGCAGACGCAGTGTTGGGAGCGATCAAAGAGGCTGGTTTCCACATCGCAATGCAGAAGGAGGTGATACTGACCGAGGAGCAGGCGCGAGAGTTTTACCGAGAGCACGAGGGGCAGGACTACTTCAGCACACTCGTCAAACACATGACCAGGTGACCTAACCCTCTTTACTTTACTGGAAATCAACTCACCACAGCTTTAATGATTAAATCAATGCACTGTCGTTAAAACGTGGTACCTTGGTCCAGTAAGATGAATTGTGTCGTTTTACCTCTGTACAAAACTTCCTGGCTGCATGCTAAACCTTCGACTGCATTTGTCTTTGTGTCAGCGGGCCAGTGCTAGCTCTGGCCCTCGCAAGGAAGGATGCTGTACAGGGCTGGAGGGACACGTTGGGGCCCAAGGACTTGCAGGTGGCCAAGGAAGCAGCTCCCCAGAGGTCGGTGTCCAACACATTCTTGCGGAGGGAGCTGGTAGGAACGTTGGGTTGCTCGGTCAATGGCCAGGGTCAACGGCGGCGTGGTGTATTCCGCAAATATGCCCGACTGTGAGGGCGGGCACAAGCCGGCGTGAGTAGGTTAAACATTGAGTTTTATAAGGGCACCATGGGGTGATCAGCCCCTCCCCACCCAGCCTCACCCCTCCCACCCCCCACCCAGCCCCACCCTCCCCACCCAGCCTCTCCCCACCCTCCCCACCCAGCCCCTCCCCACCCAGCCCCTCCCCACCCAGCCCCACCCTCCCTACCCAGCCCCTCCCTGCCCGCCCCACCAAGCCCCTCCCTTCCCACCCAGCCCCTCCCTCTCTCCCCACCCAGCCCCTCCCTGCACGACGGACGGACGGACACAATCATCCCCTCTGGGCTGGTGTAACCAGGAGGTTCCTACCAGTATAATATGGATCACTGCTGAATTACTCAGGATATGCCGAAGACCAAATCACTCACGATGCACCTTAACTCATCCGATCTCGGTAATTTAGCAGGAATAAGCCTAGATAGCTCTTGGATGGGTGATCACCATGCATAACTCGGGTGTTATAGGCTACTTCAGGGCAATATTGGCAGTCGAGGGCAGTGCAGCAAAATCCATTGTTTTATTGCGCAATGCTCCTTCACCAACTTTGCACTGATCAGTGTTGTTAAATATAGTCAATTAACTCACGTGGCATACGCAGCATGGGAAGGTCTTCATGGAGCAGTAATTGATATGTCCTCAATCCAAAAATCAGCCTAGATACAAAATATTAGATGATTTGAAATTTTTTCGTCATATTTTATGTAAAAATGTGACTTAACAGCATGTTAATGTCTTATTATTAAAATTATAATAATAAAAAAGTAAAACAATCTACAAATATCACAATTTAATGGTTACAAAAATAAGATGTAATGTCATACAATAACGATTTTAAAAAAGTGTTTTTTTCTGGCTGCCATGTGGGCAGGCAGGTACGCATTGGTGACATCACTGCATAAAGACGTCACCCAAATCCCACGGCATTGAGCCGGGTTCGTGTGCTGACATCATGAATACCCCCCACCACCAACCCTCCATCCCGGCAGTATATCCTGCAAGTGTGCGGGCAGTGATATGTTTTTAAAATCCTTTATATTAAGTTCACTTGCTTGCTTGCTTGCGCGCTCACGACCGTGCAAATCTTTCGGTCGTTTTTTAACCCACTTCCCGTGATCCAATCGAGCTGACATTTTCCACACAGACTCGTTGTGCGTGACAATTAATTTTCGTGAAATTTTTTTTCCAAAATGTTACACTTTTTAGTAAAAAAAAATTATATTTAATTACCAATTGCTTAATGGTTCCAGGCAATCATCTGACCCATAGGTGGCAGCCATCTCAAGCCAGAGGACGAGAGGACTCTAGCCGCCACGCATATAAAGGATTTATAGTGAAAAACTTTGTTTTTACGGGTTAATTTTTTTATACTTTTATCTGAATGTCCCACAAAATTTGAATTGGTCTTAAAAAACAGAAAATCGGAAATTTAAATCTGAAACTCATCCCTGGCATTATACCTCACTGCCTATTTAGACTTACTGTGTCAAAACAGCAATAGCAGTGGTGTAATAATTGTTGGTTAAAATAACCACTGAGAGTAAACTATGCATGTTTGTTGCAGTACACGGAGCAGTGAGTGAATTCTGCTATTGTAGTCCCATTGCAATAGTGGACCCCATCATGGTACCTGTTTATGTACCTGCATTGCAGCCTCCGTGCACAGTTCGTCTCGGACGCCGCTCCCATCAACCAGCTACATGGCAGTGCGTCGCCCACCGAGGCGAAAAAGGAGCTGGATTTCTTCTTCCCCAAACAGCAAACGCTGGCTGTCATCAAGCCGGATGTGTTGCCACAGCATAAGGGTAATTAATGTGAATAACAAGATGCAACCATGACATTAACGTGCTTTGGAAAATGTGCGTTTGGATTTAATTAGGCTTGTGATGGTCAAAGTTCTGAATTTAAAAGACCCTTGGAAGGTCAAAGTGTAAAATTATAAGACTTCAGGAAGGTGAACACTTTTGTAAAGCTACATCTAGACTGCCTATACACCATCATTTGTTTTGCTTCACGACATCACAGTGATAATACGGTAACTATTCACAATTCAATGCATGCACAGGATATAGCATGGGTGGTTTTTAAATTACTTTATTCTACATTTTTACACACACTCATCTCATGCACTGAGTAAATGTGTTATATTTACTGTGTTAACATATTAGCGTGCACAACGTACATTCATGTCATATGTGCACGCGATACATGGATATCCATCTGCGGAACCTCCGTCAGTGACCATGCGCTCGACTGATTTTTCACAGAGGAGATCATGAGCACGATACGCGACGCTGGCTTCACTGTGTCCATGATGCGCGAGGTGGAGCTGTCGCAAGAGTTGGCCTCCGAGTTTTACCACGAGCACCGAGACAAGGCTTTCTTTCCCCAGCTCGTCGATCTCATGTCACGGTAGGGAGGCCTTTTGTCGATTGAACTGCAGGTGATACATGAGATTTTATGTTTTCACACAAAGACATGCTTTTTGTCAGTTAAATCTAGAAATTAAAGGAAGTTGCAACCCCGTAATAAAATAGCTCCCATGTTGTATATACTGTACATACATAGGCTGTGTATTACAGCATGTCTAACAAGAATTTGTGGCTTCATTCATGAATTATATATATATTTTTATGTTAGTCAGGTACTCTTTAGTGATTGCACTGCTGAGTCACTCCCATTGTACTCACCACAGAGAACTGTAACGACACGACTGCACTTTATGATAGTTGGCACCAAACTGTGCCACGCCCTCCCACATGGCCTTGTGGGAGCCTTGGTACTGAGAAAGTTTGTTTATTTTAGTTTTTCTTCTGGTTCCGTTCCAATGACATACACGTATGTCATTGGAGTGGAATCGGAAGAAAAATTACGATATAGACGTACGTCATCAGAACGGGAAAGGGTTCATTTCCTTCACGTAAAAAAGTTAGTGCGACAGATCAGCAGGTTTTGGTCAGTAAAAATTGATACACCTTGCATGTATGGCTTCAAAATAGGGGGCCTTCCCTGATGCTGGTGCTCAACCGTGAGGATGCCGTGGAGGAATGGAGGCGACTCATGGGGCCAACCGACCCGGATGTGGCACGCAAGACGGCACCCGAGTCCCTGCGCGCACGCTTTGCTCGCAGCGTGTTTGAGAACGCACTGCATGGTGCCTCCAACCTGCACCATGCCCAAGAGAACATCCACTTACTGTTCGGTGACATCAGCTTCTCTCCGGATGGCACTGTGCTAGGTAAGGATATAATGATTTATTGATTAATCGATTGACATTGATCTATAGTAGTGACATCGCGGACGTCACTGAGTAATGCCGGCTCTAGCGAGGCACGGCGAGCGCTGGGATAGCGCTCAGTGGCACCACGCGTGGCGTGCAGTGCTGACTCCTACAGGAGGGAGTGTGAGAGTGTCAGCCATGGGATGAGGTTACCCTAGGCCATGACACTCTGGTTGACCCTGGAAGGCACGTGACCAGTAAGATCTACACAGGGGCCCCAGGTGGGGGCTAGGGGGTGGTCACGTGTCAGGGTGAGATCCTACGGGAAGGGTCGAGAAACAGCAAGAGGTTTCTCGAAGGTGGTCGTGGCCAAGGGCGGGGCCAGCCACGACCCGGGAGCACATACACCGGGTCCCCACAGGGACCAGGGTTCAGCGTTGCTGTTGTCATCTGAAGATCTACGATCTACGTTCTACGTCCAAGAAGAAGTCACCAACACGTGGACGAGGACCCAAGTCAGGGTCCTGTCCGTTGTAGCGACTCCCAGTAACTAGCGTAGTTAGCCTGGTGGTCCACCACCATAGGTTATCTGGTAAAGGGGCAGTAACCCCTTTGTGTTAATGTGTTGGTATTCATAAATGTGTTGCCTCCAAAGAGTGCATCTGTGACTCAGTTGAATCCACTACACACTGAATAAAATAATGCATATAGGAATCAATTATGTTTGACTCATATGTTCATACCACTGATTTCTACATGCACAATGGAAAATAAAATATTCATGACTCACATTTTGTTATCTAGTTGTGACAATTTGTCACTTCATAGATGGGGTGCATTGTTACGTAACTAATACTTGGTGCTCGTGTTGGACATATTTTGTTCCAGCTGCTCAAAAATCAAGACAAAACTAATTAAAATGTATATAGATTAAAATAATTTGTCAACAGAATAGTTTAATATTTAAGCCTTTTCTCAGGAGGGTCCAGGCTGGTAGGTTTGGCCATAATCTCCTTCAGCATATTTGCATCTGGGTGAAAAATAGATCACCTGGAAAAATACCATTCATGTAAGAGGATAATATTCAAATTCAGCACAGATAGGTTCATAAATACATGTTGTAGTGCCTCATATCGGCATCTCATTGTTCAACGAGTAGTTATCCCAAAGTATTGTATAACCCACTAAAGCTGTCTGCCTATTTTATGGATTGCAGCCCGATGTCACAGCAGTGATCTGGCGCCACAGGCAGTCCCCGAGATACGATCGTCCGACTTACGAACGTCCACACTTATGAACGACCCTTCACTTAACACCCTGTCCCACATTTGCTTTTGTAGGAATGGAACCGGACCTGGATAAAGTGGAGCCGCCAGAATACAGAGACGATACAGAGGAGGACAGCACAGAGAAGCAAGATGGCGAGAGAGCCATTGAGAAGGATGCAGTAGATGGACATACACATGAGAATGCAGAGGACATAACACAAGAGGAAAACAAGGTGTATGGAGAAAAAGAAAGGGAGGAGGCTCTAAAGAAGGATGGAGAAGAGAAGGAAAGGGCAATTTCAAGGGAAGGTAATGAGAGCATTCGCAGTGGAGATGATAGTGGCAGGGATGGGGCAGCAGAGTTAAAGAGAGTGGGCACAGGCAACAGAAAAGATGATAAAGATATGAATGCTGAAGAGGGCAGAGTGGGTGATGTAGATGGTGACGAAGACAAGAAGGAAGAGCAAAAGCAACTGCACACAGGTGTATAAAACACTTAGCACCTTTGCCATTTTACAAAGTTATAAAATTCCTTGATCAGTTGCATAATCACAATAAAACACATTCCAAATGATTACTAATCTACAACTCGCATCGTAACAATAGCCTGATTACTAATCTAGTATATAATTACAATAACCCCCCCCTCAAATCTTTGCACCTGATGAGTTAATGAGTTAATGATGACGTCACCCTGCTGCTGCTCTATATAAGAACGGGAGACACAGCAGAGCCTCACCATTCTGGCGAATTGCCCGATGATGCTGGATGCAATTACCAGCGAAACGTCGTACTCAAATTGTAAATTGTTGTGGTTTCACGCTTCAACACACCGGTGGGCTAAAGCAGTGAACTAATTGTCTTTTGTCAACGTGACACTTTTTTACTGATTGGCCGTGTCGGGTGGTGGAGGGTTACGACACATTTATAAATAACGCGATCTAAACCCAAAAACGTTGATTATGAAATTCCTTGATGTTATAAGTAAAATGTAGCACTTAACCATCTGCTGCTAAACATAGGTTATGTGTTATAGTTAATAAATTGGCTGTACTATAATACATGCGTTTGGTAACCTATAGAAACTGGTCTTGTCACAGTATGGTATATGCTAGATTTAAAGCAATTTTACTCATCTCTTGTATTCCACCAATTTTTCTGGAAATACCGATTCCTGAACGTGGAGATATTAACTTGTGTGAACATGCCAAGTGTTAAAGTAATCCTTGTCACCAGACATCTGAGATGGACTGGACCATTGCCAAAAGCAGTACTGTGGAGGTTCTCATAGGAAACGCCATTGAGGGCAGGGTCTTCAGATTAAAACACGTTCCTTCGGAATGGGCAGGTAGGAACTTGGTTGGGCAGCGCATTCGTGCGATCCGTGTCACGTGGTGCGGAGCCCGAAGCGCTCTATGAAATACAAATCGGGCGTGGCTAATCACGACAGACACAAATAATCCCTGGTGGGCAGTGTGGAACTGTTGTTCCTACCTGTAATATTTGCTTATCCGTTGTCGGCATATCCGCCTCGACTGCTCAGTCATCTAAAAGCTACTGGTATTTTTGACCAAATGGGAGGAAATAGCTCGTGATCACTTGCAGTGAAGTTCAATCTCAGATGTACGTGCCATATTAACCAAAGAACAGAAGCATGGATGTCACCGAGAAAATGTATAAAAGTTCAACTCAATAGAAATGTTTAGTCTGGACTTGAAAGCGCAGATCTTTACAGCTCACCAGACTGCAGTTGACAGATTGCTGGAGACCACTGGGGCTCTAAATGCAAAGTTTTGTGGTCCCAAGCCAAATGGATTTCATAGATTGCAAATGCCAACATAGTACTGTCGACTGTAGATCTCTCAAATACAAATTCTATCCCATTTTATGTCCAGCAATGCCAAACAAAAAAATCCTGCCTCATTTCTGTAAAAATTAATGCTCCAAATAGTGCCACAATATATTTATCTTAAACAGGACTTTGGACACTTTCTCCATAAATGGAACATTAATGAGTCCAGTTTGTGATAGTGGTGAGACTTCTCAGACCATCCAACATAGTCAACGACTGCCCAATGAGATAATTCAACAGCGATCTGAAACAAATCCACGTGGCTATTCCTGTAACAGTCGAATGATATCAAATCTCGACATCAATTTGTAGATAGAATGGGGTCTACTGAAATAATATAGGACGAGGGCTGCTTGTGTTCAATGTTTCATTCATGCTGAAATCGACTCTCCTGGTGTTGTCATTGCAGAGTCCTCAGCAGAGCCACCCACAGGCAATGCAGAGGAGCCAGAAACGGCATCCCAGGGTGGACCATAGAAAGGCTTCAAAGCACAGGTAAAGTATACAATTCAGAAAAAATATATATTACACAAATGTTCATTCTCAAATAAAAAAATGTCTGTCTATTGTTTTTTTTCTTCCAGAAAACAAATTGGTGACATGGCTTGAAAATGATGTCATTTTAACCGCTCGTGTTTTTTGTGCTCGACCCTGGATGCACGTAAACAAATATGCGGTCTTTTTCACCTTGATTGTTCATGGATAATATACAAATTTCTATCCCATTTTATGAATTTCTTTTGAAACCCCATCATACGATGTTAAAATGTGAATTGCATAATTTCCAACATCTGTTTAAAGTTGCTATTTATTATAGACTGGCTTGCATGTTAGTACTATGTATAAGTAGCACTGACTTTTGAGATGAACTGTCATTAAACTATGACTAAGCCAAATGGATTTCACACAGCAGGTCTTAAATGTTGTTTTTAAGTTCGTTGTCCTTCCCCTGCACATCTGAGTAGCACGGTTGGCTACGTAGGATGTGAAATAAGTTCAAAATACATAAGATACATACAGACAAATGTACACTTGATTTATGCAACATGCAAAACATATCTTGGCAGGTGGATAGTAAGTGATAGTAAAATCTACACACATACACCAGATTTGTCACCAATAACGTTTATTATTATGTCAGTTACCAATAGAAAACAAACCAATTTTAGACTCAACCTTTAAAGCACTAATGCAATTACAATACTTTTAGCATTTCAAAAGTCAAAACCACAAACTGAACATCACGTGCCATCGAAAAGTTAACAAATTCTTGTTAAATGACACAAAGAACAAGAACAGTTAACCAGCAAAGATATCATTCATCTGAATCCTAGCATTAATTAGGTATGGTCTTGCATACAAGTGATGCAATCATGAAATAACCTAAGGCTTATAGCCATGACATTCTTAACTACAATGAAAGATGCAAGATATGCACTTTTTATAAAGTCTGCAATGGGTGTCAATTAAACGCATTAATCCAATAAATTCACAGAACTTTGTAAATTTGCTGAAGGCATCCCTACATCATGTTAATCATGTTTGACTATACTTCACAAAGCTGGTCAGTGCTGGTTGCTGTATGGCCCTCGATAACAGCAAAAAATACAGTAAGTAAATAAAGTAGAGGAATTTTCTCTTCAGAATGGCTCTTTGCCAAAATTTAGAAAAAGAGGAGACATCTTATCTTTTCTCCAAACGTCCTTTCAATTCTCCTGCATGTTGATTTTTTTAAAAATGTTAATCAGAGGGCATGGTCATTTGTGTTCACTGTAGTCAACCCGTGTAGAGACACCCACAGGTAGGAAACTGTTGATGGTTACAACTGGCACAAGGGGAGTCGCAGCAGTGGGTGCCCACCAACACTGGTCTACTTCCAGAGCTTCTTGATGGACATGTTCTTTTCGCTGTCCTTCTGCATGACCTGTGATACAAAACATTTGAGTTAATGCAGTGCTGGCAGCAACTGTAAACTTACTCATGACTATAAGACAAGCCTTTGGAGCTTGCTGCACACTAGTGAAATTTTACTTCATTACCAACAAAAAAGGCATCAACATTAGAAAATGTTTATACAGTGTAATATATAAAATGGTTATGCACTCATTCATAAAAAAATGGCGGTATGGACAAGAACTAAAAAGCTCGTGAACTTAAATCTAAACGACTTAAACAGGTAAGAGACTTTGACTTAAAACTTTTGTGACTGCAGGAATTCATATTATTTGGTTCTTTTGGTAAAGTCACGTAGATAGAAAAATAATCATAAAAATGTCAAAATAAAATAAAAACACTAATGCAGACTAGCCTGGTTCTTAATCGGAGTCAGTGTACTGGCAGTCTATAACGCAGATTGTAGCCAAGTTATTAAGCTGGTCAACGTATTGGCAGTCTATGATGTAGACTTATTCTTGCTTCTTTCAGTAATAAAATAAAAATAAAAACCACGTTTCGATTGCAACACAAGCAGTCTTCATCAGGAAAAAAACACTCATCAGCTTAAAAACCTAGCTAGTCTACATTATAGACTGCCAGTACACTCACTGATTAAGAACCAGGCTAGTCTACATTAGTGTTTTTTATTTTTTTTATTCTTTTTCTATCTACGTGACTTTACCGAAAGAACCAAAGACTAGGTAAGAGATTTATGGATCTTTTTCAGAAGTGATCTGGCCACAAATGATAGCTCAACAAAGTGGCTTGTGGAAATTTATAACAGCCAAATACGTTACACAAATGTTTCTAAATGTGGTGATAAAAACCGGAGGACCCCGTGATTAATCCACCCGACCATGGAGAACATGCAAACTCCAAATATACAGACATCAGGGTCGGGATCAAACCTACAGCCTCCTGTACACCTGGAGTGAACATCTCCGTGGTGGCGAGAATCACGTGGTAGGTAGGTGCTCGGAAAGGCTAGACAGACCAACTGCTTTATAATTCGAATGTGAATGAAGGCAGGATTCCACAGCAGCAAGACAAAGCTTTACCTTGGCGACGGCCATCTCAAAGTCTTCCTGCGTGACGTGCACGCGGCGCTCCCTCAGTGCATACATCCCCGCCTCCGTACACACACCCTTCACGCGAAAGCACATAAAAAATAAGTATAACCCGTAAAAACAAAGTTTTTCACTATAAATCCTTTATATGCGTGGCAGCTAGAGTCCTCTCGTCCTCTGGCTTGAGATGGCTGCCACCTATGGGTCAGATGATTGTCTGCCAGTATTAAGCAATTGGTAATTAAATATTTAATTTGGTTTCCCTAAACAGTGTAAAATTTTGGGGAAAAAATTTCACGAACATTAATTGTCTCGCACAACGAGTCTGTGTGCAAAATGTCAGCTCGATTGGATCACGGGAAGTGGGTTAAAAAACGACCGAAAGATTTGCACGGTCGTAAGCAAGCAAGCACGCAAGCAAGTAAGCAAGCGAACTTAATATAAAGGATTTAATAAACTTCCATACTAAACGTTTGAATTCCACTATCAACCGATAATTTTGCAGGGCATTGCCACAGTGCTCTCGGCTGTAATTTGGATTATAGATTAAGAACATTACATAGAGTACAAAGCAATGTGGATTTAAACAGAAGCTATATATCCGACAGTATCGGAAAACACAACCAAGGTAGGGAATATGGATATTGGATGTACATGGGAAAAACGATTTATTGGAAGCTACAAGGCAAAGGGAGGTAATATATGGTGATTGATTGCACTTCCTCGGGAGAAAACCAAGGTCTTTAGCCTAGACTTTAACGGAAAAGGATTGGCATTGTCAATGGCTATGGAGAGGAAATTCTAGACAATGGGTATAACCTTTGAAAAGAAACAACATCCCATTGCATACAAGTTGACTTGTGATTTTAACAGGAGGCCTTAAACTGCTGAAGTTAAGATCAAGTGCAAAGCAGTAGGACATTAAGTGATGAAAAGGTGGGCAAATCCATGGAGGATCTTGGAGACAGCCAAGACATCTGTAGTTGAACCAGGATTGTATAGGGAGCCAGTGGAAGGATCTGAAAGATTGGTGACGTAGTCTCGTTAATAGGGAGCATATATATGCAAGTGGATACTTACTTTGACCTCGGCACCAGAAGCTCCAGGCATGAGCTCTGCGATTTTGCGCAGGTTGATGCCGCGTGTCAGGTTCATCTTGCGGGAGTGAATCTTGAGGATGTCAAGACGGGCCTGGTGGAGTCAAAAAGGACAAAGGCCATTCACACATTAGTGGCATCCCACACCTCAGAGCTAATGTCTTTGAGGATTTTTTTACAGTAAAACTTCTCAAAGCCAGAATGACAAAAACACTTCCCAAACATAAAATAAAAACATTACAGCTGGAACACGTTGCATTAATAAAGCTGTCTGTGGAAGAGCATGGCATTCTGCTGTCATGCACAAGGTATCCACGGGAATGGGTTTACCAATTGTATCAATCAGTCTACCACATGGTTTGGGAGTGGTGTTTTTCATGCTGTAAGTTCAATGTAGACTTAATTAAAAATGTCTTTATCACGGCCATTAAACCTCAGCTTCATATTAAACTGTAGTAATTATGAAGTGTTATTAAATTGTAAATATTTAGACAATTGTAAAGTTGTGCGACTTAAATACAAGTGTTTAATTAAACAATGTAAACTTAGTGTTAATTTACTGTACGAAATTATTTGCAGTATGTCAGGAAACTCATCACCAGACAGGCTCGCCTTCAAATTATACAGATTTTACTATTTTGTATTAACGTGGCATAATACATTAAAGCAAGCATAGTGAACAAAGAAATACCATTCTCACGCACTGTCTAACCAGATTAAAATATACATTATTAAATAACAGTTTTCGGTTAAAATACTTTTTTCCATTTAATTTTAAATGCCTTTTCTTTTACATTGCTCCTTTACCTCCTCGTTGGGTGGAGGGAACTCAATCTTGCGATCAATGCGTCCAGGCCGCAGCAGTGCTGGGTCAAGGATGTCGATCCGGTTCGTTGCCATGATCACCTTGGGGGAAAAGATGAACGCTTTTTTGGAAGACATTCCCCCCGCTTCATTTTTTGCCCTGCACAATCGACTACTGTTTCTAGATTATTGGCAGGCACTTCATGAAGTTCACTTGCTTAAGTCATTAAAAATGCAATGCCTTTTAAAACTCTGGGATTAGCAGTGCCGATGCAAGTCGATTAGCTGCTGGTCAAGTCAAAGGGGTTTTTTTTTTCCTTTTAAAATCGCCATAAATAAAATGCGCTGCTCCATGAACACGTTCATGGCTGAATGTCGATATGCCTTTATTCGAATGTTTTTTTCTTTGTACAAGAGTTTATTAGCAATCACTGTTTAGGATCTGCAAATTATTGTGTATGTTGGCATGATACAAACATGTCAATTGAATAAGAAAATAAATTTATTGTGAAAGCCAATTCTCAGCTATATAGAATGGTCACTGCTGGAGCCACTTCTAAGACTCACACCTTGATGTTCTTGGTGGCCTCGAAGCCATCCAGCTGGTTGAGCAGCTCAAGCATGGTGCGCTGCACCTCACTGTCACCCCCTGAGCCGCCCTCCAAACGGGAGGAGCCGATGGAGTCGATCTCATCCATGAAGATGATGGAGGGTGCATGCTCGCGTGCCATCACAAACAGCTCGCGTACCATTCGGGACCCTGGCCAATGTACAGGCACACGATGACGGTTGTGGGAAGGCAGGTACATGGGAATATAGCACAACAGGTGCTTGGTGGGAAAACACAAGGGACCGCAAGAAAGAATGATGTAGAGGCAGAGAAAATGGTTATTTAACCCCCAAAAAAATCTATACTTGTATTCACCAACATGCACATAGAAATGTTTATCTACACTAGGAAAGTGTCATGAGAGAGCTCTTAAAAGACTAACAGCACACAAGAGACAATTATATATTTTACCTGCACACTCAATTCATATTGATTTTTTTGAAATGGCACCGAGTACCCATTTTAGGCTGAATTGACTTGGGGTGCACCAAAGTCAGTTTTTGATTCCACTTGCTAGCAGTGTTCAACACGGCCATGAATTGAAACCAGACCACCGGGATCAAAGCTTAGGATCCAAACTACTATGCAATCACTCTCCATACATGGATACAAACACCTAGACCAAGTGGTCTTGAGGTTTGTTTACATCTATCTAATAGATATAAAAGTAAAAAATTGTCTCTGTGGGTTTGTGTGTAGCTGTGTGTTTTCGCGCGCTTGTGAAGTATTTGGCTCTCCCAACGGTGGGGTTTAGGTTAAATAAAAATAGCCAGGTACCACGCCGTAAGCCCCGCCGTGAGCAAGCACTATTCCTTTTTCACATCCGTCAAGTTTAAATTAGTTTAATGAGCGATTTAGTGCGATCTTTGTGTGCTGTGTCTTTATTTAGTGCACAACCATACCAACTCATGCGCCTTTGGTGGGGGGACGGCCCATGCCAAGTCGCACGCCTTCGGTGGGAGTGAAGGGGACATTTTCTTTCACGTTAAAAACGCTATAAAAATAGACTAAACGCTGAGCTTAAATCTTCACTGTGTGATGTCCCCCCCACCCCGATGCGTGCAGTTACTACTATATACAGTCGCTAGATGCTACCACTATAGGCCGTTGATATTACTGCAGAGCGGCCGGGGAGATTGTGATGGGGGGGCGGTCAGGGGTAGCAGCCCAGCCCACCAAGGTGCAACCTCGACCAGCTGGGCAATCTAGGCAAGGCTGGAGGCTCTGCACGGTACTAGGCCTCACCACGCCATTGTCAGGTAAGTACTTTGTGCTACAGAGTCGATAAATACTGCTATAGAGTCAGCATGTACTACTGTAGTGATAGCAGGTACCACCACAGTCGGTATATGTACTTCCTGTAATTATAGCAGGTACCACCAGTCAGTATGCACTGCTGTTAGATTTTTAAGAGTAGGTTTGACATATTTTTTTGACCCAGGCAACGCTGGGTACTTCCCGCTAGTAGGTTTATATAAGTGAGATCTGTTTGCACCACAATACAGCGAGTGTCCCTCCCACAAGATGACCAAGCCGCAGTCATGCGTTTATCTACCTTCTCCAATGAACTTCTGCACGAGCTCAGAGCCCGACACACGGATGAAGGTGCACTCTGTGTGGTGTGCCACGGCACGCGCCAGCAGAGTCTTCCCTGTGCCTGGCGGTCCATACAGCAGCACGCCCTGCGCAAATGCACAAGCGAGTTATTTGCTGTTCAGGGGCTTGTGTTCAACAAATATGTAAATATACAATGGCTACTGTTTTCAGTGGAAAAGCAGTACTTCAGGTCATACCATATTGCGGACCTTTCTTATCTGGGTATTATCAGCCATTCGTGATTAAATAAAGGACACAAGACGATTGTGGGTCTCACCTTCGGCTGTGCGATGCCGAGTGCCTCAAAGAGCTCTGGGTGCTTGACAGGCAGCTCGATCACCTCCTTGATCTCCTTGATCTGCTTGTCGAGGCCGCCTATCATCTCGTAGGTCGAGTCGGGAACCTTCTCCACCATCATGAGAGATACCAGTGGGTCCACCTTGTTGGGAAGGATCTTATGGAGCGTGTAGCTGTCATTGCGCAGTGCCACGCGGCAATTTGGCGTCACCTGAACAAAAGAGAATCCCAAAGGACTTGATCATGCAGGCCTAAAGGACTCAATTAAAATGTTCTTTTCGGTGACAAATTTGCAATGCTTCGTATATTTGGGGAGAAACAGCCTCTGAAATGTATTTTAGCCCCTTCCCAAAAATATATGACAAAGACTTGCAACAATGATTGATCATTATTTGTGTTACTTACATCGTTGATGTCTATGTTCTTGTCAATGTCCACGACAAACTTGCCTTCTGGATGAACCTGATGGGAGTTGTGAATACAAAAATTATATATATTTCGCACACTTTGGATAACCCAAGCAAAGAGGAATAAACTTTGAAGTATTAAAAGAAAATATTCAATGTTACCATTTAAAAACCATGCCCAACTGATGACTGTGCACCATTACCTTGACAAGAACTTTCTTCTTGTCCATGGGCTTCACCACCTCCCCAACATACGAGCCCTGCTCTTGAAGCAGTTGCAATTCCTCACGCAGCATGCGCACTGGGGTAGCGGACAGAGAGAAGAGTGGGGAGGTCACCAATAAAAGAGTTGTTGAAGAAAGGTCGCTGCATCAATACTGTGCACAATACTGACAAGCTCAAATATAGTAAACGATAATCCATTTCACAAATGTCATAAGATTTTGACTTAAAGCTTTCGTGACTGCAAGAATTCATATTCTTTGGGTCTTTCGGTAAAGCCACGTTACATAGAAAAAATAATCTAAATAATAACAATATCATGACGTTTCGATCGCAACAAAAGCAATTGTCTTCAGGTGTGTTGCGATCGAAACGTCATAATATTGTTATTATTTTGATAATTTTTTCTATCTACGTGGCTTTACCGAAAGACCCAAAGAATATGTCATAAGATTATTGAAAACTTCTATATAACTTTATAATGCACCTAGGTTTCACTGTCTATAGGATACTACAGTAGACATGTATATATTTTCAGATTCTAGAATAAGCAAGGTACCATTTTTGTAAATTGTAAATGTGACAGATCAACCAAACCATTCATGAACACAAGTGAACCACATAAATCGCAAACAATCACACACTACTGCTCAATGAATAAATGTAAAGCATATATATTTAATCAACTTGATTCGTATAAAAACAATCCTGAACTAAACGGACCTTTTGCGTTGAGCTCATTTCGCTGAGCCTGCAGTCGTCTCAGGTTCTGGCTCTTCTCATTCACAACCAACTGCAGATAAAGACGGCGCAAAATGATCAACCAAAACATGTAATTGAGTGATGGCACTTTAGAAACACACTTCACACTCGTGTGAATCTGCACAAGCAAAAAGCAAATCTCCGGCTTTACCTGCAGCTCCTCTATCTTGGTCTGGTAATACTGACGAAGGCCATCACCCCCTTTGACATCATCCGTTTCCATCTGAAATAAACATCACATCCGTAAGCGCTGGTCTCGTCCAGTTTGTATCTTGACGAATGTGCAATGGTCACGTGCGGTTTTTACATCTGTGGATGTGTATTGAAAACATCAACGGTCAGTATCCCTGCTCCAATGAGGCCTGTATGTGCATTCACTACTTGGGTAATAATTGTCTCTGAATGCAGCTCAGAGCTCGGTGGTGGAAATTCTACATTTTCAAAACAGATGCCTTCCCTCAAATGTATACTCGTGTTGAGCTCAAAGGACTAATGGTCCAGGGTGAGCACAGATTAAACTGCACCATCACTCTCAAGCAGCCAAATCAAAGTGTCTCCCTATTCACACCAGCAACAAGGCAATATTAATCTTCGCTGGGGTTACTTGGGGAAAAAATAAAACATCACAGGGATATCAACACCATAAATGTAAACCAAGGGCACCACCTCCCTATATCGTCATTTAGTCAACTTTACAGTGGTTAAAGTTTGTCTAATTGAAATGTCTCCCTATTTTTATTATGGGGTTTTTTTTGCTTTTATTTTCAATGTATTAATTGTATTACATTTTTTTACATTTTTAAAAATTTTACGTGACTTTACCTAAAGAACCAAGAATATGCATCTCACTGTTGAGCCCTCCTCGGCAAATTGCAGAGTAAATCAACTACTGTACAACATAACAGGATCTCAATGCCCTCACGTCGAGGGCATTAAGATACTTGCATACAATTAAATTCCTGTACATTAACAGTTCCTGCCAGAGTTGAGTTTATTTTGATTCGTGTCGCTGACTATCCCAGACGGGACCAGTGGCGCAGTTATTAGCACACTGGCTACGATTCCAGCTACCCAAATTCTGATTCCTGGCCAGTGACAGCTGAACCGGTACTGGACTCCCCCCCCCCCCCCCCCCACAGCCTTCAGTTTAACACGTAGGTTTCCGCTACAAATATCAATAATAAAGGTGTTTTGGGGTTTGATTGCGTAAATATAAGTGTCGTTAAACCCGCCACCACCAAACAGCCAATTAGTAAGGGTCGTCACGTAAACAAAACGTAACAATTAGTTACTTCAGCACACCGATGTGTTTCAGAGTAAACCCACAACATTTACGATTAGACTCCGTTTCCCTGGCGATTACCGTACAACCAGCTTCACATAACGCGTTGACCATCGCGGTGAAGTATGGGCACAACAACCCCCAAAGCCCAATAAGACGAGATTGGAGGCCTTCGGATTTACAAAGCGCTCTTTTACCAAATCAAAGCAATGGACCCCACATTCTTATCCGAGTAACTTTCGTGGTTAAACTCGAGAGACGAATTGAAGTGAAGCCCCCCTCGCCCATATCACAGCTCAACCAGGCAAGATAGGAGCCAGCGTTGGGTGGGTGGCAATTCCACATTGACGGGATGGGGCCCACAGACATACCAAATATCCATGTTAAAAAACGAAACCACACGCGTTGTTCCGCTCAAATAGAACGTTAAAATGTAAAAACAAAACACGTTACAATTTCTACCGATAATTTTCTATGAATGCCACGGTTTTCCAAGGCCCTTTCTCTCTCTTGCGGCCTGCGCAGTCCACAGGCCGTGACTCTGCACGTTCCGTCACCGAGGGCCCAAACCGCGCGCAACCCCCCACCACCTCACCGCAGCAAACCGCGTGAAATAAAAAATAATACAGCGATTAGAAGCGACAATTAACGCGCAGGCGACCCTTAATCGCGAATCGAAGTGTCACGGCTTGTTGCGATTTAACACAAGAAAGTTGAGTTACCCTCAACGGCTCCCCACCACCGGCCATCAACATCGCAGCGGCCGCCGGCATGACTGGAAGTGACGTCACTGCGAAAACTCGACTTGTATAACTTGACGTTTATTAATGTTTTTTTTAAAATATATATTCACACGCGCACACAACAGAGAGTGCACTTGAAAGCCGATGATGTTTCACTTGCCCACTCCCGCGCGTAAAATTAGTGGCTTATAAGCTGTAAGGTGACATTTGCGTAAGCGAGTCGCTGACGCCAGCTCCCGACGCGTCTGGCAATGGCGCGCGGTCGCCGTTTTTTATTTATATAGTCGTGTGGGAATCGATTACGGAACTCGGCACGATTCCCTAGGATCGATTACTCATAGGGAATTCCATTGTATCGGAATCGATGGCAATGATGTGATTCCGAGAGTCGCTTGTACTTTGGCACGAATTCTCTATTTTAATATCATTAGACCTCCTTTGCCAGTACCAAAATATAATAATAGGGTTTTCCCCCTTTTTTTATTTTGGTACTGGCAAAGGAGGTCTAATGATGTAGATGCTCACCCAGAGCCCTCATTACTTTGATAGTGCATTGTCTTTGAGCTGTACGCCTTTTGGCGTCCACTGGTCTAGCATCAATTGGGTCGAGGCTCAAAAGAAAGCCGTCCCTTAGTGTGGACTAATCAGATTCAAGGACAATGCCAATATATTATTAGAGTGTGTTTTTTGGTTTGCATTTTGACTGCAAGTATTGTGGTTAATGCAGACATGAATCCTTGTAAAAGGTTTCAGTTTTATTGCCAGAAAAAAGGGGAAAACCCCTATTATTATAGCTCTATTTTATTTTGACTCATCATGATCATCCGTGTTAAAGGTTGTTTTCTTTTGGGGCGCCTGCGAAAGCCCATGTGTTAAACTCATCAACAGCATCGTCACGAGCCATGGGGCAGACAGCCCCGGAGGTGTCCGCTGCACATTGCGTCATTTGTTTTCCACTTTCCTCCGTCTTGTCCCAATGTGCTCAAGTTGTGGCCACGTCTGTCCTGCCACCAATCTCTAATGTCGTCGTAAAGCCATTCTCTTCTAGCTCTAACTCTTTTGGCTCATTTGACTTACGGTATTTAGGGTTTCCCAAACTCCAGTTCGCTATGTCGTTTACCAATTTACTCTTCCCCATTCAAAAACAAACAAGCTCGTTCCGCGCTGTACGCGCCCAATGATTGTTAAACGCGATAAACAATGAGCGATGTCAATCCTTATTTTACGTGCCAATGTCGCCCTCAATAATGTATAGGCATCGGTGTGTGGTGCCACAGCGACGGGGCCGCTCTGCCGAGCCAGGGAGCCGCCCGGCTTCCCCCACCGCACTGCCCCCCATCACCCGCCCCACATAAGCACACACCCACACGCATCCCCCCCCCCCCCCATAGAGCTGGAAGGGAAGGTTACCTGATCGACCGGTTTTTATCCGAGAGACCCTTATCGGGATTAATTCTCACGGTTTCCGGCGATCAGGGAATTGGATGACCTCCCCCGTGCTACGTGGTACCGCGGCGCTGCTGCCGGCCTTAATATGGTGTGGTCGCGGCGTGGGGCATTCGGCCACCGCGGTTGAGGCGCATTTCCCCCCACACACACCCCCACGAGTCGACGGGGCAAGCAGGGGAGGCACGAGACAGCATGAATAGCGGGGTCACAGGGGCTGTTGCGCATAGTCATGGGGGGTTGGGATAATTGCGCTTGAGCGCGCAGGCCCCATTGTTAGGAAGGGTAAGGGAGTAATTAGGATGTACGCCGCCAACGTCGCTCACTGATTAGCATATCAACAGCGCCTGGGGACTGCCGTGCGCGGGCTTGGGGTGCACGAGCCCATTGTTCAGCGCAGCATCCCCTTTGGAGGTAGGGAGGATAAATAGAGGAGCGCAGAGGGGAAATCGCTCTCTTACTCCAGCGCCAGGCGACCAGACGCAGCTCCAGCCAGCGACCCGGACGTCCGTGCGACGCACCGAGGCGCGCGGTGAGCACCGGGATCAGCGGACCGCCGTGGACACTTAACAGTGAGTAAGAAGGGGAATTAGAATCATAGCAGATACATAGGGAATAGGTACAGGTTTAGTGGAATAGGCCAGCCTCGTCGACTCACTGATTCAACATCAATTCGCAGGTGGCATATAATAAATCATTAATAGCGAAGCGTGGTCTCGCGTGATCTTGTCGTGCAGTGTGAGCGTGTGGGTGCGCTGTGTGCACAGTGGTTCGCCACGTGAGTGAGCGCTGCGCGGAGCGGAGCGCGCGGGTTGCGCGTGGGTACGCAGTGATTCTGTGGTGCTGCGGCTCGCCTCGGGGGAGCGCTGCGCAGAGCGGTGCGAGAGTGGGTGTCGCGTGTGTTCACTCCGTGTGTGATACAGGTGCGCGAGTATAACGTGAGTTGAGTTGGAGTGCGCGGAGCGGCGTGTGGGTGGGCGTGCGTGCGTAATCGGCGTCCCCCAGGTGCGCGCTCATAACGTAAGCGGCCAGCAGGCGGCGAGCGCTGCGCAGAGCGGCGCAAGAGTGCGTATCGCGTGTGGAGCTGTATGCGTGTGTGCGCGCACGTTCACTACGTGTATAATACGGATGCGCATTGGTAACGTGCCGCACAGGGCTATACTGCGAGCACGGCGTTTGATTGACGATGATGTGCGCACGTATGCTCGCAGCGTGGGAGTGCGGCGCGAGGCTGTAACAGTAGGGGCGTCGCATTCGAATGCCGGCGAAACCGTAGCGAGTAATAGGGAGGTGGGGTAACGTAAACGGAATAGGAGATGCAGGCGGGAGGGACCCCTGGGGCCAACGGCCCCCACAGGTGCACATTATTGCAGAACGGGAACGTAACAGGGCCACATGGAAACCCGTCACGACCCCAGCGGCTGCATTCACAGAGCCGATTTTCAAATTAATATTTAGATCTCAGCATGCGTGTGTGTAACGCAAGGCTGCGTTTTAAGTGTTTTTTTAATTCAAAGTTCAGTGCGCACAATTGCATTTTACTGTTCTATCCTATGTCTGCCTTGAAGATTAAACTTCTTAGTTTAACACGAAAGCCTTCGCGACCAATATTCATAATAAAGGTTTTTTTGGGTTAGATCGCATTAATATTAATGTGTGGTTAACCCACCAACACCCGATACAGCCAATTAGTTAGATTTGTCACGTAAACAAAACGTGCAAATTAGGAATAATGTTGTGGGTTTACAATTTGTTCACAATTTGTAGATGTGGATCTACTCTCCAACACACCAGTGTGCTGAAGTATTAACTAACTAGTGTAATTGGTCGTCAATGACGGATTCATAAAATGTAAATGTAATTATAATACGACCATTTAAAAATTTTATTCAATTTATTGAATGTAAAAATTATCTATATATTACATTTGGTGTAAATTGACGATCATCTCCCAAAAAGTTTTCCTTGAAATTAATTTTGTTGAATCAGCGGAATCTGCACACATGGAGGGAAGAATAGGACATCAGTGACGACGGGCGAAGCGCCGAGAAGCCCTCCACAGGAGCTAGAATAAGGCCGTCAAAATTCAAGAGTATACAGGTAGTCCCCGACTTACGATATTTTCGACTTACGATGGGATCGTAGTAACGCATCTCCATCGTAAGTCGGGGACTACCTGTATACAATTGGCACAGATTGTAAATGTTGCGGGTTTACTCTCCAACACACAGGTGTGTTGAAGTAGCAACAAATTGGCACAGATTGTAAATGTTGCGGGTTTACTCTCTAACACACCTGTGTGCTCAAGTAGTAATTAATTGGCACAGATTGTAAATGTTGCGGGTTTACTCTCCAACACACCGGTGTGCTGAAGTAGTAACTAATTGGCATGTTTTGTTAACGTAACATACCTTACTGATTTGCTGAGTCGGGTGGTGGTGAGTCAACGACACATGTATATTTACGCGATCTTACCCAAAAAAAAACCTTCATTATGTTTAAACGTGTCATCAACTCTTGCAACACGACATGCACACAGTGACAGGTTGACATGCATGTTTATTAATCACTCGTAAGCATCACATCACACCTTGCGTTACTACATATGCACAGACGTCATTTGCATAGATAAATCAGTTTACAAATAAAATGCAAAAAAAGCTGTTCAGTTGTCTTATGCTTTACAATTATAAAAGGCACAGTTTTTATACAAACACTGTTTCCAAAATCTGCATGTGCTATTCTAAAATTGTACTCATGTACATAGACAATACAGTGCTGTATTTAAAATGTAGCAGTTCCTTTCTTACCTTTTCACAATGCAAGTTTTACAAAACAGTCCTAAAATGGGGTTCAGCTTATACAGTACAGTATTCAAATTGGCAAAAGAGTAAAACACTAGAAAAGCCAGTCTATTTTGCGAGTTTCAAACATACCGAACACGAGTTACTGCAGTCCATTGCCAAATTTAACACCCACAAGTTGCCTCTTTATAATGGCTTCATGTAAGTCCTGCACAGATTGGACATTTTGTAAAGCTTGTACTCAATACGCAAGTGAATTACTGTACGATAAATTTACGAATGCACCACATTGCGAATTAAATGAATTTCAATTGCTGTATAACATTCAACGTTAGATTTCATAAAGCGCCATCAGGCCAGCCAGAGTGTAAAGCAAACTACCTTGTGATGCTTTACGCAAGTGTGCTTACACAATGTTCACCCATATATTTAAAACCTTAACGACAGTACGTATTCAAGTACTGTACAATCAACTTGACTGTAACTCATTTTATTGTACAGATGTGTTGATTTATACACGACAAAAAGTTATATAATATCATTACTTTTTTGTAAGTGCGTGATTTTGTACAAGGCAATTTACGTGGCAAAGGGAGCCTTGCAACGCTTTACTTAAGCTGACTAGGCCATGCTCGGATGCACCCAGGTAGAATCAAATTAAACTAAACAATATTTTATTCACTTTTAAATTTGTCACAAATTTGTTCCTAACTCAAGCGTTCGTCATCACAAAGAAAAAAAAACCCGCTTGTGTTGCGATCAAAACGTCGTAGTTATTAGTAATTTTTTCTTATTTCCTTTGAACCTATCTACGTGACTTTACCGAAAGACCCAATAATATGAATTCCTGCAGTCACGAAAGCTGGAAGTCAAGATTCAAATATGGGAGGTTGGGTCTTCTAAACTTGCCAGAAAGACAGCCACTGCCCCCACCATTCAGTGCATTTAAATGCCAGCTTAATGGCAAACACATTCAAAAACTCGCACGTAAACCATGTTTTCGTGCTCATAAGGCCATCATATAAGGAGCTGACGATCAACAATCTCAATTTCTTGGTAATGCCTACTCAACCCTGCGGTCATAGTTCTGTATCTGCTAACTATTGTACATGACAGCTGGGTTAACAATCACCCATGCTTACACACTGTGGTTTAACACTGAACTATCCCTGTGACAAATACTGTACACAAAGCAAAAACAACCCAAACAAAAATATAAAATATTAAAAATGAAAATACAGCATTGCAGACACATTGGGCCATACAAGGGGCCATTGTTTTTGTCAGTAAGGTACTGTGTCCTTAAGGTGGTGGATACTGCACAGTAATTCATGGGCAAAGCTAAATGTCACATAAAATGAACAGCACACACTGAGGGTAAAAAAAGAAATCTCATCCCATTTACCCATGAAAAAATCAGATATCCACGTATGGCGTATAAATCAATGCTCTGCAGGTGCTTAAAGAATGACGTTTGCAGAAATTAGGAGCAAGCTGCCCATTGTTGAAATGCTATATCCTGGTGGTTGAACAAATCCACAGTTGATTGTGTAGTTCCCCCAAAATGTATTTACAAACATATCAATGTAAGTGTATTTGTACTCGTGTGTGCATGCCCATACACAAGGCTAGTACATGTCATTCAAACACAAACTACAACACAGTACTTGCGATTTAAACGGCATGGGTTAAATTTCACTATATTTTTTCAGGACCATAACAGTGCCAGCAACACCACAGGTGAAATGCCCACTTACAATAGACTGGTTCACATACTCTCCAGAACAGCCTTCCATCGCAGTTACACAAAAAAATCACCGCAGCTCTAAACGCATAAAAATGTGTGTTTCATGACAGTGGGACCGAGGTGCACACTCTATGATCCAATGTGTGAACAGGCACAGTTATCCAGGCAAGGTAAGGACTTCATCTCTGTTGGGTCTTCAGGTAAACAGGCAGACTTTCACGATAGCCCTGCTGCCTGTCGGAGCTCCTGCTGCCTCCAGAGTGGCAGGGCAGAAAACTCTGCCTGTGGCATTCCTGCGTATACCTGCCAAGCACACGTGCACAAAGCAGATTAACGGTAACAAGTATAACCCGTAAAAACAAAGTTTTTCACTATAAATCCTTTATATGCGTGGCGGCTAGAGTCCTCTCGTCCTCTGGCTTGAGATGGATGCCACCTATGGGTAAGATGATTGCATGGCAGCATTAAGCAATTGGTAATTAAATATAATATTTTCGTCCTAAAAAGTGTAAAATTTTGGAAAAAAAATTTCACGAACATTAATTGTCACGCACAACGAGTCTGTGTGGAAAATGTCTGCTCGATTGGATCACGGGAAGTGGGTTAAAAAACGACCGAAAGATTTGCACGGTCCTAAGCAAGCAAGCAAGTGAACTTAATATAAAGGATTTAAAAAGCCTTGAAGGTCATCTGTGAAACTTTCTTATTCGTCTATTTCAGGGCTACCCAAACTCCAGTCACGTGGAACCATAATGTTGCAGATCTTCAAATGCAGCAATAGTCAGGTCGGTTTAATGTGTAAGGACCCTAATTGTATTTTAATTAAGAAGACTGGTAAATGTGAGAAAGGTACACCATAGCAGATCACAAAGACTGGAGTAAAAGAAGAAGCTGACAATTATAATCATACATTAATTAATCAGGTCAAATATTTATCTTAAAAGCCTCACTGAGTCTCAAGACATTTTCAAAAGCATCCTGCATGAGAATGGTTCATTTATTTTATTTAAATTTTACATGTGGGAGGAAACCAGAGTAGCCAAAGACAAACCACATATCCAAGGGGATAACACTCAAAAGTCTGCATGAACGAGTTCACAAACCCATTTGCTGTACTGCCATGAATTGGAAACCCCATAGCTCAACAGATTTCAGAGTTTAATTATTATTCTCAGGTTTTTTCGGTAAAGTCATGTAGGTAAAAAAAATTAAAATGAATAAAAGTAAAATAAAATAAAAATAAAATAATAAAAATCACGACGTTTCGGAGGCAACACAAGCTTCCGTCTTCAGGTGGAACCGTCACAGCAGGCTTGCTGTATCAAGTAAATGATACAGCAAGCAGTAGAGTGAGATAGACATACATATTATTTTATTTTTATTTTATTTTACTTTTATTAATTTTAATTTTTTTTACCTACGTGACTTTACCGAAAAAACCTAAGAATATGAATCCTTGCAGTCACGAAGGCTTCAAATCAAGTTTAATTATTACCTGTCATTGACTGGTAATTGCCTCCAATGAGCTGAATTATAGGGAAAACATTCCTTTAAAAAAAGGGTGAGTCACATTGGGACTGCAAAAACACGGAACATGTATTTCTCCATTGCTAGGATCTTTATGTATGTCTGTCTCACTCTACTGCACACAGCAATGGTCACCCACCTCTGTGTCGGGCTGTGTGGCTGGCTGGGTCTCGGCCCCCACGGGTAAGGGCCGGCCCCCCGCTGTGCCAGGATGGCTCAGAGCCTCCAGCACATCCTGCACCAGCGTGATCTGGCTGCTTGCCTGCACATTCTGTGGCCATGCACGGGGAATCAACACCGCACAAGACAATAAACTAGAGTTCTTAAAACTGTTTTGCGTTTCTGGTAACTGCATTAAAATAACTGCATTGGACAGCATTAAACGTGCATTTTTTACTTTTTAACTGAAAAAAAGGGAGCTGCCATGGTGTACATGGTTATTTCGCTGGACTTGCACAACCTAGAGGTCAATGGTTCTATTTAATCTCAGTTGAAAGAAAGGGCCAAGTTTCTTAAACCCCCCCCCCCCCACCCCACCTCTGTTCACTCAGCAGTATAAATGGATCCACCAGAGTTGATTGGCAAGATATCAGGTTAGCGCGGAAGAGTGGACCACATTTTTTCTAAGAGCTCTCTCTAATGGAGGCCCTTGCACCGACAGCAGGCAAACAAGTAATTTCACATGGTGGCCTAGGTTACCAAGTGGTATATTTGCCCTCGTTTCTCAGTTAAAAGGTAAAGGTGAATTCATTGCTAATGTTCCACTGGAAACAATTACCGGTTAGTGATTTTCATAACCTGTAATCGATTTTGGAAATGGTTATGGGCTCACCGGTTGTCAAATAACCCTACAATAAACCAATTATAATACAGTCTGTAAATGAGAAACTAATCAGGCAGAAATTTGAGATGCTGTATAAACAAATAAGAGTAATAATATATAATAAACGAGATTCCTCGACAGTAAAAGAGTGATAACCACTGGATCGGTCCTCCCATATGCCTTGCATGTCATGTGACAAAACTAGGTTCGACCTGGTCACACATAATAGCTCATCAAAGTGGCTTGTATCATACGTGGGGAGAACATGCAAACTCCAAATATAATGACATCAGGGTCAGATTGAACCCATTACTTCCTGCATACCAGGCAAGGGAGATAACATCTCGTCACTTGGCACCCCACGGATTCAGACCAACCAAAAAGAGTCAAAGTTGTGGCCATATTATTTCATAAAGCAGCAGGAAAATTACCCAACTGCATCGTGGTTTCCTTCTCGTTAGGAATCATCAATACAGTGCAGCCATCAATACAGTGCAGCCATCATTGCCAACTGCTGCCACACAGGCAACTTCAATATTACATTTGGACCAAAAGCGTGCGCCAAGAAGTGCAATGCTGGGTTGAGATGGCGGTGCAGGGCTTGCCTTCTCGTTAGGAACCATCAATACAGTGCAGCCATCATTGCCAACTGCTGCCACACAGGCAACTCAATATTACATTTGGACCAAAAGCGTGCGCCAAGCAGTGCGATGCTGGGTTGAGATGGCGGTGCAGGGCTTGCCTTCTCGTTAGGAATCATCAATACAGTGCAGCCATCATTGCCAACTGCTGCCACACAGGCAACTTCAATATTACATTTGGACCAAAAGCGTGCGCCAAGCAGTGCGATGCTGGGTTGAGATGGCGGTGCAGGGCTTGCCTTCTCGTTAGGAATCATCAATACAGTGCAGCCATCATTGCCAACTGCTGCCACACAGGCAATTCAATATTACATTTGGACCAAAAGCGAGCGCCAAGCAGTGCGATGCTGGGTTGAGATGGCGGTGCAGGGCTTGCCTTCTCACTGATTTCAGCGACATCCTGCCGATGTTCCCAGGAAGGAAACACATTGGTGAAGGTGAGGGGCTCCAGACCAGCGTGGATCAGGTATGCCTTGGGGGGGTTGCTTGGGGACTTCGCTACATCCATACATGGCATTGCACACACACAAACACACACAAATTCAATTGAGATTACACATAGCAACATCACCTCCTCCTGAGAAAATTTGTCAGGACCTAATGAAAAAATCACGAGGCTTCCGAGACAACAACAATAATAACGTATAGTAGGGATGTAACAAATGTAACAATTTTTCACTTAATCAATTAAATAAGATTTTAGCTCTCACGATACATGCAAAGAATCGCACTTGTAAAACTCAATGGTTTATGATTTACACAAATTATATACTAAATTAAATATTTAGGATAAAGGAGTGAATGAGGTAGAACAAAAACTACAATTTACAAGAGATACAATGCAAACAAGGCAGTATTCCATTTTAAAACAAGATAAAGAGGCAAGAAAATAAATCTTGAATAGAATTATGACCCTTAATCATTGCAAGTCATAGAACAGAGATGGTAAATCATTATATTGCTATTATATACAGAAAGTGCTAGTTTCGATCCAAGTGTTAGTTATTCACTTCCAAGTGCAATGAACGACGAATTTGTACGTACGCCGTCTAGTGTGAGTTGGTAACACATGCTCCCACTTCCTACCAGGGTTGGTGCCACGGGTTCGTACCTGTCTCTGCTTGATAGAATGCAACGTGCATAAGTTCAGTTGATTGATTGATGCTACTGTGCTCAATGATTAATTGTAATCAGTCTCTCACTATTGTTGACTCACCTGCGTATCACTCTTATATCACGACTACCACAGTCAATGTATGTATGTATGTTGAATTTCTTTCACACCCTACATTGCCAACCGTGCTAATTGGAGGTGCAGATAAAGGACAAAAATATGTGATACTCTGCCAATGTCAAGGACTTTTTTTCCCATCAAAATGAATATTTCCTTCCTGTATTGTGTGTTTCACCACCACATTGTAGGCTACGACATTTTTCTTCATCCTTTTTCCCTCATGCTACTTTACTTTGGAATCCCCATGATTTATTTTTGCCACATTGTTATACCCTTGGTCAATGAAAGAAAATCTGTTAAATCGTATCTGTTGAACTATGATGTCTTAATTGCTTACAACAAAAACACATTCCTGCGGAGGGAGCTGGTAGGAACGTTAGGTTGCTCAGTCAATGGCCAGGGTCAACGGCGACGTGGTGTATTCCGCAAATATGGCCGACTGTGAGGGCGGGCACAAGCCGGCATCAGTAAGTTAAACGTTGAGTTTTATAAGGGCACCACGGGGTGACCAGCCCCTCCCCACCCTCCCCACCCCTCCCCACCCAGCTCCACCCTCCCCACCCAGCCCCTCCCCACTCTCCCCTCCCCACCCAGCCCCTCCCTCCCCACCCAGCCCCTCCCTGCACGACGGACGCAATAATCCCCTGTGGGCTGGTGTCACCAGGAAGTTCCTACCAGTAAAATCCAGACTGCTGATATGCTGGCTTGAAGTCACAATTATTGGCATGAGGTACGACCACTAGATTATGAAAATATTTCTATACATATTAATGCTAGATTATCGTACCCTATATTGTTATAATCTCATGAACAGGTTTATAAAAGGACATGCATCAATGGATTCACCATTTTTGTCAGTGCGGTTTTCATAAAAATTATTTACTACTATAATGAGCCAATAATGTCTGTGTGTCCCGCGCGTGACCTCACTCCACGTCGACCAGCCCCCCTCATTAATAATCATAAACAGGTTACGTCCTCCACATGGACCCCTCCCTCATTAATTAATAATCATGAGCAGGTGCCGTCACTCCACATCGAATAGCCCCCCTCATTAATAATCATGAACAGATGACGTCCTCCAAATGGACACCCCCCCCCATTAATAATAATTAGCGGGTGACGTCACTCCACATGGGGGGGCGAGGCGCCTCCTCCCCCCTCCTCAGCATCAACTTATAACCCTCACTACAAAGGCAGAAACATCACGTCACGCGGTCTCCGTAACGTTATTGTTGAGACATAGAAGTGAAAAGGACGTCATGATGATCAAGGGATTATAACCTTAATATGAAATAAGTCTGTGTCACCACGGCCTTACAAATTGCACACGAATGGATGCAATGAATATCACGTCGCAGTCTGCTTTTTTCTTGCAAGTTTCAGATTTACTGCAATACACCTGGTCCTTGGACAGGCAAAAGGCAAGTTCAAAATAATGTCTAGAAACAGCGTTTAGGACTGTTCTGTTTGAAATTAATAACTGTGTGCTGTAATTCAAGCTGTCTGTTATTGGCTTTGGGACTATCTTGTGTCCTCTCTTTGCAGGATTCTTATAATCTTGATCAATATAAAAACTCCCTATCATCATCTATTTTTCTGTGTTCCTATGTCTTTGGCTCAATTTAAAAACAATGGGGTAATTCTTATCTGATGCACAATAATCAATGTTGTCTGTTGCTACCTGCTTTTAGTTACTTGGAAACACACACCGGAATTATTGTCCCCTACTGACAGACCAATACCCATCTGCAGGCAGGCACTGCGTCACATTGTGCCGCACAGGGACAGCTGCCATTGAATGGCTGAGATGAGATGTCATGTAAGGTGCTGTGAGATGCTGAGACATTTGATCACCATATGAATGCACAATGATAAAAGGCCATGTGGGGCACATGCTCAGCACGTGGCCCTGCACATGTGAGCACCTGTGCAGTAGCTCAGGACAGTCTGCATGGCAGCTCGGTGGGCCTGGTCCCACAGCAGGCGAGACGGAGAGTTTGAGTGGGGGTCACCCCCGTTGGGCCACCAGCCCTGCCACAGGTACACCTCCTGGTGATTGTCCACCATGAATAGGGCTGCACTCGCACACAGAGATAAGTATGCCAACTTGTAGCCATAGAGACTGTTGTGGAAAGTATTGTTCACTTGGATATGTGTGTGTATGATTAACTTCTTTCGCACCGTACGTAGCCAACCGTGCTAATCAGAGGTGCGGGGGAAGGGCAACAAACTAAACGCAAAAAGCAATTATAAAGAAATGAATTTTCAATCTAGATAAGCATGCATTGCAACCATATATACTGTTGGGGCAAGTGTTGTTCTAGACTCTAGAGCACCTGTTAATGATGGATAGGGCACATGAGTTGATGTGGAAACTTGAAACGTGTGGCCACTTCTTTGTCTCCCCAGTACCACTTTATTATATATCGCATTAGGTACTAATATAATTTTGAGTCGATTTCGAAGAGGCTCAGTACAAGTTCAGATATCACTCGCCACTGCTATTAGCAGTGGTTGGGAATCAAACTCAAGTTTCCAGGTTCATAGCGCAGCACGCTCACTTTTATCCAGACAAAAAATAAAAAAGTGGTAAGCATCCATTTATTTATTCATATTCACCACCCAGTGCAAAGCGCCGATGACTCGTACCGTAGATACACACGCCTAGCTTAGCAGGGAGATATACACGACTAAGCGGTGCCGATGTACACACATAGGCCTGGCTGACTTGGGATGGACACACACAATCCCCTAATGTTGTTCACAAACGCACGCACACACCCGGCTGGCTGCCGCTGTACAGCTCGTCCTGCAGGAATGGAGTGGAGCAAACGGCTCCGGGAATGCGCGCCGCGTACAGCCGCTCCCGCGCCACCAGACGGCCACATGACACCTCCAGGCCGAACAACCGCGGGGTGAAGTTAAACCTGCCTGGGTCTGCACACACAGACACGCGCACACAGATCCCACGTGTCCAGAGAGCATGTATTAAGGCCGGCACAGGGCAAGCGAGTCGCTGTGGAGAACACCAAGCCCGGCCTCGTTCGTCTCCCCAGTGCCGATGTTTACACAGTGGACCAGGTAGTCATTTTATGGCTTGTTCACCTTGGCGAGGCACAAGATCGGATATCACTTGACATTGATAGTAGCTCGAGCCGGGACATTAACTTAGGTTGCTGGATACATAGAGCAGTGCTTTAAAAATTATGCCACCACTCGCCCACATAAACATACAGTAGACATGCATATAAGCATGAACATATTTGAGAAGCATACATTGACACTGACAGAAAAAGGCTGAGACACAGGCAGATAAAGATATGGATGGCCACACAAACACCACAGACATTAACAAGAATACAACACAGCAAGTACTTTGGGATGCAGAGAGAGAGAGAAAATGATGATAGAAAGGGATGCACTAGTAGACAAAAATGTAGGATGAATGTGAAACAAGTGTAATGACAATAGAGCCTGCATGCGATGTGAGGGGTCAGCCTGCAGTACGAATGCACTCGTGTCCACGGGAGGTAATGACAGGTGTATCTGTGTGAGTGGGAAGGGACTGGTGGCTCAGGGAATATTCGAGAAGGGGGGCGTGGTCAGGTGACGGAAGAGGACGGTGGAGTCTGCCGGTGGAGCGAGCGTCCAGAGTCAGCTGAGAAGGATCGAGAAGGGGGGCGTGGCCTCGTGTTGATATCTAAAGGAGATGCGCGGGAGACTCGGGGCTGTTGCAGTGGGATCTCCGCCTGATGTCAAGTGAACGTGTCTTCAATAAAGTGCCATCTCAAGAGAAGTGTGTCACGTCGTCATTACACAAGGATGACTCGCAAGCAGTGGCGTAGGTATCAAGTGTGGAGGACGTGCAACTGCTCCAGGGGCCATGCAGGTTCCAGAAACTGGCCTACAAAGTGGAGGATATTGGACAGGGGGCTCCATTTAATTCCTTGCATGAGAGCCCATGCCAATCATGCTACGCCACTGGGCGCCGTGGTGGGCGAGATGTTAACTACTTCGCCTGGTATGCAGGAGGTCGTCGATTCGATTCCAACCCTGACGACTATATATTTGGAGTTTGCACATCTCTGTCCAAGTGGTTGCATGGATTTTTATCCAGGTCCTCCGGTTTTTCGCTCGACATTTAGAAACATGCATTTAGAGTATTTGGCTGCTCTAACTTGCCGCATGATAAGCCACTTGGTTGAGCTATAATTTGTTGCGAGGTCGCTTCTGAAAAAAGCACTGCATAGCTCAGTGGGCCTTGCTTGTTAAAATAAAAATAGTTTAATAATTGGTTTTTTACCCTTCTATCTGGCAACAAAACTGACACCTTTTTTTTTTTACAAGGAGTCATGTTTACATAGACCACAATACCTGCAGTCATAATGCAAACAAAAAACATAACTCTGATAATGTGCACTGTCCTTGAAGTTGATTGGTCCACACCCGAGACAGCTTTCCTTAGAGCCTAGTCTCACATGGGTTGGACCAGATGACGCCAGAAGGCGCATTATGACTGCAGGTATTGTGGTCTATGTAAACATGACTCCTTGTAAAAAAAGGTGTCAGTTTTGTTACCAGATAGAAGGGTAAAAAACCAATTATCATATTTTTACTGGCAAATGAGGTTCCAATGTTGTAAGATAGTTTAGTTTAGGTAAAGTTGCGAGGGCGCAGGTAGACGAATGGGGCGTAGAGTCGTGTGCCACACACCCTGCAGCATGCAGTCGTATGCCTTGCGGTTGCGGCGCCCGAGCGCATCCCAGAATGCCGTGGGCTCAGCCCCCTCCTCACACTCCTCAATGTTCAGGCGACTGCTGCTGTGCAGCCCTGCCTCCAGCGGGCACCTGCACGCACACACCACCAGTGGCAGCTATGTTAGGGTCAGCTGCAATGAGGTCGACAAGGTTAACAATGCCACGTAGATGAGAAACATGGGAACGTCGAAAAAGAAAATGGAACAAAAGATGAAAAAATGCATGCTTGCATATACATTGAGACACAGAGAGAGATAAACACATGGATTAGAGGACATATGCAATCTAGAGACATGATATTGATTTAATAATAGTGAGTGAGCTTGTGCAAGACTTGTCACTAAAAGAGATAATGGATGGTGGTTGAGACTAATGATAGAGTGGCAGCCAAGGGAGGGGATATGTTAAGGCTGATGATGGTAGAGTCAGATAATATTGTGCATACACATACATACAGATAAACAAATTGCTATTGCTATTAAGCATTAAAGAATATTAACTGTCAGAACAAGTGCCATTTATTATCAAGCACCTACCAACTAAAGCTGGCATTCTACAGGAGGGTTTAATGGGGCCTCTATCACGAATCCATGGCTACCTTTGCTTTTCCACTGACAATGTTGACCATACCATACCACCCTCTCGACGCCATGCCAGTGTTAATAGCTGCTTGCTGAAGGCATTTGTCTTAACAGTTTGTTAAAGGATATACAGGCATCCTTTGTCATATACATACATGTATGCAAAGACATAAATACCCCAATATAACCTATACAGGTTGTTGGGGCAAGTGCTGTTATTGAGGATCTATGAAGATAGTGCCGGACTGCATTTATCTCACCCGTTCTGATGTTTTCCATACTGCCCCTAGTACTACTTTAAGGCTGAGCTAACCTGGGTACTGATCCAGGCCCAGGACTAGTTCAGATAATCATCACTTATGTTAGCCATGGCTGGGTATCGAACTCGGGTCTCTGGGTTCAAAGCGCAGTGCTCTAACCACTACACTACCGCTCACCACCATACAAACAAAGACATCTCATATAGGCTACACAGGCAGTTAAAGAAATTGCTGTTCGAGAGCACCTATGAAGGTCAACACAGCACATGAGATGGTGCTGTGGTTACACAATGGCAGTTGCTGTTGTTTTATACAACACACCAGGTACTCATTTAAGGCTGAGTCAATATAGGGGAGACCCAAGCCGGGTTCAGATACCTGTGAGCGGGAATGAAACTCTAATCGCCGGGTTCGATACCTGCTCACAGCAAACATCAGTACACGTGCACACACTAATACACTTTTTATTTTACAAGGTAAGGCTCACTGAGCAATATAGTTTTTTGTTCAAAAACGACCTGGCGACAAATTTATAGCGTAATGAAGTAGCTTATCATGTGGAAATTTATAGCAGCCAAATCCACGAAACACATGTTTCTAAATGTGGAGGGAAAAACCACAGGACCCAGAGAGAGATCCACACAACCACATGGGGAACTTCAAATATACAGGCGTCAGGGTCAGGATCGAACCCACGACCTCCTGCATACCAGGCGAGGTAGTTAACATCTCGCCACCGCGGCGCTCCACACATACGCACGCAGCACACACAAGCACTCACAGCTCGCCGATGCGTTTGGCTGCCTGCTTTGCCACGGGCCGGCCGGATGGCTGAGCCTTGCAGCCATGCCACAGCAGGATGGACGCCTGGTGCACGTTGAGCAGCAGCATGTGGGCTCGCGAGCGCAGGCTGCTCACGTGGCACGCCACCTCCAGCAGGTGCGCCTCCACTGGTACCTCGCCTCGGACGCAGTACAGCCGCCAGTCACCTAACACAGACACGTGCGCATCCCATCTGCGGTGATTATGGTGCAACTAAAAAAAACAACGATTATACATGTATGGAGGTGCGGTGGAAGGAAAACAAATTAAACACAAAAATCAGTTGTATAGAAATGACTTTTCAATCGAGATTTGAAAGTGCGTAGCTCCAGTGGCTTCCTAATATTGGAAGGAAGAGCGTTCCAGACGGCCACAGAAGTGCATGTGAAAATGCGCGATGCAGTGACCGTCTTTGTTTTATGGCTAGCCAAAAGCCACTACGAGGATGACCAGAGTTCGCGTGATGGTTTATGCTCCTTGACAAGATCAGCAAGGTATTGCGGTTCATTTGTGGCAAGCACAAACGAATTTTCAGCCCTTTTGCGAATCATCTGCAGTCATTAGGAATGTTTGACCATACTTCACCAAGCCATGATGTACATACTTGTGGTAATATTTATTAAAATGTAAGTATGCTAATGATAATGACACTCACACCCATGTGACGAGTGACTTACAGAAATGAATTCAATGTTACGGGGGTATGACGTCAGTATGCAAAAAACTACAGAAGCTAGAGAAAAATCATGGTGGAATTCTAAAATAATAATAAATAAATGAAATCCCCCTTTTTCTGAATGTACTGTTGGATGAGGACCTTGTGGGTTGTGGGGGTCATTTGACCGGACATCAACATCCTGATTGGTGAGGGTTGGTTGGAGGCAGTTACCGCACACTTGGTAATGTACTACAGTCATGTACAACAATGGATGTTTCTGTTGCCCACAACATAGCTCCACATAAGCACCTGTCACCTGTTTAATGCATAGTGGTCACCCACGCAAGCACTTTCCAGACTCAACCATCCTTAGCTACCAAGATCTGACAGGATCAGGGACATTCCAGGTCATTTGAACACAGGCACACCTTCGACATGCTGAGCCTAGAATGCACACGTGATTTCCCTTTTTTGCTTTACGGAGGAGATAGAGGTAAGCAGATTAATTTAGGCACTCCATGCATGTGAGTGTGGATGTAGGGGCACGCATAGTCGTGTGAGTAAATAATGCCGCTGACCCTGGGTCCCAGCTTCCTCCTCTTCTCTCCGGCCAGCGTGCACGGTCATCCCACCCTGGAAGAGCTGCAGGAAAGAAGGAGGTTCTCTGCCTTGGGTCACTGGAACCTACAAAACACACAAAAAACCATGAAGGTTTAGCAAGGCACGTGAAGGAATGGTGTGGTCTGAACCACACCCAACCACCATTGTCTCCCTAGTGTTGATATTTGCACACCACACAAGGTGCTCATTTACAGCTGAGTTCACTTAGGGGTAGCCCTGGACAAGTTCTCAAACTCAAGTCGATTCTTAGATCAGTAATGCATTGCGCTGACCATTGTACCAGCACTCCTCATGCCAAAACACGCACATGGGTCATTGTTTTAGCAGTGTGGCCCTGTCAAGAGATTTAATGACAGTGATATCTAACCTATGACCAAATCACCCTGAATGTGCTCAGTGTAGTCAGATCTTATTAGTTAAGAAAGATGGAGTGTGGTAAGTATCATAAGAGAATGAAAAGAAAATGCCTTGAGATATCAAGCATTGCAGGCTTAGGCTGTCAGATGGCCAGGAGTTGGCAATACAGTCAAGGATTATTGAATCCATCTGTGTGGAGCTTTAAATGTTGTCATGTTGTATTTGTTGATTTTTTTCCCCCTGAGTACCCTTGATTCATTTCACAAACACTGTATTGATAGAATTGGCCAAATATCCCATTGCAGTACTCTCACACAAAAAAAAACTAATCCTGTGGCTCTACCATTGTTACGATTGTTATTATTGCTGACAGTGACAATGATTAAAGTTGAGGAGAAGTGACCTGAGGTCCCCGGTCTTCCCCCAGCTCCACCGCCATGAGTGCCGTCGTTCCCTTCTCGTCCACCGTGGAGTGCCGGCCCTGCCAGAAGAAGTAGGCGCAGCGCTCCGTGCCGGCCGCGGGGCCCCGTCCGCGGGAGTCTGCGCGGCCCCGGCGAACATGCGCACCGCCCACAGGATCACGATGGTTGGCCGCGTTAAAACAAGCACGAGACGCGAGTGGAAACTCGCCCGTGCAGAGAACACGCACGGCATAGCTGCGATCGCTCTCGCTGGGAAGCATAAAACACGGTACCGCCTGCGACTGCGAAGCGGAGCGAACGCTGGGGCGCGTAAGCCAACTGCTGCCCATCGAGACCATATAAAACTATTTAAAACTATTTTTAATTTTACCAGGTAAGGCCCACTGAGCTGTATAGCTTTTTTTCGGAAGGAACCTGGCCACAAATGATAGCTCAACGAGGTGGCTTATCATGTGTCAATTTGTAGCAGCCAAATACTCTAAACGCATGTTTCTAAATGTGGAGGGAATAACTCGAGGACTGGGAGAAAGATCAATGCGACCACGGGGAGAACATATAAACTCCAAATATACAGGCATCAGGGTTGGGAGCGAAACTACGACCCTCCTGTATACCAGGCGAGGTAGTAAACATCTCGCCGCCGTAGCGGTGACAACCAAAGAAATTCAGCAGCCGGCAACAACTGGCACCTTCGAGTGGCTAAAGGAACTTAAGACATCAATTTATAATAATTTGTGCCTGTTGCACATTCAGTCTCTTCTCTGTGCAAGACATCGTCAGAAAGTACAGTACTGGAAGCGTATCTGTGTTTTATGGGTGTTGGAATGAACTTGGTAAAGTAAGATGATGATGAAGCTGACACACTTGCGCCCATGTGACAACTTATAGATATGTGTGAATTAAGTATTAGGCATACTGAGTTAGTATGCTCTATGAGAGGTATGGTGCAATTATAATAATTGTTATTTTATTCATGAATAATTAAATAATATACACACTTTTATCAACCCACTGCTGGATGGAGGCCTCCAACACAAGTCGGTGATGATAATTTTTTTTTATCAGTCTTCACCATGCTGGTCAGTGTAGGTTCGTGAGGAGAAAGTGGTGGGAGATGAGGGCCAGTTCAGATATATGGGTCACCACTGATTTTAGCCGTGACGAGGTTTCGAACTCAGGTCAGTGAGCTTATAGTATGATCTGGTCACCAATGCACCTCTGACCCAATTATATGGTGCAAATTACCATTGAACACATTTATAGTAACATTGTAGTCGTATAAATATGGTAGATTTATAGATGCATTTTATAGATGGAGCAATTCAGACATTAAATAGACTTAGTTACATAAAGCTCCAATGCAGATGGGGTTATGATAGAATCATAGTACATTCTAGAAGTAGACCATATGTAAAGTGGGTATGTAACAATCCACTCCTCCAGCAATTCAATTAAATGTAACGATTCAGAGTCGTACGCTTCAACAGTTGGTGCTATTTGTGTCACATTTGCTGTTTCTCATTTTGATCATCTAGTTTGTACCCGTTCATTCGCTATTTTACCCTGAAGTTAATGTTCACAAAGCATCCGCACGAAATGCAAACAATCCAGCCGCCACATTGTTACGCGCCTTCTTAATGCACGCACGACGATTCCGAGCATGCACCGTGAGCGTAAGGGATGGGTTTCAGTGGAAGAATCGACGCGTCGTTACACACCCGGTGTTTAGCACACAAAGCCGTGCCCTCACCCGTGCCGAGCAGCACGTATCTCCACTTCAGCACGTAGGTGTCACCCTCGTGGAACTGGCCCACGCTCGACTGAGGTATCCGGCTGTAGTCGCAGTCCAGGATGTGCCACACGTCCACGCCGACTGTGGCAATGTCACGGCCGCCCATGGCGCCCCGCGCCCCCCTGCCGGGTCCTAGCCCCTCCAGAGGGGCCTCTGCGGCACCCGCCGGGTCCTGGGACTCGGACGGCTCGGTGAGCATCAGGCGAATGTCGCACGGGTGCAGCTCGGGCAGCTGGGCGTCACCCTGGAAGGAACGCACCAATCAGAAGCCTTTATTTGGCCTCGTCGAAATTACGTAATTTTTATTTTATTTTTACCAGGTGAGGCCCACTGAGCTGTATAGCTCTTTTTCAGAAGAGACCTGGCCGCAAATTATAGTTAAACGAAGTGTTAAAATTATTATTTTCTCTTTATACGTGACTTTACCGAAAGAACCGAAGAGTTAAACGAAGTGGCCCATCACGTAGAAATGTGTAGTGACTGAAATAAGGGTCACTGTGCTGTTGCGCCAGCCTCAGGTTCTGGAGTGCTGCTGAGCATCGGGAGCCTCCATTAGAGGTTTAAGGGACACGTGACCGGAGGCCGGGAGCCTGGGCTTGATACAGCAGGGGGCGTGGCCGATGACGTGGCCGAGGGGGGAGCGAGGCTGCGGCTTGGAATATAAAGGGGGAGTGCCCGAGGGCATTCAGGGATCGTTTTTGGGGATCAACTGGATTGGATACCTGTTAAGAACGTTACGGCACATGACGAGGTAAGATCGTGTCGTCATAATCGCACATGCCCAACTACCTACGCTCGATGCAGATTTTTTCGCATATCATGATAGGTCGCCATTTTAGGTTGAGTCAACCTATGGGAGGCCCAAGCTATGGGCAAAGGCGACGTGCATGGCCTGGAATTGAACCCAGGTAATCGTGATCGTGGCACAGTGCACAAATCCTGACTGCTCCACGTGAGAGAGTACGACTACTACCACAAATACCCACTGAATTTATCCATAGCTGGGAATTAATTTCAGGTTTAAGGGAGTCATAGTGTACTGTGCTCACTACTACATGGATGGTAGGGCAGGAAATATGCAGGGGAGGAGCAGAGGTGATCAAGGCTCACCCTGGCAGGATCACGAGGAGGTCCACCCGAGGGCACTGCATCAAACCAGTCGAGGAACTTCTGCTTGAAGAGGATGGTCTCGCTATGCTGGATCAGGCGGCCAAATATGGCCCAATCGGGACGGCCGCGACCCTTCCTGTACAACAGGGGACAGAAATGTGCGAATAAATTAATTGTAATGGTTAGCACACTGGACATGCAATGCAGAGGACACCGTTTTGATCTCCCAGCACAGCAGTTTAAACAAAGGACAAGTTTCTTAATACTGATGTGACTACTTTGGCTCACAAGTTGAATGTAAGTAGGGCACAGTGTTAAGTAGGGGGTCTGAGATAAGCCCATCCTCCCCCCCGCCATAAAAAAAATTCACATCAGGGTGCAATAAATTACATTCATAGGTAAGATTGCTGGTCAGGCCTCTTAAGTATTTGACTTGCATAGGCAATGCAATGCTGAGGCTCTGCCCCCATTGCAGGCATGCGCGAGCCGTAGCCCCACCCCTGTGCTGGTGTGAAGCCATCGCATTGTCAATGCGCCCAGCTTATATATATGCTCCAAGCTCGTGTGCTGTTTCATTCAGACTCTGTCGCCTCGACGGACCTGGTTTTCACCTGAGGACGGCTGCTTGCGTTGTGGCCGAAACGTCGTGAGAATTGTTTTATTATGTTTTATTTTTATTATTTTATTACTTCCCTTCTACGTGACTTTACCGAAAGAACCAAGAAGATGAATCCCTGCAGTCACGAAAGCTTTAAATCGAAATTTAAACGTTTTTGGGTTTAGATCGCGTTATTTATAAATGTGTCGTAACCCTCCACCACCCGACACGGCCAATCAGTAAAAAAGTGTCACGTTGACAAAAGACAATTAGTTCACTGCTTTAGCCCACCGGTGTGTTGAAGCATCAAACCACAACAATTTACAATTTGAGTATGACGTTTCGCTGGTAATTTGCATCCAGCATCATCGGGCAAAAGCCTACGTGTTAAACTGATCTACAGTTTGGAAGTGCCACACAGGGACTGTTTTTTGGAGGGGTGGTCGAGCATTGGCGTGGCCCACCGTGGGATGAGGCTATTGCACTCCCCCGGATCCAGGGGGTTGATGTCGCAGTTGGTGTAGTCGAAGGTGCCGTTCCAGAGCTGTTTGGCGAGCTGGAAGGCCACGGCGCGTGCCGCAGATGGGACCCCACGCCCACACCACACGTACACCTCGCTGCCGAAGTCAAACACCAGCACCTGCCACGTGTGGGTATGGATATAACAAGCTCCGTCATTGAGACCACGCGCACGCCTTAAGGCCCACTGATTTATAACGTGCCTAAAATGATCGCAACTCAGCATCATTCCCACCAAACGTTGCAAGAATTCATTTCATATTGAAAACTTTCGAAGGTAGTGCAGAAAATAGCGTCATATTTTTTTTTAAGTGTGAGAATATGTCTCCTTGCTTAAATATTAGGTGGCACCCATCTTCAGTAGCTGCCCGGAGCCACAGGTGGAAATCCAACATTTCCATGGTTAAGAGCATGCTGACTTACAGTGGTGTTTGGTGAGTGTGGTAAAGCATGGTGAATAGTGTTCTGCAGTGTGTAATGAGTGATGTTGTTCAGTATGCAGCCTCGTGTGGCGAGCAATGTTGAGTATGTGCTAGTTTATGGGGAGCGTGATCTGCAGTGTCCAGCATCATGTGGTAAGCGGTGTGTAGTGATAGTAGTGAGCAGCGTGCGGTGCAGCGTACGTCGCTGGGTTCCAGCAGCTCCTGCGTGGGGACGCGGCCCCAGGCGCCATCCTCGGGGATGAGTTTGTCGTGCACCATGCGGTAGATGCAGTTGGTCTCGGCGATCACGCCCTCGTACAGCTCGTCTTCCTCCGTGCCTCCCGATGCTACCGGGATGCGTGTGAAAACACATTAACCCACCGACTGAAGCTGGACCATTCACAAATGATTATTGGGTCAGGTCGCGTGAGTAAAATGTGCATTGGACATCCTTTTCCACCCGACATGGCCAATCGGTAAGGGTTGTCTGTTGAGCAAATGTACAAATATATTACTGCTTCGGCACACCATTCTGTGTTGTAGAGCGATCTACAACGTTTAACAATTGGGTACGTTATTTCGCTGGTATTTACAACCAGTTTCATCAGGCAGTTTCTGGAAAAAGAATAAAGAAAGCTGAAACGATTCGTCAATTAACTGTTAAAAATTGCCATTGACATACCTGTCAACCCATACGGTTTACCACTATTCTTGTCCATACGGCGTACAGCCATTTCAATACACGCAAAAAAAAAATCATATGGCCAAATAAAAAAAGTTTTTAACCCTTCATAATTTTCTGATTACTGTTGTACATTTACAACATGAGTGTGTGCATCCACATATCGAGAAAGCAGCAGCATCAGCATCCAAGATCACAGACAGTAGCATGATAAGTAGCATCATAAACACCAATGATCAATGCTAATACATAAACCAGTTTTTGTTTTGTAACATAATTTTGGTCTATTTGTTTGTGTTTATTCCTTGTGATGGGACTTTGTAGGATGAACGTTGAGATGTATAAGGACACGGGGTGACCAATAAGGTGTGAAATGGTCTGTAATAAGAAGGCACTGATAAGGGGTTGACAGGTATACATTGACTAAGTTCTAACATGTCGGCTTTCGCAACCAATATCATCCATAATACAGGTTTTTTGGGTTAGATCGCGTAAATATATAAATGTGTCATTAAACCCGCCACCATCTGACATAGCCAATAAGTAAGGTTTGTCACGTAAACAGAACATGCCATTTCGGTACTCGTACAGCACACCAGTGTGTTGGAGAGCAAAGCCAGATTGATCTCCAACAGTACTCAGATTGTAAATATTGTGGATTTGCTCTCCACCACACCAGTATTGTTGTACTAGTAAAGAATTGGCCACGTTCTGTTTACGTGACAAACCTCACTAATTGGCTGTGTCGGGTGGGGGCGGGTTTAACGACACATTTATATACTTATGTGTTATGGATGACTAATTTTTGTTTGTGGTCAATTACTCAGGCCCCTTAGAAAATGGCAGCCAAGGCGATAAAACCGCCTCCTTCCCTACATGAGACGCTTAGCTTCAAGCAGATGGCGGTGGTGACATCGCCCTGCCATTGCCCATCGCACATGAGAACAGAGATTTGAAACTTAGTTTTCCCCCAACTATTTTCGCATTATCCGGCGAGTCGATAACTGGACGTATAAGTACTTAAACACAGTGATCGGATAGCAAATGCAGCCAATACCCACAGCACACCATGGCACTGTTGCAAGGATTGTTTCATTTTCAGACCATACGGCATGGCCGATACCCATTACCGGGAAGTCAAGTTAGAGACATAGGTGTTGTGGGTTGACAGACCACATCACACGCAAAGACATAAACATGCACACACAACCTCATACATACTGACAAAAATCTCTAACATATGTGTTTAGCCAGGGAAGACTGCTGAGGCAAGCTCTGTTAGTGAGCACATTTAAGAACTGCGTGTCATATGAGGGGATGTGTGGGCCAGTCCTTGGTTTGGTGTTGACTGCAACACACCGCCTACAATGCTTATTTATAACGAGCCAACCCAGGGGAGGTCAAGTTCAGTCTATTTGCCACTGATGATGCAGGCAGCCAGCAATCAAACCTGGGTCGCAATGAATTCAGCATAGCACACTAACCAGTGGACCACTGCTTCAACACAAGGATGTATTGAAAGTAGTGTTAAAATGGCACAACAAGAACAACATTTGAAGGACTGTTTACATACATTTCTACGCAAAAGTGTTCTAGCCAAATTATATTTGAATTGCAGTATACCATGTTGAGATGATACATTTTCTATATGCAATGGTTACAAAAGGCAAAGCATCAGAGCCCATGTTAGAGAAGAGTTTCTGGAAGATGACATCAAATAACTACTTCTCTGGTCCCATCAATTGCCTCTTACCAACAACGAGCCGTGCACCTTCACATATGCTCTGCGACAGAGGTGTTTAATGCATAGCAATCCAGCTAAAATATTAAAAATCCTCGAGTTGAACTGTATCAAACTATGCTAAAAACTTAATTTACGTGATTTTTTTTTGTTCAAAGGGAACTGGGAAGAGTCCATCAATTTATCAGAAATGATAACTTAATTAAAAAAATTATGGCTGAGAGTTTCTGGAGGGGTTGCACCACCACATGTTGTTCGGCTTGATTTCCAACGTTTCACTCAGTCGAACATCATGAAACGTCGGACATCATGCTGAATAGAAAAGCCGTACAACGTGAAAACACATCGGAGGGCCATACAGCACATGCCGCAAAAACCCACGAGGCGGCAACTATCTCGGCAGCTTCTCGCTCAATGCTCTGACATGGCAACAACGGCTGCGTGCATCCGCGTCGTCCCTTGGCCTCACCCTGGTAGGGCGTGAAGCCACCGAGGTGGGCCCAGAATCCGCGCGCACGTCCACTGTCGCAGTTCACACCCTCCTCGATCACGTGTACGCTCCCGGCTCGGCAGCCAAGGTCACGGCGAGACTGGATGTATCCAGCGAGCTCCGCGGCCTGGCCAGCGTGGATGATAGAAGGACACAGGCTATAAACACGTGTTCATTGTTTTACGTACACAGAATGGGGTGAAATCGGAGAATGTGCATCTGATTTGATTGCCTTTTCAAATAATTGGTCACCGAGTCGTAAGCACCGGCTAAAAATCGAAGCAGCGCAGATGCAAAAGCGACAAATGAGTGAGGAATACCATGTTCAATTTTTCCCTTCTTTTTTGCATGCTCGGTTAATCTGCAACCCAGATAATCCGCAAATGGATAATCGAGAGTTGACCGTATGAGTTACCACGAGAAGAAGTGTGGTGCGCCAAGCACTGTGTATTTTGCTTCCCGCCGACTGCTGTGCAACACCCACGCTCATACGCGAGCTTAAGCCTCACCTTGTTGCGCTCCGCCGGGTTTGAGAAGTGTCCCACCCACAGGTAGCAGTGGTGCGGTGTCACCAGGATGAAGCAGTCTCCGCTGTTCAGGGAGGTAGCTCTGGGCTCCACAAGCCGCGTCTGAATGTGGCTTCGGCCTAAGCGTGAGCAGCACACAAAATGGAATTTTTCTCGGGCGGTGCCACAAGTGGCAAAGAGAGGGGGGGGATGCCCCCAAATTTATCAGACTCTGGGATGGGGGGTAGGGAGGAAGGGGCAACCAGCAGATACCCCCCCGCCCTCTACTAAAAATCTCTCAAGATGGGTTTAAAATTCAATGAACCTTTTTTTACACTAAAAAGTATTCGTCACGATTGATCCCCCACACCTCAGATTAGCAACATACATTGCTGTACACAAGCGTCTGTCATCAGGTGTGAAAGCAGTCTGCCTCAGCAGCAGATCAAGCTTTCACACCTGATGACGGACGCTCGTGTTGCGCCCGAAACGTCGTGATTTATTTAATTTTATACCTACGTGACTTTACCGAAAGAACTAAAGAGTATGGATTCCTGCAGTCACGAAAGCTTCAAATCAAGATACATTGCTGTATGAAGGCCTTCCTGAGCTGTCACCATCTCCCAGTCATGTGGTGTATTTATCTCAGTCACGTGGTGTATTCATCTATTAAGCACCTGCACGCAAACCGATTTCATTGTTTAATCTCAGTTTTGGATGCCCTCTCAGGTGCTTTCCCTCCTTTGGTTGCCACTCCATAATGAGTCCTGACCACTGGCCATCACGCACCTCCTATTAGCACGGTTGGCTATGTACGTTGTGAAAGAAGTTCAACATACATACATATACATCATTACCCCCTTCAAGTGATGTGTCCTGCTCAAATCCACTTCGTTTTCTTTGCCTTTTTGTATGTTCCGTAATTCGCGTCTTCCTCTTACAATATCTGAGTGTAATTTCAAGCTTCTTAGCACACTTTTTGTCTTTTGTTCCATTTTATTTTTAATTGTACATGCTTTTGTAATAATTATTATCAACACGTTTTTGTATGCTTAAATAATATGAATAGTTTTAATGACAATCATTTACTGCTTTTTGTCAATTCACTGCTGGATGATGGCCTCCCTATGCAATGTTGGTCATGGCAGTTGTTTGATCATACTTCACTATATGAGTAAGCGTTTGTTGAAGTGGGGCCTCAAGACCAGTTCAGATACCACTGACCAATGATATGAACCTTGGACGTTAATAAAGCTCAGATCACGGGTTCATAGTGCAGCACACTAACCACTGCTCCCCAATATCAACAGTGCAGAGTAATATTGAGATGGAATCAAAAAAAGTTAGGAGTTTTGCTCAGTGGAGAATTGCAGTAGCTAAGGAAGTTGAATTGAAACAATATCTGGAGAATGGATTCAAACCCATGCCATTCACATATTAAACTAAGCTGCCATCCTCTCGACTACAGCTCCTCCACACAGTTACTGCCCCTCAGCTTCCTCTACCCTGGCCCCCTAATGCCCCCCCCTCCTCCATCATGGGGTCATTTAGCCCTCCCACGCTACCAAGACTTTAAATCGTGGTACTGATCAGGGGCCAGGGACACTTTAACGTGAGTTCCTGCCAAGTGAACTGGACATATCTAACTTTCCTGAGATGCGCCCGATTGTAAACTCTAAAACAAGTTGACAAGCATCCATTGTCCACCGACTGACCTTTGACCTGCAGCAGCATGACTCGCTTGTACGGGGTGGCTGCCGTGGTGGTCTTGCTGCTGCGTGTCTTGGCCACGGCTTGTGTCTCCATGGCAACGACAGGCACTGCTGGGGCCACTGCTAGCGCTGGGGGTGGTGGTGGTGGAGCCGCTGGGGGTGGTGGTGGTGGAGCCACGGGGGCAACGAAGGGCGGCTGCTTCGTAACTGGCCGCTGGCTGGCCGATGTCCACGCTGGATCCGGTGGTTTGGTGAGCGTGGGTCGGGCCAAATATCAAACGCAATTGTCAACAAAAGCCAGTATCATTCCAATGGTCGTGTGTCCATTCACACTGTGGTCGTTTGTACGTTTCAAAAAAAGAAAAGCCAGTGCAGTTGTTTTGCTCAAAATGTAAAAAAATAAACCACTTACTATATATCAGTAATTTTCCATGAAATGGTGAGGCGGTACATTATCTGTCATCTCATACCATTTCAAGATCCATTCTGTCACAAGTATTAGCAGAACCATAGGAGGGACATTGCGTTTCTACCCATCCTGTGGCTCCACTTATACTCATGGGGGGGTGGTGGGGGGTGATCATGCCCCCAACGTGTCACAGTGAGGGAGCCAACGGTAGACATTAGCCCTTGCACTAGAAAACCATGCGAGTGACGGCAATGTTGATGGAGAAAGTGTTCGGAGCTAATGTTCTTAATTTTAACCGTACCAAAAAAATACGTATTACTATTAATTCCATTAAAATTTTCATTTAAAAAAAATTGCACATCATATTTGGAACGTTTCAGTTGATTAAAAACTGCGAAGAAATGGTGTCGCCGAGGGTGGTGAGACACTACTGGACGTTGCTTGATAGCTGAAGGAAATGGGATAGCTTTTAGTTTTAGGCCCCCGGTAGCAATAACGTTTTATTTATTATAGGCAAAACGAACCCCCTTATTTTTTGCCATTAATGCTTATTCGATCTGAATTGAAGTAGATTCTTCAAAAACGAAACACTCAAATGAGCGTATTGTAGTAATCTGAGGAGGGCAATTTATCCCCGTGTCCTTCTAACATTACACAAGGCTGCATTGTGTCCCACCTTTGAGAATCGGCACAGTTACCAAGAAAAAGTGTCACCTCTATGCCACTGCCCTCCCATTGGAGCCCTCAGTGACACAGTGGAGTCAGGTAGCATCCCCCCCCCGCCAACCTCGTAACATTGTCGTGGTACCATGGTCAAAACAGTTGCAACCCACCGATTTATTTTTTTCTACGTTCAAAAAAGCTAATGACAAATGCAGATGAGTTTCTACATCGTTAGACCTCCTTTGCCAGTACCAAAATATGAGAATAGGGTTTTTCCCCTTTTTTCAGGCAACAAAACTGAAACCATTTTACAAGGATGCATGTCTGCATTAACCACAATACTTGCAGTCAAAATGCAAACAAAAATTATGTAGATGCTTACCCCGAGCCCTCATTACTTTGATAGTGCATTGTCTTTGAGCTGTACGCCTTTTGGCGTCATTTGGTCTAGCACCAATTGAGACGAGGCTCAAAAGAAAGCTGTCTCTGGTGTGGACCAATCAGTTTCAAGGACAATGCATATATTATCAGAGTGTTTTTTTTTGCATTTTGACTGCAAGTATTGTGGTTAATGCAGACATGAATCCTTGTAATAAGGTTTCAGTTTTGTTGCCAGAAAAAAGGGGAAAACCCTATTCCTGCAGTTAAGTTGTTTTCCACAAATAACACTTGGCAAGTATAACGGGATATCGAGTCGCTTCGATAGGCAATGCGTGAGGCTTGGGGCTGGGGCACGTGAACGAGTTACGCATTAAACAAGCATGCATTGTTAAAAAACACACGCGTTCCACGTGGCCCGAGTTAAACTCACAGAGCGTGAAACTTGCAGGGACACGTGGAGGGGGGAGCAAGAAAAAAATCACAGAAAGCCACCCACGGGCTGGGACAATTTGGTTAAAACGGAGCAGCACTCGGGTTAATGAGCGTGCGGGCACGATCACACCGATCACACGCAAACACACACACGCGGGCACACCGTGCAAGCATACCGACAGGAAGAGGTGGGGGTGGTGGGGGGGGTGGTGGTGGGGGCGGTGGGGGGGGCGGTGGGGGGGCTGCGGTGTGTGACTCCATGGGCTCTCCCCGCTGGTTAGCGGCCTCCCTCGCAGGCTCAATAAACTCCGAGGATGGTTTGAGCAGCAGCGCTAGAGGAACAAGCGCTAGTTAATAGCACCGGATTGGAAGTCACCTCAATCCCCACCTTTGTGCATCGTGTATCGGTGATCTAATGCGTCATCAGGTTGCGTGGCGTTAAAAGTGGTCAAGAAGCAACAAAGTTCAAATCTCAATCAAGGCTTGACTCAGACCATCATCCTTCGAGGGTCAATCAAATGAGTAGTCTTTTGGAACGACTCACTCTTACCATGGAAATGTGGAATTTTCACTTCCAGCTCAGGGCTACCAAAGGTCCAAACAAAAGGACCAACTCTACTGACCATTTGAGCAGAGACATTTGAGCAGAGACCCTTTTTGACCTTTCAAATTAATTTGAGAAAATATTGTTTTGCGCATTCCCTAAAAGCATAATGTGAAGCATTATCCTGGCATGAAGCTGATAAATATTTCAATTTACATTCAATGCCCCCTCTCCAAAGGCGACATATTGCGTATTATGCTTGGTGATGGCCTTATGGTTTCCAGTGAACAGAATGTCATTATACTTACTAGGAATTCAATTTGCTCGCTCCGTTCTAATAACAGTCATCTATAAAGCACATCTATTTATACATGTTATACGGTGTTGGCTTGAGGTGGTACATTTTATTACCCAGCATAACACAGTAGTTATAAATTGTATTTCATTTCGCAGCATTATTTGGTCATGTATTTTGCCCCCCTTCTACCCACCCCCACAATATGAAACTTTGTATGGTTTTCTCCTCATTTATATACACATTGACAAGTGTTACATAAACAAAGTCTATGCTGATGTTGATAATGATCATACATTTTAAGTTACTACGATGATGCTGATGATAATCAACACACTTGTAATGGCGATTATAATATGATTTTCATGACTCTAAGCATTATTGTGATAATTGGTGACCATAATTAAAGGCTGGTTATGATGAAGATGATGGTGCTGATGGTCACACTGCTGATGGTGATAACTATTATGATCGCAATAGTAAAGGGTGATGACAATAACCACCAAGATAGAAATGATGTTGACGATGAAGATGGTGATAATTATAACTGTGATGATCATTATCATAATGAAAATGGCGATGATGACCACCATGATGATGACGACGACGATGCCGATGAAGGCGATGATGCTGAAGAAGATGGCGATACTGACGACCACATTGGCAACTACGACGATGATGACGACAACTGCAGTGATACCGACGGTGATGACCCCTACGATGGCCACGATAGTTAACGATGCTGCGGCGCTTGGCTCACCAGGCCGCGCGTGGCAAGCGCTGTGGGGCCGTGGAGGGCTGTTCATTTCCAGGCCCAGGGCCACATCCTCGGACCACACATCGGCGCGCGCGGCCAGCACTCGCAGCGGATTGCGGGAGGGCACGGTTCGGCGCAGCGGGCGCACGGCGCGCCGGTGCTCCGCCAGGCTGAAGTCCAGCCTGGAAAAAGCCGGGAGACAAATCGAGGCGCTCAACCCGGCGGCGACGAGAGCCTTGCCCTCGCGCTTTTTGCCCAATCCATCTTGTATCATCGTCATACATCATAAATATTCGTGATATCATCAAGCACTTATTTTGGCAGTGGAGTTGTGGCAAACCGATTCGTGCACCGTGTAATGAATCCGGTGACCTGGGTGCGATACAAGGCACGTGTTGTGGATTTTGTCAGCACGGGTTTGAAGTACCGAGCACGTAGGCCCTGCCGCCCGGCCCCCGCGCATCTGCTCGTGTGCTCACCGTGGTGTGTGCACGTTGGCCACATAGGCAAAGTCTTCATCGCTAAACTCTGAGCCAGCCCAGCCCCCTCGGCCCGTCTGCAGATAAAATCCTCCGTCTCTGGCAGTTGCCTCCCTGGCAACCGTCTCCCTGGCAACCGCATCCCGGGCCATTCGGATATGTGACCGTGCCTTCTCTGCAATAGAATTATAATTGCAAAAATAATAATAAAACATTTCAACAGAAAAATCGTCCAACAGGTTTAAAGTTTTTACTTGACATACAGCAGCTGAAAAGTTATTGCCATTAAGTGCACAGGGGAAATCCATGTGTGGAAAGGGTTTGTAGCAAAGTATGCACGGGTAGGTCTGACACCTAATTGTTATGCTGCCTCCTACAAGCACTGCTCATAAGCGAGCAGTGAATATTGTGCAATGCTCAGAGAACAGCAAAACTACTTTTAATGTCACCTCAATAGACCTCTTGTACAAAATAGGAGCATACCTTTCATATGCCCTGAAAAGAGTGTTAATTGCATGCAATTCTAACCTTTTTTCTCAGATATTGAATATTGAATATACCAAATAAAGTGAGAAACACATTGTAACATCATTGTTTCTGAGCTGAAAACATTGGAGAACCCGATGCAATCATGGGCGACTAAAACCCAGATTCAAACCCAGGATCTGAACAGTGCGGGCTCAGTGTCTCTGACACAGAATTACCCTCTGTGCCAAACTGTGAACTAAAAATAACTCTTCCTTCTTATATTAAGAAACCACTGGAGCTATGCACTTAAAAAACTAGATTTAAACAAATTTCTTTAGAACCGCTGTTTGTCTTTAGTTTGTTGTCCTTCCCCCACACCTCCGATTTCGCACGGTTAGTTACGTCTGGTGCCTCTAACTACGATGCCATGAGTTCAGAGGGATTAGTACCGGCGTGTGTCGCCCTGCGGTCCGGTGACGGCTGTGCGGAGCGGCCTTGGTGTCCGTGCGGGGCAGAAGGTCCTGGTGCCGTTCCCCGCATTGTGCGTCCCTCCTCCCTCTGCGCCAGCAGTTGCTTGCGGTCGGCGACTGTCAGCATTGCTTTGTCGCTCCTCTCTTCAGCCACTCGCGCCTCCTGCTATTTACAGAAGTAAAAAAACCCACACTGATTTGGTGCAATGGCGAATGCCATTAATGGCAGGCATGCACAATGGAATTTTTTGGATAAAAAAAATCCCAAATTTATTCCAATTGTGTGCTCAGCAGCATGTCAACATGTGAAGTATTTATTCTGAACTGTGGCAGAACAGTGAATCACCCCGTGTTGGGGAATGGCCCGTAAAAAGAGAGCTCACAGAACCACTGTTGAGATAATTGCAAATGGCTTATTTTCCACACAAGAGGCACTGTGATTTAACATTACCAGCTACAGGGAAATTTCATTTTTACCAAATGAAGTGAAACACCAAATTTCTAACGATGTTTCTTTTGTTTGTCATTTCTAACTGGCATGAGACAATGTACGCACTATACCTGGAGAACCTGGCTTTACCTTGAGTGGCTGTGACCCAGATTCCAGCAAAGAACTTTCACCCTTGAGCCACTTGGGCCACCTCTACACAACGTCATTTAATTAATTAATCTAAAGCAGGACAATTTCACGAATGGGATTAATCTAATATCGTGCCTCACACGAGCCTACTGTGCTCCTGTCATCAGCTATTTTCACAATAGTGATGTCACACTCAGAAAAAACAATTGGTCAGTGATGAAGTTAAGCACACAAACCCCATAAAATACCTAATGTGAAGGGTGAAGCCACATAACTCACCTGGAGAAGTTCAGCCTTGGAGGATCCAGTCTGTACATGGGCACGTGGCTGTTTCATTGGCCGCTGCTGCTGCTGCTGTTCTGGGAGCAGTGGCTCAGACTCCTGCCCAGGTGTCAGGTGGACTTGCTGAGAATGGCGCTGCATGGGTGGCCACTGCTGTTGCTGCTGCTGCTTTTGTGACTGCTCAGCCAGGCTGGCTGGCTGCTGCAATGGGAGGGGCGAGTGCTGTTGGGCCGGGTGTCCCCACAGCCTGGACGACGACCCCGAAGGCTCCAACCAGGGCTGAGGAGACACCTGAGGGATGGCCTGGCCCTGTGGCTGCAATGATAGCATCAGTATTTAATTTATTATTTTCTCTTTATACGTGACTTTACCGAAAGAACCAAAGAGTAATTCCTGCAGTCACGAAAGCTCCAAATTAAGTATGATAGCATCATTCATTTTGATTTACACAGCATTCACAGGCTTCCCCCACGCCACACATTCCCACCATACACAAGCACGAGTGTGTGTATGTAAGTAGGAATAGACATGCTATTAGTCACTCGCTTTTGACACGAATAATGCATTCATTGGATTGTGTAAAAAATATATATATAATTTATGTAAGTTATATGCGAATGTTAGACTTAGTGTCCAAATGGGACCGAGACAGACCGATGATCATAGACAATACAAATGGGAGATTGGCAAATTAGACAAAAAATAGTTTTTATTCTAATTTATCATTGATCCCAGATCATGACTGTTTATCAACCCGAAAGGATGGAAGGGGAAGGGATTGGGAGCTAAGGAGAGTTGAATCTTTACATGTCTCATGAACATCAGTGCAAGTAAAGCCCTTCTGTCGACCGACTACTGGATAACAGGACTCCCCACACTGTGCAGGCTATGGGAGTTGTTTAACAATAACTTCCCCACTCTGACGAGTACAGGTTCGGTGAAGGCAGGGAGCAGAGACACGGGAGCAAAGAAGTGCAATTCAACATTAGAAATTTTTAACAAAAAAAACGAATTTGAAAATTTACCGGCAAAATACTCAATTTGGAATTGTACAAGCAACACTGACCCTACAGTACAATTACTGCAGACTATGTCTGTTGTAAAAAAAGTGCCTTTGTGAAGGGCTTGTGCTATAATAATGGTGAAAATACCAAATGGACTAATGATTTGATTTGAATGGCTTTTGCTGCAAAGACCATCTGCTACCCACCACTTAGCCCCACCACCTATTACAACCTAAGCACTATCCAGGCTCAACGCTCACGTGCCTAGTATACAGACAGTATTATCCAGAAACACATACGCACTTCCATGCTGTTAACAGCACACGCAGCATAAGCACAAAGTCACCTGGTGTGACGGGCCGGTGGACTGGGTCTGCGGGGATGCCCGGTACAGAGGCCCCTCCTGTGGCACGGACACGAGCAGCACTCGCGGCTTGGGTGATGTTGGGGGCGGCTGCTTCTGCGGCAGCTGCAGTAGGGACAGAGCCGGTTGCTGCTTCTGCTGCTGCTGCTGTGGCACTCCCTGCTGCTTTGGCATTTCATTCTGGGGCGATACAATTCCCTGCTGCTCCTTCTGCAGCGGCTGCATTCCCTGTCGATCGGCCCCCTGCTTCGTGGCTGCTACCCAGGGCTTGGGTGATGAGTGCGACTGCCCGTGTGCTTGCGACGGGGCGGTAGTGGCCTGCGTCGGGGGACCCACCCAGGGCCTCGCGGCGGCATTTGTGGGTGACGAAGCGACGGTGGTAACCCAGGGCTTGGCCGCCACGTGGTGGCATGGACGCTGCCACGGCTGGAAGGCCGAGCACGTGGCGTTACCGATGCCCTGCTGCAATGGAGCGGGGCCCAATGCGTCTACGTCTGCCGGGCGAGAGGTTCAAGAGACAGGGAACTCACTGTTAATACGTGGACATGGGCAATGATTCATACACATCCATATAGGAGCATGTGGCCAAACACCTGGAAAGCACCCGATTAACAACATACAAACTTTTATGGACAAGATGAGTTATTTGTTTTTCCTGCATAATGTCATATTAGTATTATTAATAATCTATATATATATATAAAATCTATATCTGTTTTGGACTCCTCTTAACCGTACTTCAGAATGTTCAGTGCAGGTTGGTGAAGGCAGGTAGTGCAAACACAGGAGCGAGGAAGTACAGTGCAACAACTAATGCTGCTGGACCGCTCTCTGCGGCTCACCACATAGTCCCGCAGAAAAATCGAATTCTGCACGGTGGTCAACCATCTAAGCTCGATCTTGGGGGCACCCTGCTAAGATCCTGAGCTCCAATTAGAACGGGGTTCGCTCCAGGTGAGTTGACCAGAGGTGGAGGTCTCCTAGGTAAATGCAATTGATTGATGTTTGTGTAAATGAACGGGTGAGTGGATACGGAGGCAACACACATGACTGGAAGGTTCCCATGCCTCACGCACCAGCAGTAGTCGGCGTCTGTACGCCCTCCATCTCCATGGCCTCCTCGGTCCCCTTTGTCTTGGTGAGCAGCGATGAGGGTCTCACTCTCGCGTCGTCCGCTGTGGCCGTCAACTCGGTCACTCCCTGTGCCTCGATGCCCTTGCCTTTTTGCTCGGCCCACTGCTGCCTCAACGGTCTCTCCCCTGCACCAGTGACCCCTATCTCCGCTTCGAAATCCACATGTTCCTTCCTATCCCTCTGCCCCGTTCTTTTCTCTTCGACTTCCTCCAATCCGTGCCCCGTCACAATTCGCTTGTCGACACCGGTTCCCAGCCCCTTGTCAGAAACATTACCGTGCGTACCTCTCTCCGCCTTCCTTCCGTGCGCCCTCTCTGACCTCACCTCATCAATCTGTCTCTGCGTCGTCCTCTCTGACCCCCTCCTATCCAGCGCCCGGTCTACAACTTCTTCCTCCACTCCCTCGGCCACGTGCTTACGGTGGCGTTCACTCTCATCGTCGCCTCTCCTTCTCTCCCCTTCCATTTTACATTTATTCTCCTTTTTCCTGTCTGTCTTCCACTGCATTTCATTCTTTTGCTTCCCTCTCTCCATTTCAAACTCGTCCCTCTCCTTCACCACACACTCCCATTCCAACTCCCTCTGTCTTTCCACATCCCTTTTCACTTTCATCTCCCGTTCCCTCTCCAGCTCCCTTTGCTTCTCCATCTCTCTCTGCCTTTCTATATTTTCTCTTTCCAATTCCCTCTGCCTTTCGATCTCCCGTCTCTTAATCTCCCTCTGTCTCTCTGTCTCCTTTTGTCTTTGTATCTCCCTCTCTCTTTCCAACTCCTTTTGTCTTTGTATCTCCATTTGTCTCTCTAGTTCATTTTGTCTCTCTATTTCCTGACGTTCTAACTCTCTCTGTCTTTCTATCTCCTTTTGTCTTTGTATCTCCCTTTGTCTTTCTAACTCCTTTTGTCTTTGTATCTCCATTTGTCTCTCTAGTTCATTTTGTCTCTCTATTTCCTGACGTTCTAACTCTCTCTGTCTTTCTATCTCCTTTTGTCTTTGTATCTCCATTTGTCTCTCTCGTTCATTTTGTCTCTCTATCTCCTGTCTTTCTAACTCCCTCTGTCTCTCTATCTCCTTTTGTCTTTGCATCTCCTTTTGTCTTTCCAACTCCTTTTGTCTTTGTATCTCCATTTGTCTCTCTAGTTCATTTTGTCTCTCTATCTCCTGACGTTCTAACTCCCTCTGTCTCTCTATCTCCTTTTGTCTTTGCATCTCCTTTTGTCTTTGTATCTCCTGTCTCTCTATCTCCTTTTGTCTTTGCATCTCCTTTTGTCTTTCTATTTCCTGACGTTCTATCTCCTTTTGTCTTTGTATCTCATTTTGTCTTTCTACCTCCTGTCTTTCCATCTCTCTCTGTCTTTCAATCTCCATCTCTTTTTCTAACTCCCTCTGTCTTTCTATCTCCTTTTGTTTGTGCATCTCCTTTTGCCTTTCCATCTCTCTGTGTCTCTCTATCTTCTGTATTTCCATCTCCCTCTCTCTTTCTATCTCCTTTTGTTTTTGCATCTCTCTCTGCCTCTCTATCTCTCTCTGCCTCTCTATCTCCTCTCTTTCCAACTTCTTCTCTCTTTCTATCTCCCACTGCCTTTCCATCTCCCTGTGTCTCTCTATCTCCTCTCTTTCTAACTCCCTCTGTCTTTCGATCTCCTTTTGTCTCTCTATCTCCTGCCGTTCCATCTCCCTCTGTCTTTCTATCTCCTCTCTTTCCAACTTCTTCTCTCTTTCTATCTCCCACTGTCTTTCCATCTCCCTGTGTCTCTCTATCTCCTGTCTTTCTATCTCTCTCTGCCTCTCTATCTCCTCTCTTTCTAACTCCCTCTGTCTTTCGATCTCCTGTTGTCTCTCTATCTCCTGTTTTTCGATCTCTCTCTGCCTTTCCATCTCCTCTCTTTCCAACTTCCTCTGCCTTTCTATCTCCCTCTGCCTTTCCATTTCCCTCTGTCTTTCTATCTCCTCTCTTTCCAACTCCCTCTGCCGTTCCATCTCCCTCTGCCTCTCTATCTCCTCTCTTTCCAACTTCCTCTGTCTTTCTATCTCCCTCTGCCTTTCCATCTCCCTGTGTCTCTCTATCTCCTCTCTTTCCAACTTCCTCTGCCGTTCCATCTCCATCTGCCTTTCTATCTCCTGTCTTTCTATCTCCCTCTGTTTTTCTGTCTCCCTCTCCATGACTTTCTTTGCTCCCTTCTCCTCTACATCCTCCTGCTTTCCCACCCCCTCATCCACCCCTTTGCTCAGTTTGGTGCCCAGAATCTCCTGACTTAGCTGTCGGCGAATGCTTCCACCTGAGCCTCTCCTGGCACCGGTCTCTCGCTCCAATCTCTTCATCTCTCCCAGCCCCTGTGCATTCATATCTTTAGCCACATCCACGCTGTCCTCCGCACTCATCCTCTCCACACTCCCTCTGGCCGTGCTGTCGGCACTACCGGGGACATCTCTTGCCTTGACGTCCCCGCCATTGCCGCGCCCTGACACTCGCCCGGGTTGCCTGCAGTCATCTTTCACTGCTTCTTTCACTCTCCCACCACCCGACGCCTCTCTGCCTTCTTGCGGCCTTCCCCGTTCGTTCGTTTCACCTCTCCCTGCGTTGTCAACTTGAGACCACTGGGGCTCCGAGCCCTTGTTCATTGCCGGGCTGTCGGCGTGGTGCTTAGGGGCGGTTTTAAAGGGGTTTTCCATCACTTGAGCACGCGAATCCCGCGTGCAAGAAGACCCAGAGGATCTCGGAGTCCCGGGGCTGGGCGATCGCGGATGCGACATCGGCGGCTCGTCAGGGAGTGGTGGGGACTTCTCAGCTTTGCTGGAGCCGAGCGAGGACGGCGTGAGGGTCCCCGAGTTTGCCTGTGAAGCGGAGGCCAGGGAGGTCACGCAGTGAGTAGTGATGCCGGTCGTAGTGATGTTGTTAGGGATGTTGACGGCGGAATGGAAGTGATCGGAGTGGGAGTGATGTCGGTAGGGATGGTGATGGGTGTGGTCGTGTTGGGAGTGGGAGTGATGTTGGTAGGGCTTGTAACTGGGTGATGGTGAAGGGGGTGGTGATGATCGGAGTCTTAGTAACGTCTGCAGAGATGGTGATGAGGGTGGCAGCGATGAGAGTGGTTGTGACTTAGCTTGTAGTGATTCGCAAAATTAGTAAGCATTAGAAATTGTGTTTATTATTCATATTGTAAAAAGGGTGATTGCACAAACACTCCGAGTCAACCGGGTCATGCCGGGCATTTCCAGATTTTGTAAATAAATGTTCATGAGCAGCTGGGGCCTCTGTACTATCGACAAGTGGAATAACTCCGAAGCCACCCCACCTGCTTGACCTCCTCCATGGTGATGGGCTGGGTCTGGTAACGAGACGAACCGCGTCGCCTCCTGGACACCAGCCGGTCCCTGGGCGCCCCCGGAGCCGCGTCGTCGCTGGGGGTCGTGCGCCCGCGAGCGGGGGACGGCGGGGCCCCCGCGGCGCCTGGCCGGAGCAGGCGGTCGAACAGCGCCATCTTCTCCGTCAGCGTCAGGGTGCTGGTGTCCGGAGCGCCGTCCGACTGGCTCTCATCCTCGTCCCGCGCACGCGCCACGATCTCGGGCTTGCTCCCCGTGCTGTGAGCACAGCAGCAGCGCGCGTGTGTGTGGAGTGTGTGTGTGTGTGTGGGGGGGTGTGCGTGTGGTGTGTGGATGGGGGAGTGGTAGTGTAACGGTTAGCGTGCTGCGCTACGAACCTGGTGACCCGAGTTCGATTCCCGCTCATGGCCAACACCGGTGATGCTTATTTGAACCAGTCCTGGGCCTCCCCTAGGTCGACTCAGCTTCAAATGAGTACCTGGTGCAGTGTGTAAACATCGCCACTGGGGAGACAAAGGCGGTCGGGTATGGTGTTGGCCACCCACCCCCTCGTGTGCTATGCTGGCCTTCATAGGTGCTCGCTAACAGCACGTACCCCAACAGTCTGTTTGTTTTTCTTTGTGGGGTGTATGGCACAGTAGGGGGCACAGGTGGTGCATCGGCCAGTCATCTCAGTCAACCGATGGCACCTGCTGGGTCTGTCCCATGACCTCCTGCCAGTGGCCATTCGACACTTCACGTGACCTTAAAGTGCACTTAGCCTGGCACAAGCGCCATGATGACATCACCACCACTTAGTGGCGAAAGGCAGTTGTTGTTGGGGTGTGTGGAGTGTGTGAGCACACAGCCACATGAAAACCAAACATACCCACCTTAGCGCCCTGTTTCTACTATTGCATGTGGCAATGTGTTCAGGAGATAACATGCCAACGTCGGGATCTGCTCGCCATGAGGGGGCTTCAGGAGAGAGTTCATGTAGTTTTGCTATTCGTCCTCCACCGTTGAAAGAGCGCAGACAACAGTGGTCTCCGATATGGTCTATAGTTTTGGCTGCATGGCCACTTGCGCACTGTTGCTTGTCTGGAAGGAGTTGTGCTCATCGACTTGTTGATGCTTCTGATGCAGTCGATGGTCACACCAGCGTCTCCGATGAGGAATATCAAAGCCAGGAGGTGCGATTTTTAGGTCTTGAATAGATACCAATGATGCCACCACGCATCACTGTCACTTCCTTCTTTCTGCCAGCACCAGCAGTAGTTGCACAGCTGACACAGACCTCCTAGGTGTGCTGATCACAGCGTCATCGCCTCCATCTGGCTTTAGGTCTACCCTTTGTTCACCAACATCGAGGTGCCACTTCAATACCTTTTTATTTTTATTTTACTTTGATTAATTTTATTTTTTTTTATCTACGTGACTTTACTGAAAAAACCTAAAAATATACTTCAATACCTGTCTTGTTAATCTGCTCTCCTCAGTCAATACGGATGTGTTCTATCCATTGCCACCTCCTTTCACCAGCTATGTCGATAATACTTCATTGCCCTGCTCTGTTCTGAGCTTACAATTTGAGCACCTCATTTGGTCATAGAATTGCAAGCATTCGTTGCCTACATTCTTATATTCCTATAATGAAAGACCAGAAGCTTATTTTATATTTACTTTGTTAAATCCCAGCTCAATTCGTTGGCAAGCACCCACCCACCTATTGTTTTCCAAATCCTGCTGTTGACCAAACTGCAGCAGATACTAATTTTGTTCTGAGACACCCTAGGGAAGGTCCATGCCTGTTTAGGGTACCAACAAGGACACAGGGAGGGACAGGTCACAGGCAGCTTGCCTCGGGCCTGAAATCTACGAGAACATTGCAAAGGGCTGAGATGGCCTCATAGAGCGCCTCCTCATCTGGCATTTTGTTCCGAGAGTCTCCAAAAGATTTCAGCAACCTGGAATACCACGGGAGTGCACGGGCAAAATCAAACCTCAACCACCGGGTTCACTTCGGTGTGCTCACATCACACTGCTTGCTCCTCGTACACAAACATGCGCACACACAGTATTCATTTTGGAAGTCTTGCACGATGATTTTTGTCAGCCAACCTGGTCAGCTGGGGTTCAGGTTCGACTGGAATGGGGCTGTTGCTCCTTCCTTGGGCTGTTGGGCTGCCACTGGTTGTGCCCTGAGCAAATAAGCCAGCTCCACTTTGGGCCACAAGGGAAACAGATAAGGGGGCAGGCAATAGGGATTGGAAGAAGCGACAGACAGAGAGGCAGGCAGAAACAGATACAAACATAAGCATAGACAAATTGGCGAAAATAAAGACAGTTAGGCAAAACAGAGGCAGAGAGAGAGAGACAGGCGGAGGAGACATACAGACAGGCAGGCAGACATAGACATGGAGAGACAGAAAAAAAAAACAGCACAGTGAGACAGGAAAATTCAGAAAGATAGATCACATTCTGATTGGATAGGTGAACCAGCAGCACACATCCCTGGCCACCTATGTCATGGTGTACACGGCATGATATTCGCTCGTTTCAAATTTATACTTGTCAATTGTTTGAATATATCAATAATATTTCACATTTATTCTCATATCTTTCCTAACTTATTTTGTAAATTTATAGAATGCTGTGATCTGCATTGTTTTAGTTGCACACTGTAATGCGTTTCCTTTTTTTGCTCAACGTATTTAAACCAAGACCTACCTTGAAAAAGAGGCTTTCGTTTCTCAATGGGCTCTTAAAAATTATAAATATGGGCATCACTGTTCATTAGTTACATCTTTTAGAACACTGTCCTCTTAGGAGAGAACTCATATTTAGTGCAATTATAATACAAATAACGATATTCATATAAGCAAGCTGTGACCAGAATGTGGGATTGTATCAGAATGTTTTAACCATCTCATCATCACTATTATTATTATTATCCTTATTTAGGGTTAAGGATTTCTTGTATAATGAAAAAAACAGGGGTCACCGATGCTGTCGTTGAAGAAAAATAAATCTAGTGTATACAGGCAACTCACATCATAAAAAAATACTGACGAGAGAGGGATACGATTTTGCCGACAGGGTGGGTAAAATTGTATCCCTCTTATCTAGGATAATGCAAAAGAAGACAGAGGAAGACAGCAGGGAGGCCACTACTGGACAGAAACAACGAAGGAAGAAACAAGAGAAAAATGGGGGATGCCCTTGCCCAGCTGTGGGAAGTTGCAGGCTTGGATCATCGTAATTACTGCTGCGTCCACGTCGAGCAGGAGTCGGCAACCTGCAGCTCCGGCTCTTTAAAGGACTGTTTCGTGATGTTGTATATGAAGGACCATCGTCTCGTGTTTTCACATGCATTGCAGCTCTTTAAATACTGGGTTTTTTTCTCGAATTCGAAAAAAATGTCTCCACTTCTTGTTTTGATTGCCGGCACCTGCCGTAGACACAGGTGGATGATGTGTGATGACCCCCCCCCCCCACACTCCCCACCCCCCCCACACCCCCTCACCTGACGTAGACACAGGTGGATGATGTGTGATGACCCCCCCCCCCACACTCCCCACCCCCCCCACACCCCCTCACCTGGCGTAGACACAGGTGGATGATGTGTGATGACCCCCCCCCCACACTCCCCACCCCCCCCACACCCCCTCACCTGGCGTAGACACAGGTGGATGATGTGAGATGACCCCCCCCCCATACCACACCCCCCCCACACCCCCTCACCTGCCGTAGACACAGGTGGATGATGTGTGATGGCCCCCCCCCACACACTCCCCACCCCCCCCACACCCCCTCACCTGACGTAGACACAGGTGGATGATGTGTGATGACCCCCCCCCACACTCCCCACCCCCCCCCACACCCCCTCACCTGACGTAGACACAGGTGGATGATGTGTGATGACCCCCCCCCCCCCACACACCACACCCCCCACACCCCCTCACCTGGCGGGCGAGCCCGGCGGGGTGCCAATGGGCTGCGTGAACGCGCGCTTGTGCAGCCGTCGCTGCAGACGTCGCTCCACCGCCGGGTTGCGAGAGCGCATTTTCGGAGAGGCTGGAGATTCCTGGGACGCGGCTTTCTCCAGGTCCTGTGGGAGCCAGGAGCGTGGACGAGGAGGAGGAGGAGGAAGGGTAAGGAAGAGGTGAAGGACAAGGTGGCATCATGAAAGAAGAGGGAGATGTGATGTTTGGTGTGTGCAATAAACGTCATGCTGATGGATGAGATTATCAAAATCAAGAATTATGGCTTTTGTGCCAATTGCACCATGGTATTGGTGGAGTTGTGAGGCAGTGGTTAGTACACTGTTCAATGAACTCGGCTACTGAGAGTTTGATTCCCAATTACAGCAAAAATAGGTGGCAAGAGATACACGAACTGGTCTTGGGCCTCTCTTCCTTCACCAGTCGTCACGGAGCAGTGTGGCGACGTATGGGTCAAACAACCTCCATGACCGACATTGTGTGGTTAGGCTTCCATCCAGTGGCGGATTGATAAAGGGCTGTGGATTACTCTTCCTACAATAGATGCATTACAGGTCCCATGCCTTGCTTTGATAACATCAAGGGCTCTATCCATAATGACCTGGCTAATGTTCAATTATGAGTCAATAATAAATATTTAATCAGGCCAAATATCACCTTCCCTTTCTAATTTTCAAAATACATCCCCGATCGGACTTAACTCTGCGTGTGCCAATGTTGCAAAGCCACCCAACACACTTCCCAATTAACCTGGCGTGGGCCGTGGAGTGTGCTCAATGTGTAGTGCGCTGGAGGCGAATGATGATGATGATGGTGATGTTGGTACAGCATTAATACTCCACATTTGTCATGTCGCTAAAGTTAATGCATGCATTGGACAACCATAGGTCATTGCCATTGGTGGTTATGTTGGCTCCGGCAGCAGTCATTTCATGTTTAATGGCTTCACTTTCAAGGGCAGTGATTTGGCTTTCCTTGAGGGAGTGTTAATTTTGGACTGTTCCATCATTGAGAATTGGAAGCAGGTGGTGGAGTTTATGTATTTATGTTCAGTGTATTTAACTACACAGTAGTCATCCTCTATCGAAAAGCTGTGTAATTCCTCAACGGTTAAAGGCACGGTGGTAATAATCGAGAATCAAACCTTGAAAAATGACCGCTTGGCAGCCACACTCAGCTTGGCCTTGTCATCAATATTGTCCGTTTCTAGTAGAATAGCAGACACGGTATGCATGAAACACATACAAGCTGTTTCAAAATGGAGCAAAATGCACAACAACAACAATATACTTCTGTGGGCACAAGCCGATCCAAGCCATCATTGATTATGAACACATACAATAACAAATGCAATAACACGCCGCATTTACTGAACACTTCAATAGATTCCATTGTATTTTGTTGTGTATTCGCGTGTTTACGGCCTATTTATGAAACAGATAAATTGTAATGTATATTTAATTGAATACGCAAGCTTTCGCGACCAATATTATCCATAATAGGTTTTTGGGTTAGATCGCGTGAATATAAATGTGTCGTTAAAGCTGCATCACCCGACACAGCCAATTAGTAAAGTTTGTCACGTAAACAAAACATGGCAAATCGTTACCAGTACAGCACACCAGTGTGTTGGAGAGTAAACCCACAATATTTACATTCGAGTAAATTGTAAATGTTGTGTATCAGCGTGTTAAACAGCCTACGTATTGAACTGATAAATTGGCGTATATATTTCATTGCCATAGATATTTAAGTTGAGTGCAAGGATAGGCAAAGGTCCCCTCCAGTGGGGCTCTCTGATGCCACTCGAGATGAGGCCCTTCAACCAGCAGTGGAGTGAGAAAAACATTTGCGGGGTTACACCTTGACCTTTACTTTTCAACCGCAATGCAATATAGGATGTGAACGTACGTTTTAAATTGGCAAGTAGAAAACAATTTTAGCGAAGTAAATTTGATATGGTTTGATGCCAAATAGTCATGTGCAAATGTAAGGAATGCAGTATTCTTAACAGCAGACAAGAGTGTATTTAGTTTCATTGTTCTAACTCCATAATCCTCAGCTACCGCATTCTCCCACATGCACAGACAGAATACATATCTCACGTAGAAAGGATATTATTAAAATCTAAAGCTGTGGAAAGAATGTTTTCAAAACATATTGCAGCATACTATAAAAATACATTTGGCAATATTTCAAATATATATATTTTGATAGATGGGGGAAAAAAGACACGTGCCCCAATATTTAAAAATGGATCACGCACTTAATTTAAATTCACGTGTTTTTAAATATGATGTTTACATGTGTACTTATAGTAGTGATTAAGAGTGCATGTTGTGCAATGTGGTGGAGTGGTGGTGCAGCGGTGAGTCAAATCTGAACCAATGTCAGGAGTTCCCTTCACCAACTCGCACTGGTCCTCATTACTTTGATGGTGCATTGTCTTTGAGCTGTACGCCTTTTGGCGTCCTCTGTTCGAGCACCAATTGGGTCGAGGCTCAAAAGAAAGCCGTCCCTGGTGTGGACCAATCAGTTTCAAGGACAATGCATATATTATCAGAGTGTGTTTTTTGTTTGCATTTTGACTGCAAGTATTGTGGTTAATGCAGACATGAATCCTTGTTAAAAAGGTTTCAGTTTTGTTGCCAGAAAAAAAGGGGAAAAACCCTATTAGTATGTGGTGAGGTATGGTAAAGCAACCTTCCATGACTGACAGTGTGTTGAGGCCTTCATCCAGCAGTGGATTGACAGATTGAAATGTGAATGATTATCAAATGTAATGAAGTGAAAAATGGAATATACCTCCATTCGATTTTCAATTGTGTTACGGTAAATATTTATCCATTTATCAAAACATATTCCAAAATATGCCTATATATACTACATATTTCAGTGAAAATGTAAAAGTTCCAATTTTAACATTGCAATATGAGTCGACCTTTTAAAGAAAATATATAATGAGCTACACATTTTCATATTCCTTCTCCATGAGGAATACGGTATGCGCTAACTTAAAAGTATTCCACACGTGGGCTTCCACAAGTGCTGGGTGCTACCATGTTGTGTACAAGAAGGTTTTTGTGAAGGCGAGGTGTGGGTAACCCAGTGTTGAAGAGTGATGGCACTCACCAACATTGTCATCGGCATCCCCTTGCCAAGACCTGCTGCAGACATAAGCCAGGGTTACACATGCCGCGTTGCAGCCACCTCTGACGAGTGCGAAAGCTGGAATTTGCATGGCAATCCTTACCAGGCCAAGCAAAACTTGTACCATCTTATTTGACAGGTACTAGTCTATTTTACCGAATTGATGACATCCGCAGCGTTTAACAGTGCTGCTATTCTTTTCGTTTTGGAAGCCAACACCGGCCGTAATTCTTGCGGAGGTGCTTAACCTGAACCTTCCCTTCTAGCCCTGCCCCCCACCCCCCCAGTCCCTGCCACATTTAGATAAGCTCCTCCCCCCTCCCCTTAACCAGTATATAAGATCTTGTCTCTTGGATTTCCCTTCACTTGGTACAGTAAATTTGGCTGTGACGGTCCCACCTGAAGACGGAGACTTGTGTTGCCTCTGAAACGTCGTGATTTAATTGAGTTATTTTCATTTATTATTATTTTATTATTATTATTTACCTTCGTGACTTTACCGAAAAACCTAAGAGTAAGGCTCAAACGGGCCATGTAGCCTGCTATGAGTGGGCTGCATAGCTCCTTTGGCGAGCGGAAGTTACATACTTGATACTGCACCAAGAGTGCTTAAAAAGCATTTACAAAAATAACTGAGTTTCCTTTGGGATGCCGTAACATAACACATGGTATTCGAACTTTTAATGATTATTATTGTTAGAATCACTTCCTGCAGCCAGAGATGGAAATTGGAGCAACAGAAGGGGAAAGACCGAGGCGTTGGAGCCACGTGTCTATGGAAGCATTCGGGGCAACATTCAGGCTGTTTCTGGATCAGCCCAGCAGGGCTCGGGGTCTAATTTGGAAACATCGCAAGACTGCACAGCCAGCATTCGATGACTCGTGGCACCATCGGCTCCTTGACACTCAGAGTTTAATTCTACAACATAACCAATTCCACGTAGAAGGGAAATAATAAAATAAAAAATAAAAAAATTCTCACGACGTTTCGATTGCAACGCAAGCAATCATCGAAACGTCGTGAGAATTTTTATTATGTTTTATTTTTATTATTTTATTATTTCCCTTCTACGTGACTTTACCGAAAGAACCAAGAATATGAATCCCTGCAGTCACGAAAGCTTTAAATCGAAATATAACCAATGTCGTTTAGTTGTTTTAGTTGTTTATTTTTTGCATAAAAAAAAACACTTTTCTCGATACTAGTGCCACAGATTTTATATATCTTGGAAATATTGTTTGTCATGAGGCAAATGATGTAAAACACAAGGTTTAGTGTAATGTTTTTTTGGCAGTCATTTAGGACTGACACCATCAAATCTCTACACTCAAGAACCCAGTTTCATTATAGATGGCAGAAACCTGGATTTGAACCCAGGATCTCAGCTTTCTCGGCTCAGTGATCTGACACGGTATGAGCTGCTTGAAATACCTAGTCACCTCGAGGTCTCCCCATTGCTCACTAATAAATCATGCTAACCACAATGCCTGATAGCCACCATAGCAGGCATCGCCCCTCAGCACCCAATTAACCAGCATCAACAGAAAGCTGTGGCCTTTGGACCCAGGAAGCAAAAAAATTGAGAGCAAATCCAGACATGTTATGGCTTGCTGTCCGGTGGCGGTACAAAATATTTTGAGATAATCTTGATTTGAAACTTTCGTGACTGCAGGAATCCATACTTTCTGGTTCTTTCTGTAAAGATTCGTAGATAGAAAAAATAAGAAAAGAAAACACGACTTTTCGGTCATTTTTTCTCACCTGAAGACGGACGCTTGTGTTGCAAACGAAACGTCGTGTTTTTTACCGAAAGAACCAGAGAGTATTTTGAGATAGCGATAATGAGTGCAAACATTTGGATCTGGCTTTGGAAGTCTACAAAGTCCGTGTAGGATTTTACTGAGTAATTGGAATGCAAGGGAGAGCACCTTCATTGGAATTTCCATCTGAAAGTGGCATGAAATCCATGCAGCTTACCAGTAGAACGATCATTTGTACAAAACGTTCAAAGAGGAATGTTCAACTTCACAAAAGCACCAGAACTATTTGACGTAAAAATATATTTTTACGAATATATATTTTTAATAAATTGAATTTTTTTTTTCCAGCAACTGCCCGCTGGTAGAAAAATTCGCATTGTTATAAATCGTCCCCGCATGCCAATTATAAAATGGGCCATCGGCACGTGGCACGCGGAAATAGAAAACAGTAGACGGCGTTGACCTCTCCACACAGCATTCACAATCCACAACCGCTCATTATCTCGCGGATCACCGGGGGTGCAACGCGCCTGTCTGTCTGGTGCCGTTCGGCCGAGGTGACGGGTTGAGTGCGGAAGCGGTCGGACGCCCGCCGGTCGTCCCCCGGCGTGATGTAGCGCCGGGCCCTGCGCTGAGCCGGAGCCACCCCGCCGCCCACGCCGCCTTTACCGCCCCCGGCGCCCCCGGTGCCCCCGGCGCCCCCGGCGCCCACTCCCCTCCCAGCCTCAGCACGCCACATGGGCCCTCGAGGTCGCGCTTCACTGCAGCAGACAAACCGGTGTCACCCACAAGAAAACTTCTATTTTTATACAACTGCGTCGGTTGCTGTAATCGTGCTATCCGATATATGCATTCTGGTTGCACTGCCTGTTGTTCGGCATGATGTAGGATGATTCACTCGATATAGAACTGCTTTTTGTGTTTAGTTTGTTGTCCTTCCCCTGCACCTCTGATCAGCACGGTTGGCTACGTACTGTGTAAAAGCTGTCATCATTAAAACAGTTAGATTTGTTTCGATTAAAGCTTTCGTGACTGCAGGGATTCATCTTCTTGGTTCTTTCGGTAAAGTCACGTAGACTTTACCAGAGGTGGGACAAAGTCATTGTTATGCAAGTCCAAGTCGAGTCTGAAGTCATCAAATTCATGACTCGAGTCTGACTCGAGTCCAAGTCACATGACTCGAGTCCACACCTCAGAGGTGGGACAAAGTCATTGTTATGCAAGTCCAAGTCGAGTCTGAAGTCATCAAATTCATGACTCGAATCTGACTCGAGTCCAAGTCACATGACTCGAGTCCACACCTCAGGACTTTACCGAAAGAACCAAGAAGATGAGTTAGATTTGTCTATGGGTTTTTTTTCACGAGCTTCTTTTTGCTAAATGTAAACGTTAAATGTCCTGAATATCCAGAGTGGTTGTTCTATGCAGAAAGTGATCCCCACCATGGAAACAAATTACTATCTTTACCATTGGCTTAGAACCACCAACGTGGATGAGTGCCAACTCATTACTAATTTTAAATTTTATTTGTCTTTCGCCTAAATATATTCAATTTGTGCTGTTGGCATCATCAGACAAACAGCCAATTCTGAACTCGAGCAAAGCCGTGCATCACCCCATGCTGGAGAACAGCCATTGGAAGAAAACATCACTGAACTGAGGTCCCTTAAAGTGCCCACGTTTCATCCACACACCACACGACCGGCTACAGAGATATATTGGTGGTATGGCATTAACACTGACGTTTTAAAATGTTCTCGTCTGTAATTACTGCTGAGGTGATAAAGGCAACATTTTACGAGTTTTTTTTTTAGTCATTGGTAACTTGTTTGAGACAATCAATTTGTTATACTGCGGAAGCTACTTGAAACGTTGGGTGACTCCACAGATATGAATGCCAGGACCGCTGACCATTGAGCCACGAGGCAACCTCAAGAGACATTTTTTATAATCACATCAGTCTTGTATCATATGCTACCTTGCTTCACTTCCTTCTCGCATATGGTCCCAAACTCCCACACAGGCCCTCGCGAAGCTGGTGCACGTAGACAATCTGGTCCCCAGATCGAAGGTGCAATGCGCCAACTCCTGCACCGCCGCACTGCCCTTTAAACCCTTAATTGCATTCACACTCGCGTTTGGCAAGTGGTAAAATCAGTGGATGTAGGACTTGTCTAGCGGGGCACTTCTCATTTCTCTGCCCTCGGACTACTGCCACTTACACGTTCACCCTCGCCGCCGCCGCATTCCAGTCGACGGATCTGCTGCGGGCCCGAGGCTCTGGGGGCGACTCGAACAAACCCTCGCGAGGTGGCGGCCTGCCCCCGGCGTAGCCATCGGTGCCCAGCCAGTCCACGCCACCCCGCTCACACTCCCGCCCCTCGGCCATGCCCCTCTCTGCACGGGCGCCTGCCGCCGTCATCAGGAAGGCCTCCTGGGTCGCCCTCCGCATCGGCCTCGCTCTGACCAGGTTCCCCGCCGACAAGTGGGCCGGCCCGCCCCAAATCTCAGAGCTGCTGCGCATCACGGGCCCGCCGACCCCGCCGTGGGTGTCCGTTTGCGCCCCCTTCCTCTCGCCCCACCATCGCGCGGCTCCGGCGCCGTCTCCTTCGTCGTCAGGACCGCCCACGTACTCCCTCTCGCCGTCCCCTCGAGCCGACGGTGACTGCTTTGCCCTCAGGCCCCCATCGGGCGTCTGGCCGGACCTCGCTCTCCCCTCGTCGGACGGTACCTTCTGCTGCTGGCGCCGCACCTCGGAGGGCAGCACGGCCTTCCTGCTCTTCAGGAGGCGAGCGGTCGGTGGAGGCTGCAGCGGCGGAGATTCTGTCACGCTCTCATCGGCCTCTAGTTCCATTCGCCCATCTCTGGCCGTCTCCCCCTCTCGTTGCGCTCTCCGCAGGGCAATATCGTCCCCCATCTCCTCTCCTACCCCGTACTGCTCGTCGTCCGAGCGGCTGAAGTCATCGAAGCTGGCCCGTGGAGGAGTCGTGGCCGGTGGTGTCCTTGGCTCTGGTGGTGTGGCCCGCTCTGCCATCGCCATTCGGCGCGCGCTCACCACTGGCCGGAACACGCTACCCGCGCTGCCCGGGATCCGCACCGCACCAGCTGCGGGTCCGCCAGCATAAAATTCTGAGCCAGCCAGACGATCGTGCCGGTGAGGGAGACCGCGGTAGTGCTCCGGCTGCTCTGCCGACGGGCTCATTGTCTGGTTGCTGCTGTAGGACGCTCGTTGCTGAGGGGCCCGGTAATCTTGCTGCCGGCTGGGGCTCCAGACTTCAGGTGGGGCTGCCACAGCTTGAGCATGATAGTGAGGCTGCCTAGAGTGGTGCTGCTGCTGGTGCTGCTGCTGTTGCTGTAGCTGGTGTTGCTGCTGGTGTTGCGGCTGGTGTTGTTGCTGGTATTGCTGTTGATGATGGTGGTGGTGTTGGTAAAGAGGTGGTGGTTGCTGCTGCTGCTGTTGCTGCTGCCTCTGCTGGGTGCGAGGCTCAGAACGGAAGTGCAGAGGCTGCTCCGTGAACTGCTGTGGCCGCTGGTGCCAGGGCCTGGCGGTGGTGGACGCCCCGGCTTGCGGTGGGGATACGATGCGCACGGGGACGTGCTTGTAGCCCGGTTGTCTCCAGGGGACGGCACCGTCATGGCCGCTCTTGCCTCCGTCGTCACGGTGAAGGGGTCTGTGTTTGGCTCTGCAGTTCACAGCACAAAACGTACGGGGATGCACGTGGAGAAGCGTGCTTGCCAGTGCGCATACAAAACACACATCGGCACACATCGCACGCAACCGCATTCAAACCGATGCAAACGCATAGGCACACTTCGGCACGTTTGGACACGAACTCTTGTTCCGCGCGGGGTGTGCGGGCCACTCGCTGCTGCTCACCTGTGGCCCTCGTAGGGGCTGAAACCCGGCGACATTGGGGACGATGGAGGAGAGGACGGAACTGCCCTCACTGGATAAGTGGCAGCAGTCGGCTGGTAAGGGGGTGCGGCCACGGCTTGATAAGGATCACACGCCATTTGATAAGGAGGAGCAGCCATATGCTGGTAAGGAGTGACTGCTGCTTGGTAAGGAGGGGCATCAGCTGGCTGATAAGGAGGGGCAGTCACCTGATGGTAAGGAGGAACGGCTGTTGATTGGTAAAAGGCAGCAGCAGGCTGGTAAGGGGTTGCGGTCACCTGATGGTAAGGAGGGGCAGCGGTAGGCTGGTAAGGTGGAGCGGCGGTGTGTGGATACCTCTCTCCTTCTTCCTCCCATGCATATCGCGGTTGTGCCGACCTTGCTCTTTCTGATGCCTCCATGGTGTCCCCGTGCTTGCCTCTCTGCTGCTGCTGCTGCGGTTGCTGCTGCTTCTGCTGATGATGGTTATGTTGGTGGTGATGCTGGTGATGGAGCATCCTCCCTCGGCCGTCACTCACGGCACCACTGTCGGTCGCTTTTGGGTACGGTCCCGTGTACTGCACCTCTTTCCGCCCGGCTATGCGGTGCCGGGAATTTGGTGCCGGCTCTCGTTCCGACAGCGACGCCAGAACCTTCTTCTCCCGCTCCAATATCCCCGCTCCACCACTGACGCTGGCACCAGCAGCAGCGGCGGCGGTGGCGGCAGCGGCACCACCAGCCCTCTGCTGCTTCAGCCACGCGTACTTGGACACTGGGTCGTTCTCCGAGTCGCTGTCAGCTGGAATGCCGTAGCGCTCAGCTAGCTGCTGACGGCGCTCTGCCTTGTAGCGAGCGATGCGCTCGGATCGTGCGGTGGGGTCCGGCGGCTCCGAGTCAAAACCGGGCGAGAAGGGGTTGTGGGGTGGCTGACGGGGCGCCCCGGGGTGGCGCGCGATGCTGGCCGTGTGCGGCGCAGGGGCACGGAAAGCCTCCTCTCGGTCGGAGCGCCGCACTGCAAGGTCGGGACGGGATGGGGGAGGGATCAGAGTCTAATAGAACGCGCAGCCTGTGGGCACAGGTGTGCTTTGGTTCTTCAAAGTCTGTGCTTATACAAGAAGGTAAGCTTTGGGAAGAGATAATCATCTGCACTCTGAGCCTGGAACAAGAAGGCCAGTAGATGCCCTAATCCTATAATGGTACATCAGTGAATTCAAGCAGACCAAACTGTGGTTTGCATTTTTATTAGCTTGTACACCCTCATGATATCAGAAACCCTTTTCCATTACAACTTTGGTCATGCCTTTTTGCGATTTCAAATAAGGTGCCATTTGTACGGATATCTTTAAAGAATGGGCATGGCTTACGAGAAGAGGATGTGTGGTAAACGGTTGAACGCTCTATGATTAATATTTCAGTGTTCTATGCTGATTTATGATTACAGGCATATTTAAGTGGTTTTTCAACATGAATGCACAATATACATCATAAAAATTGCAATAAAATGTGTACAAGGCACAATTTCACAGACTCAAGTTCAAGCGTGACTTGGAGGCATGGAGCCTGTCATCTCCATCATCATCATGCATGCGATGAGGATGAAGATGATCACAATGAGGGCAAAAGTGACAATGGAATAAACTCCCACTTCACTATAAAACAACCATATTCACTATAACCTGCTTCCATTCCTTCGTTAAAACTACCCACCACTTCTCCCTGAGCCCATCGTGCTACTACCACTTCGTGCCCCCAGCCCCCAGGTATGTGCAAGCCAACTCCAACCCCCATCACTACCCCTACCCCAACCCATCCTTAACCTCTCCCACCTGTTCTCCTGTCACTATAACTAACACCGCCACTTTTAATAACCCCCCACGCTTTATCTCAACCACGACCATCGTTGCAAAGCGCCTTGTAATAAGGCGCTATATAAATCTACGTTAGATAAGATCACGTGTTGATGATGATGATGGTGGTGATGATTGTCACCAGGACGGGGGCTGAATCCCTCGCTGTCCGAGCCGCGTGTATAACGAGGGCCCTCTTCCTCCTCCTCTTGCAGCACGCGTTGGCTCACCAGCCCGGCTACCACTCCCGCACCCTTGGAGCCCCCACCGACCAGCGACCCCGAGACCCCCGGGTCGGCCTCAACAGCCGCGTCGCACGCCCAACGCTCCGAGCTGGGAGGCAGTACCGCCCTCCTGGAATGAAGCACAATGCACGTGGGTACGCGGCCGATGGGACAACACGTTAAGAATATATTCTTGTGTTTTTCGGTAAAGTCACGTAGGTAAAAAATTAAAATTAATAAAAGTAAAATAAAAATACTTGGTACAGCTGTCGTGCTGTGACGGTTCCACCTGAAGACGGAAGCTTGTGTTGCCTCCGAAACGTCGTGATTTTTATTTTAGTTTTATTTTACTTTTATTAATTTTAATTTTTTACCTACGTGACTTTACCAAAAAAACCCAAGAATATGAATCCTTGCAGTCACGAAAGCTTCAAATCTAGAACGTTAAGAATATGCTCCTGGGCACAAATAGTAGCAGACGGTACCGGCTTCAAGCAGGGGATGTTTTCCCCCAATGTATTTTGACCGCTGGGCTGCAGTACAAAAATAATAACTTAGCGGGGAATCCAAAGTGCCCTGTCCAAGTGCGTCGTCGACCGCCATTTAGGATAATCACAGGAGGTTACAAAAAGTAACGCGTGCCTGGACACATCCTCCAATCAGAGAAGCCGACCGGCCCCACCGTAATGTGAAAGAAAACATCGGTCGTTTTACCGATGCACAGCTAAAGGCCCATTACAAACGTAATTTCACATTATCAGTTTTAATTAAACATTTTTTAAAGAGATTAAGTATAAAAAAAAATTGGTTTGCAAGTATACATATTCAAAGTATATTCGAACCCCCTGATAAATACTCAACAGGCTGTGTTTATTGCAGCGTGGCAGCCAAAATGTGTTGGGAAAATATTGTAAAGTCTGAGGCAGCATCACCTCATTCTGTTTATACTCAACAGCACCTTCTTCATAGGAATTTAAAGCCACATTTCAAACTATTCCCAGGTATATAATACAAACAAAGACAGAAATACCCCGTATATCCTTAACAGACTGTTGGGGCAAATGATGTTAGCGAGCACCTATGAGGGCCGGCACGGCACACTCGGGGGTGGGTGGCCAGCACCCACGCCCGACCGCCTTTGTCTCCCCAGTGGCGATGTTTACACACTGCACCAGGTGCTTATTTCAGGTCGAGTGGACCTGGAGCAGGCCCAGGGTCGGCTCATAGCAATCACCGTTGATGTTTGCTGTGGCTAAGAATCAAACCTATCTCACCGGCTTCATTGTGCAGTGTGGAAACCTTGTTGATTTTATGAACATAAATGTATACACACAATGCCATATGTATGTACACACACAAAAATAAAGGTCCCTTTATAAACAAAGATAAAAAAAAGATCTACCTTTAGACTTTCTTGACTGTTGTAACAAAGTCTGTTTTGAGCAAATGTTAAAGTACTGGCACGGCACATTCTGGGGCCAGGACATCCCAGCCACCTTTGTCTCATTCCTGCTGATGTTGACCACACCATAACAATTGCTAAATTTAGGCTCAGTTAACCAAAGACAGATTGAGACCAGGCATAGATTTTAACTCCCGCTGTGAATGCACATCTTCAGCAACAATACTCAAATAACTGAGATTATGTAGGAAGTACACTTCACAGGACACAACTGATCTCCAAAACCACCTACATCCTATAAAGACTGTTGGGGGAAAACGCTGTTGATCAGCACCTTTTGAGTCCAGAATTGTGCATAAGAGGACAGTGTGGCAAGAAATATACACTGGCCACCTTTGTCTCCCCAGGGCTGATGTTTATACTGCACCAGGTACTAATTTTCGACTAAATTGACCAAGGGGAGGTTCAAATAATACTTTCCGCTGACTTTATCCATGGCTGAGAATCGAATGCAAGCTGCTGGGTTCGTAGTGCAGCGCGCTAACCACTGCATCTCCCATTCCCCTCCAAAAAGACACATGTACACACAAAGACGCAAATACAAAATATACACAAAAAAACATCCCCGTACATGCTTAAAACCGCACTGAAAAAATAAGTGCCGCAACCTTAAAGAAAATGAGATATTTTAAGATTGTTCTTGCCATTGTGGACTTGATTTGTTCTGTTGTTCTGTCTCATGTGTCTCACCCTGTTGTGAAGTCTCTGTGCACGTGTGCGTAAAGCAGCAGCCTCAATGTGAGGTCAACTGAACACAGGGGCCTCCCCACAGGGTTCTGAGACTGGGCCCACTGCCCAGACTCACTTCCAAAAGTCCTTTTCAGATTAGACCCTGCGTACACTCTCAGGAACTTTGTGGGCAGTGATGCTGAAGCGTACGCTCCAATTGCCGACAGTGATTATTACAGGACGCTGCCTAAGGTCCTCCGAAAGATCCATAGGAGACGCGACGGATGTAACATTAACCTCTATTACGGGCCATTTTCTAACCAACTGTCGTTGCAAAATTCTTGTGAAATTTTAGGTTGTTAAAAGCGATGAAAAAATGATTGTGAAGGTGTGAATTATGCACAATTGTTAGAACAATGGCTGAGGTTAGACTGTTGGGGATATGGGTTAAAGCTCATGGTCATTTGGTATCTGACTAGATTAGGATTGTTAGGGTTATAGTCAGGTTTATGGTTATTATATTTTGACATCTAATCTGATACTCCCATCTTGACTGTGCCATCTTGACTGTGTCAAGAAATTGAAAGATGTAATTCAATGCAATAGGTTCCAAACGCACACTCCCAGCACTAGCATTAAAACATAATAAAGACTAGCATAAAATAGGTATGATGGTCCATAACTTAACCCTCATCCAGTGCACCACTTATCCCACTAAACTCCTGTCAGAACATCAGAGTGTTGGAGATAGAGTGCTCAATCCTTTCAAAAAAGGTGCGTTCAGGCAGGCGGTGTGCCCTACCTGAGCATGTCACCCTGCACCCACTGCTCTCCTTCAAACACCTGGCAAAGCTCCCACACTAAACATGACATACACACACAGCAATGGGTTAGACATGATAATGGGTTATACACACACATATGAGCAACAAACTCTGCACACATTGCACTCTGGGACTGCCTTTAGTCCAAAGGGCTCCTGACTAATTTATGGGACTTTTCTGCAGAGTCTTTTGGAGCCTGCTACTCAGCCTAAGTGCTAATCTTATTTAATTTAGCAGGCCTCGTGGCGATGATCAGTCCACCGAACCCTGACAGCAGACAAGTGGGCCATGTAAATATAGCCCACACGGGGTGTGAGCCAGTTGCGTTAAAAGCAGACACGCATGCAGACACGCACATGCACACACAGCCTAATACAGACGAACACAAAGATCGCCGCAGAGCCACACATGCTCATACGGATATGCAGGCACAAAGGCAGCCATTCGTGTGTGCATGTACACACACACACACACGTGGCTAGACGTTACATCATAAAATATTTCTGCAGTGTGTGTCTGGTTTAATAATTTTAGTGGGTGGATACCAACTCAATTATTGAATCACAAATAAACGTTCTGAATTCATGCAGATTATCATTAATATTACATATCGATCGAATTTCAATGGATCATTATCAAAAAAACATTGACAACTCAATGTTTGTTTTTACTTTTTATACCTTTCTAGCAATTACGGAACCGCAATTTGAATATTCCCCGCAGGGGTGGCGCAGCAGTGCAGGTGTTAATTGCTGCAAGTAGAAAATTGTTCTTAGCCACTGCAGATTTAGCCCAAAAAGAGTGACAATTAGCGCGCGAGGCAAGCCGTTATTAATGAACAATTAAGGCAGATGACGTGGGGGCGACAGAGTCGATCGACTCCGTGCCTCAAATAGATCACAGAGCACAAGCAGCACGCGACACGCCGCACTGAAGGGCCGCACGGCACGGCTTATGAGACGTGGGTGTGCGTGCAGGGGCACACGCTGTGAGCCGAGCGTGGTTCCTGGCGTGGGTCCTGGCGGCAGAATCACCACGTGCCTCGACAGCAGTTTATTATTAGCGTCTGTGATATGCAAATCACATGTGACCCCATGGCACAAATGTCTACTGGGTTTGGTAGCGAGAAGTAAAGTCTTATCGAAATAAATAAGAAAAAAATTATAATTCACATTTTTTTAAGTGGTCTGGCGAGCATATGAGCTGCATTGCGGTTCAAGGTTCATGAGTTTTATTTGAAATGCGGTCCCCTGTAAAAACTTCTATGAGCGTAATAAAGGAGGCTTGCTTGCAGTATTTGATTTCCCTACAAATGGAATTTGGTGGCCAGAGAGAATTTTGTGCGTTAATAATATCGAGACGAAATAGTCGTGCCAATTCATACCGAGTTTAAAAAATCACTCTTTTGTTGGTGTGAGTGGTATTTCTGATATAAAAAAATAGTTTTGAAATTGATGGGGAAAAGATACGTCCTTCCAAAAAAGCTATTCCACTCGCAAATAGGATGTGACGTTGGGTTAACAATTTTGGCATCACTCTACAAAAGAAGTTGATCAGGGTGGGTAGAGTATGGGGTATCAGACTTGGACCCTGGTGGGTGAACGGACAACAGACCAGGTCCGAGTCAGCACAAAGGGTCTGAACAATTTATTTGGGTTCAGCCATGTTAAGGGAGGTGGAGGAGTAGTAGTGGCCACTGCCACAGCCTCCAAGAAACAAAGGTGGAACCATGCCTTGCCTAAACTATTACACACACACACCTAAACCATGCACAATCCCGACAGACTCACACTCAGAACAGCACTCTTGCTATTTGCCAGGTAGGTAAGATTCACTCACAACTAGTCCCTACGCAAACCCGTCATGCACACCTACACACACACACCAACAGACAATCCTTTTGCTGTACCCCTTTGCCCAGGCACAGGAACACGAGCATCCAGAGGTTTAGGTCCTTTAAGTTCTGCTCAGGGTCGCACACCTGTGCCAAACAGTGGCATGCTCACGGCCACCCTCCAGCCATTCACTACAGTAGACCCCCCTTCGTCCACTGCACACCACAGTGGCCACTTCTCCACGCTCACCTGGAGTGTACAGCACTCCCACCGTACACGAGGACCCTTCTAGGGCAACAGCAGCGGCACTAGCAGCAGATGTGCACCACGCAGCAGCAGCAGCACTAGCAACAGAGGTACATCACACAACACGAGCAGCGTTTGAAGCAGACGGGGTTGGCCCGAGCAGAGGCGCCTGGTTGCGCCCTCTTCTCACTTATCAGCTCCCTGGCCCGTCTCTCCCACCACGCTCATCCAGTTCTGTGCCTACCACCCTCACCCGGACTCGGCCGGGCTCTTGTTGTGATGTCGTTGCTGCCTCTTTGGCGCTGCATAAAAGCTGACGTGCGCTGCTGGAGCAAGGACCTTTCCTGGGCTGCCTTCCTTTACGAATTATTAGCGGTATATTAGTGTGAGCATAAGGATACATGCGACAGGAATTCCAGAATCCTCTGGCTCTGCTTGATTCTTTGGGAGAGGAAAATTGAGGAAGGTGCCAGCGACTCAATTTCATGGCCCGCGATCAATGTCTGTCATGTAGCAAAAGATGATGAGCAGCCAAACGAGTTGGTAGGCAATCTCTGCTCGGCTTCAGCTAAGCCAAGCAAACAGCATTCCCTTTGCTCCAACCAACCCCATGAATAAACTCGACATGCTAACACGAGCTTGCTTTGTGTACCACCTGACACAAAATAGGCATTGAGAACACCCCCCTTGTTTTTTTGGTTTTATTCCTGCAGCGTATAAATAATCTGAGTTATGGCTTTTTTAATTGCCGTTGGAAAACTACGCGATTGGAATAACTGGAGGGCACACGAGGAGGAGCATGTGAAGAGGAGTGTAAATAATAATTCAAGACATCACATTCACGAGCATAAAGCAGGTGGACTTGGGGAGGACATCTCAATGGAAGAGGCAACAACAGATGGAGAGAGCTATAAGCAACGAATTTGCAGCCAACAGAAGAGACTATCTTCAATGCCTGCAGCAGCCGACTATACAAAATTAAGGCAAGGATGATGGCTTTGATTTGAAGCTTTCGTGACTGCAGGAATCCATACTCTTTGGTTCTTTTGGTAAAGTTACGTAGGTAGAAATAAAATATTTGATTTTATTTAAATACATAAATACATGATCTATATCAGTAAAGCCATTGGTTCTTTCAGTAAAGTCACGTGACTTTACCGAAAGAACCAATAAGTATAATGGCTTTATTGATAGAGATTATGTATTTAAACACAATTTCTTTGGTTTCCTGGCCAATAATCATCGTATATTTTCCAATTTAGTTACCAAGATCTTTTTTTATAGAATAAAAAGTATATATCAGTTCCATCATCTGCAGTGTATGGTTCTATGCATGCCTTTACCAAAAACGTGGATTTTAAAAAATCAGGTTCTCATGACACTCCACATTTCAACTGCCCATGTCTGCTCAGCTTCTCCGGCCATGTTATGAGTTAGGGATCATTAAATACGTGACTGGTTAAACGTGCATCACGACTATAGCGGGAAAGTGAAAAGAGTAGCCGCCATTTTGTTACGGGATTTTGTGCCATGAAGAAGAGCCATTGCCTGAGACGTTGCCAATTAAATATTCTTTTTTAAGGCAGTGGTGTTGTTGACACATATTTAGCTTGTTTTGTAAATTGTACTTGTACACCATTGCTAATGCAGCATAATCAAATATTTTGTTGAAATATGCACGTCGTAGTGTGCACATTGAAACGTCCAAATGTGTGTAGAGACAACACAATAAGCAGGTGAATTTACACCGAATGTGATCTCATTGTTACGTACTCTCCCACTAATCACATCGGTACGAAACGTCATCATCAGCCATGATCAATTTACTGCTGGATGAAGGCCTCCCAAAGTTGTCACCATCAGTCATCGTTCTGGATTGCTCCATCTCCTCGGTAGTCAGACTTTCAGATGCGGCCTAGTCCGAGCGTGTCACTCTATTATTACGATCCCTTTGGCGACCTGTCCTGTCCAAGCCCAATTACTTTGCTTTACAGTTTGAATGGTGTCCTTAACTTGCATATGTTCTATAATACACTAGTTCCCCTATTCGGTCTTTGAATATAATTCCAATAATGCCGTGCTTCTTTGCGCAATTTTTCAATTTTAGTTCTGTTTTCTTGTTCAAGACCATACCAAACACATTCTTCTTTTCATTTTAGTGCTTTTTAAAAGTATTGTGTTTGCCAATATTGCTAAACATGATGCATACCTGGGGAATGGTACTGGTAAGCTGCGTGATATATTGCATGGTGACTGGTTGAAGGAATTTGCAGTTATCATGAAACATATGGACGGACAAGCAAATGGACATACGGATAGCAGACAATATATACGAGGCCGTAATAAGTTGCCTATTGGCGCCCTTACAAATCACATTACTGTGTCACATGTCACATAAGGAAACTGACTCTTCCAATAAATATTTTTCAAGGTCTCTTAGTGATAAAATATTGAATCATGTACCACTGTGCCTTTTTGCCAAATACGGTAACTACACTTTTTTATGGGCTGTTTAAACTTTAATCATTTAATTATAACTGTATTGTAAAAACGGCACGATGCGGTGATAACACAGAGCAGTCATGAATTATTTAACATAAATAGGCACCCGGCGGCAAAGACATTTTTTTGGAGGGGGTTGGCTGTTTTATGAAAAATCGAAGCTAGAATCTAGGAGGAATGGGCAGCCGTTTGAATAAGAACGGGAGTGCAGTTCGTGGCTCCAGTTTGCAAAACCCGCACAAATATTTCCTTGTGCTTGTTTAGTCCTGATCGATAATAACAATAGCAATGCTTTACTGCCGTAATAACAAACAAACATACAAAACCCTACTACATGTTAAAAAATCTGGTACTGCACATGGCCGCTCCTGATGTCCCAGGCTCTTGCACTTGATGACCAAAAGAGCCCTCACACCACCCCACCACCCCGACTGTCATGGGCGGTCAGCTGAT